TTTACCACTTTAGTATGCTCATATGTATATATATCCTAGCCCAGAACCTGAATATTAGGGAGTGAGGTTTCAGGTGGGAGGACACCAGCAGCATCTCCTGTTCTCCAAGAGGTCATTGTAGAGGCATTTGGAGGGGGGTTGTTGAGGAGGAAGCAGCGGCAGATCTGTCTTCCAAGGTGTGCCCCACAGCTGCAGAAGTAGGTGATGCGTTCCTTGGAGGCTGGATCTGCTGCCCTTGTGGATCTCGCCATCTGAGGTAGTCCTTTCATTTTGCGCTGTTGGTGGGCCGGCCCTGTTCCTAGGAGCAGATTTAGGGGAACGCAACCGGTTTGGTCACATGGGGCGTGTAGCCTTGTGGGGCGCTGCAGGGTGTGCCACAGCTACAATGCAGAATGGAAGGCACTAGATTGTGGCTGAAACTTTGACTTGCTGCTCGCAAAGCAGTTGCTCTGTAATTGACCCATGGCCCTACCATATCTACAGTGGTACCTCAGGTTACAGACGCTTCAGGTTGCAGACGCTTCAGGTTGCAGATGCTTCAGGTTACAGACTCTGCTAACCCAGAAATAGTACCTCAGGTTAAGAACTTTGCTTCAGGATGCGAGCAGAAATCGTGCAGCAGGCCCCATTAGCTAAAGTGGTACCTCAGGTTAAGAACAGTTTCAGGTTAAGAACGGACCTCCACAACGAATTAAGTTCTTAAACCGAGGTACCACTGTATCCAGATCTATGTATGTGAAAAGAAAGAAAACCAGCTTAATGCATCAGTTGGCAGAGAGTATATTTGGGGCTGACTCTGCTCCAACCTGAGCACGACAACAGGAGAGGGGCTTCAACGGGACGTTTTCTGTTTTGCCTTGTCGGAGGCGGACGGGAGAGGAAACACCCCCTAAAACCACGCGGGGAAAGTAGGGGGCGGTAAGGGAAGCCTTCTATTGCGCCAGCGCGCTACGTACCGCGAGCTGCGCCCCGCCCTCCACGCGCCGGGCATCGGGGCCAGCTGGGCGGGCAGAGAGAAGCATGGCTTCCCAGGCAGGCTGCGTAGCGGCGGAAATTTCCAGTGCGCCGCCCTGCACCGGAAGCGCCGCACTCCGCCTTCCATTGGCTCCCATCCCCAGCGACGATTTTAAAGCGATTGCGGACACGAAACCTCCACGCCCCCCAGTTGAAGTTGGCGAAGCTTGCTTATGAGTAAGCAGGAAATCTGGCTGCACATTGCCACCCCAATCCTACTGAACACCATGATCCCCTGGATTGCCACAAAAACCTACAAGAGCTTTGTTTGGGGGGTAGATATCTCGATGCATCCCTTCCTCAGGCTGGCCCCAAACTAAAGAGGCCAGGGCACCGACTACTTCAACAGCTGCGTGCAGAAGAGGAAATAGGAGCAGGTGTAGCCTGCAGCACACGGCAACGCTAGCTGAAATTCCCTTCCTCTGCATCCAAGCAAAGGTGTGGAAGCCCCCGGCCTCTTTTGCATCCGATGACCGGACCCTTCCTTCTGCATCCCTCCCCGCTTCCAAAACCGCCCTCTCCCTCGGAAAGGGCTGGCGGCTGCTAACTTGCTCGTGCCACCCAGGATCGGTCCCACCCATCACCGGGCTTGCCCCCGTGCAAAATCGGCAAGTCCCCGCTCGCACCCCCGGCAAAGACAGCCTGCCCCAAAGGGGCAATTTACTCACAGGTCTACGCCGCTGAGTTACCCCACCGCTGCTGCTGCAGGCGCCGCTCGCTCCCACGTTGCACGGTTCGCGGCCCGTGTGAGCGCGGGCTTTGCGCCGCCCCTTTCCCCGATCCTGGACCAATGGGGACCTTCCCTCTAAACTCCCGAGCTCGGCGAATCCGCATTGCTCCGCGTAATGCAACGCCTTTGGGCAAGGCGAAGTTGCAAGTGGTCGTTGTCTCCCTGCGCAGGCGAGATTTTGCGAGGCCGGCGATGCAGCGAGCAGCAGGGACGCCCGTGGGCGCTTTGCAGGAGAGATCTCCGAAAGCCGTGGCCTGCGCAATGCCGCTGCCCTCATGCTCCAGGAGCTTGCTTCCGGCACGAAAGCTGAGCCGGGGCACTCCGACCGGCTATCCGCGAACCTATTTGTCGCACCAGGCTGCAGCCGGGGCGAGATCCGAGTGCCTCAGCGCACGTGCAGCCTGCACTTCCTGGATCAGCCGCTTGCGGCGCAGTGCACAGAAAGCAGCCACGCCCACCCGCACTTTAATACGCACCACCTGCTTCCAGCGCGCCTCATGTTTGTTTTACAAACTGTGGCACGATCCTGTGCACGTTTACCCAGGAGTAAGTCATCGACAGGAGGTTACATCCGTACAAGCATGCATACGATTGGGCTGTACACTGTTACTAAATAACCAGTGCCTCCTAGGATAGCGTAAGTGCAACATCCTCTATTGATCATTGATCAAAGTAGTGCAGCCTGAGACACTTCGATCTGTTATAAAGGTAAAGGGACCCCTGACCATTAGGTCCAGTCGTGACCGACTCTGGGGTTGCGGCGCTCATCTCGCTTTATTGGCCAAGGGAGCCGACGTACAGGCTCCGGGTCATGTGGCCAGCATGACTAAGCCGCTTCTAGCAAACCAGAGCAGCACACGGAAACGCCATTTACCTTCCCGCCGGAGCGGTACCTATTTATCTACTTGCACTTTGACGTGCTTTCGAACTGCTAGGTTGGCAGGAGCAGGGACCGAGCAACAGGAGCTCACCCCATCACAGGGATTCGAACCGCCGACCTTCTGATCGGCAAGCCCTACGCTCTGTGGTTTAACCCACAGCGTCACCCACGTCCCTTTTTTGATCTGTTATAGCTGAGCCCTATCTGATGAGGGACTGCCTTGCCCATACAATGGTACCCCAGGTTACATACCCTTCAGGTTACGGACTCTGCTAACCCAGAAATAGTACCTTGGGTTAAGAACTTTGCTTCAGGATGAGAACAGAAATAGCACGGCGGCAGCAGGAGACCCCATTAGCTAAAGTGGTACCCCAGGTTAAGAACAGTTTCAGGTTAAGAACAGACCTCCGGAACAAATTAAGTTCTTAACCCAAGGTACCACTGTATATCCCTGTTGGGTGCTGCTCAGATAAGCCACTGCAGAGAGCACCACATGCCCCAGAAGTGTGCTACTTTGTACTAGAAACAGGGCTTTTAATGTTGCCTTTGGAATTGGTTACCAGCTGAGATCAGACAGATGCAGCGTCTTGATACTTATGCAGCTGTTGAGGATCTTTTTGTTCAAGAAGGCTTTCCCTGAATTGTGACCCAATCTAATTATGGAATACTATTTGTAAAATTAATAGAAATGGTTTAATGCTTTTTAAAAAAGAATTTTTATAGAGTTTGTATAATAGAGCACAAATCAAACAGGGAACCAGGCAGAGGGCCTTCTCTGTAGTGGCACCCGCCCTGTGGAACGCCCTCTGATCAGATGTCAAAGAAATAGACAACTCTCTGACGTTTAGAAGACATCTGAAGGCAGCCCTGTTTAGGGAAGTTCTTAATGACTGATGTTTTAATGTATTTTTAATATTTGTTGGAAGCCACCCAGAGTAGCTGTGGAAACCCAGCCAGATGGGCGGGGTAAAACAAACAAACAAACAAATAAATAATATTAACAATGAAGGGTGGACTATGAATCTTTCATATAAGTAAAAATAATCCTTAACTCTCTGAACAACTCCAACTATTAGAGAATTTAAATTGATTGCATAGCTAAAAACTATTGTACCTGTATGTTTTAGTTTAACGGATTCAAGACAGGCAGTGTTGTCTGTTCAGTCTACTCATCTTAAGGAAAATTCCCACTACCTTCAGATAATGGACACATCAATCCTCATAAACATTCATTTGAAACTAAATGCTGATTTCAATGGATATTGCTGCTGAAACCTCACTGTTCCTGACTTTTAGCTTTATAATAGGTAACTCAAAGAATTGAGGCAATGAAAAGCTTAGGTTTACTTGATCCATCTATATTATATGAATGTTCTCTGATTAAAAAAAATTGTGTACATCACTCTGTGCCAAAGAGCCATTGCTTGTTTTAGAATTCCAGGTTTTCAAGGTATGTAAATGTTACACAACTGTCCTGCAGGTAGATAATGGTAAGACTGCCAATCAAAAGGGGGACAAGTATGAATCTCTGGTGTTAGTTCTTTGGATTCCAACGTAGCTGAAGTATTTTGAAATGTTTTATATGATAGCTCAGAACAAAAAATTAAAGTAAGTAGCAAGGGGAAACCTTGCTCACAAAATAAACTCACTAAACTTTTAAGGACAAGTTGTTTAGTTTCTAACGAAAGAACTAAACAAATCATTCATTCATTCATCATCATCTCATATTTTAGCAGCTGCCCACCACTGAAATAAGAGTGTTCACTTTAACGTTACCTACACCCCAAAGGATTTTACTTCTGTATTGGAAGACACAGGATTTACCCACTCGGGAAGAATGGCAGATGAAGTTGATGGACTATATGGAATTGGCGGAAATGACTGGCAGAATCCGAGACCAGGGAGAAGAGTCGGTGGAAGAAGACTGGAAAAAGTTTAAAGACTATTTACAGAAATATTGTAAAATTAATGAATGTTAGAAAAATGTTGGAATGAAGTTATATGGCTTTAGTAGAAATGTTATAAGGAATTAAGTATAAATAGATCAACAGAGTATTAAAGGGAAAAATAAGGTTAGAATCTGTTAAGATAATTAAAGGATAGAAAGCAGAGGAAGATGGAAAGGAATTGCTGAAACAATCAACAGAAGTGGAAAACAAAAAGGGAGGTGTGAGGAGGTCACTGAAATAAGTGAATGAAAGACAAGATACTGAAACTGTTTGATGTCTTTTAAATTGTTTTTGTTTTGTTTGTTAGCTTAATGTGTTATGTAGTGTTTTTGTATTGCATTGTATTGTTTTTTTTCTTTTCTTTTTTTGTGTGTGTTTAAATTGTTGGAAAAGTAATAAATATTATATTTTTTTTAAAAAAAGGATTTTACTTCTGTAGAACTTCTAGGCATTTGGAAATCCAGTCATAGCTTTCTTTAAATGCTTCCAATGGTTTCTGCAAACTTGGCCTTGCTTCACTGCTAAGCCCTTCTTCTGTTCCAGTAGCTTCTTCCTCCATCCATTTCTGCAGTGCCTAGGAGAAATCCAAACACTAACTAAAAGTCTTATATAAAAAGGTCGTGTCGAATAAAATAAACAGTTAAGATAAACCAATTGGTTTGGCATGGAACCATGATTATGCACCAACAATGACTTCTTTTGTGCATTTTTTTTGACCACAGCTTTCTCCAGGGCCTTTCAGTTTATTTGTGCTTTTATTTGTTGAAGATAAGAAGACAAAGAGAAGCAAAGAAACAAACCGTAGCAGAAGAAACACAAAGAAATATTTCTTCAGGCTCTGTGTGGCAGATCTGTGGATTTATCTCCTCATAAAGAAAATACTGTGTTAAAATATAACCAGTTCTTAAGCAGTTCAGTGGCTTATTGACATTCACCTCTCAAAATCTAGGGTGGATCTGGGTTGAGGACTGAGAATCCTCAACAATCTAATCTCACAATCTGTACAGGGTTGTTTGTACAAGGAGGCAGCGTGGGATGGGGGTCACAGAGGAGAAAGTGATAACTCGTCTCTTAAGTTACCGTATTTTTTGCTCTATAGGATGCACCGGACCATAGGACGCACCTTGTTTTAGAGGGGGAGAACAAGAAGAAAAAATTCTCCCCCTCTCTGCGCAGCGCCCCTTCAGCGAAGTGGCAGGAGAAACAGAGCCGCTTCCATTTCTCCTCCCGCTTCGCTGAAGGGGCACTGCACAGCTCTCCCTCTCTGCTGAAGCCCGACCCCTCTCGCTCTCCAGGCTTCAGTGAAAGGAACGCGAAGCCTCCGGAGTGCGGAGGGAGCACTCCCTCTGCGCTTCGGAGGCTTCGCGTTGCTATCGCTGAAGCCAAGGAGCCTGCATTCGCTCCACAGGATGCACACACATTTCCCCTTAATTTTTGGAGGCAAAAAAGTGCGTCCTATAGAGCGAAAAATACGGTATTTCATTTTCAACATTGTTATGCTGTCCCATAACAAAGTTCTCTGTGTGGTGTACAATAAATAAGCAAAAAATACTCTATCTGTTAAATACAAAATGAGATGTAAAATCAAAAGCTACATTAATGCACCCCCCTAAAAAACCCGTAAGTTGAAAGCAGCCTGCAGTAGTTCCTACACTGCTGGGGTAACACTTGCCCATGTTTAGTTTTAGAGTAAGAGGCAAAAAAGATGGATGTCTCCAACCTGAATGGCAATCTTTTTGTACCTTGTATCTTTCCAGAATGTTGAAGCCAAGGGCGGACTGTAGCTTGCGCAGACAAATGGGGCAAAGATCCAATGGGCGTCGGTCCGATTCCTCCAAATGGTTGGAGCCCTGCATGACGCATTCTAACCACTGGCAGTGATGCAGTCCAAAGATGTGCCCAATCTCGTGAGTCAGGGTCTGAAACACAGGACCAAATGAAACAAGGAACAATTGGAGCGTGTGTTCTAAGGACCTGACATTCCCCACGGCACTACATATACAACCTTTAGACTACTACACGGCACTACATATACAACCTTTAGACATCTGAAGGCAGCCCTGTATAGGGAAGCTTTTTAATATATGATGTTTCTGTATATATTGGAAGCTGCCCAGAGTGGCTGGGGCGACCCAGTCCGATGAGAGAGGCACAATCAATCAATCAATCAATCGTACTGTATTGTTAGCTCTTTTCCAAGACGAGGTATACACTTAACGGTGATAAAATTCTTGCTCTTTCAGGGAACTTGAACTTGCTGTTACGCAGAGCATTACGCAATAAACCCTCCCAAAACAAAACTTGATATTTTCACTTCCCCAACAAAAACTAACTGTTTATGTATTCTGCGCACAGTGGCTTCCACAGGAAAGGCTTGCTTATGCAAAGCTCCAGACACATCTGCTTCCCAGTTAAACCAAAACGGTTAACTGTGAGCTGACTATAGGTTAATCCGTGCTTCTGCTTATCCCACAATTTCTAGGCATGGGTCCGAGCAGTTCTTCATTTGCCCCACCGCTTTCCCCAAGAAAACCCACAGTTTACTGCTGAATTGGAACAAACACCAATCTGCAGGGGGGAAAGCCCAACCCAATTCAGTGGTAAACAACAGGTTTTCCTGAGGGAAAGCAGGGTGGATGAGCCTAGCCTCATTGCCTTAAGAGGGAGGTGAATTGAGCGGCCTATTCTGAGAGGTTTCATGTAGCCAAAGTAAAGCCGCACATCCAAGCAACATGAGCCTCCCAAACGCCACACACAAGACAAAAATGTCGAACTCCTAATAAGACTAAATTAATAAACCATGTATTTTTCTGGAGGTCTGCTAAACATCCAGTTTGTTATTCTAGATCCAAATACTCCCTTGCTATGGCTAGGCCATCAAGCCACAGTGACGTGACAAAACTGGGATTACTGTATATCATCATTTTGGTTTACTGCCAGCAACAAAGTATTGTGTTTTTTTGTGGTTGTATGCCATATATATATATATATATATATATATATATTAAAGAGTATAGAAATGGCCTTAAAGAAGTAAAATAAATAAACAGTGTTAAGTCCACTTACTTTAACGGAATTAAAGTATTAAAGGAAATTAATTAAAGAATTAAAGGAAATGTGACTAAAACACAATTTCATTTAGATGTGGAAATGTAGTGCTAGGAATCTAAAGCACACCCACTTTGCAGGACCTCAGAAGCAGCTTGCTTGTGATCTCAGGGGTATAGTAGCCATCAAACACAGAATAGTCAGATGGAGGAAGCTTCTTTGTAGCCTTCAGTGTGCCTTTGTAGTTTGCACTGTAAAAATCGCTGTCATACCTGGCAAAGCTGAAGATCCCCATTCCTTAACAATGCAAAGAGGAAATCAAATTAAGGCTCCCATAAAGGGCAGACGGATGTGGTGACAGGATAATAGCACCAAAATGCTGAATATACTACTGGAAAAGCAAGTACAATACTTCTAGAATATCAGAAATGAGGCTTCCTCCCCTCTTCCACCTAGAAGTGACATGGGAACTTACCCATAAGCTACAAAAATGTTCTTGCTCAGACATGTGAGCTTCATAAGGTCCCAATGTCTCCATAAAACTCCTGGGGCCAGCTGTGGCTCCACAGCAGTCGTCTCTAAAAAGAATTCCAAGTTTGGTGTGGGAATGGAACATGTACGACTAAGGTCAGGCTGAGAAAGCATGGGTGGGGCTGGGAGTAACCACAGAACTGGAGCACCCACCTTTAGCTGCAACTTGCTTCAAGCAAGTTGATGGATAGCATTTTTATTTTATTTTTACATTTGAATCCTATCCTTCCTCATTACTGTCCTGTAAGAGTTAAGGGAGTCAGGTGAAGAGAGGACAGGGTTCCTGCACTTTTAATAGTTTGTGCAGAGACGGGAGTTTTAGCAAGTGTACTTGCATTACTGAATTTCCTACTGAAATTGTCTCTTGTGTGTGACTAATAAAGGTGCAGGAGTCCAGCCCTCTTCTGAATCTGGCCACTCTCCTCTTACCTTAGGGAAATGACTTGCTCAAAACTCGAGCCACTTCATCGCATTCAAAGGAAATTTCTATTTTGCATAGATCTGTATGGCCCTCCTCTGAACTTGGTAAGCGCTGTTGTTCGTTAGCACACCTCAAGGTGGTGTGTTGCAAAGGTCAGAGTTTCAGGAAGGGGGTGGTAGGTTTTATCATGAAAATGATACAGGAGGAAATGGATATCCCTGACATCTATATCTATATCTGAGTGTCGCCCCCCCCCCCCCGAGTTGATATTTGCAAAAATGAGAAGAGACCCAATCTCACACAGTTTTATCCCCATGGTCCAGAATGCCCTACTGTCCTAGACAGCACAGGAGACTTCATTGTAAAACTCTTTTGTATGTGCTATTGCCACCCCTCTGTGGTCAAGAGATGTACTGCAACCCTCTTGCAAATCCTCCCTTCCTCTGCACTGTTTATTGGACCTTTATTGAATCGAAAGAACCCAGCAGAACCTTTTCAAAAGAATATCCATTTTCACAACACCAAGCTGGGAATTCTGCAGGAACATCTATCATCTCCAGTTTGAAATCCACTGTCCTGAGGGGGTAGGAAGGAAAAGCCCAGTTGCTCTAGTGCAGGAATAAACCATGTTCTATCTCAGCAGAAATTTCACAACAATCTGCACAGCCATATTCACTGCAGGTTCATACTAGCATGGGGCCTTAAAAGTTTCTGTTCAGCCTACTTATAGTTACTGCCAATGCCTTATATGTGAAGAGGCTGGCTCCGCCATTCAAAGGCTGGGAAGGTAGGGAACGATGTTCACCAGGAGTGGAGAAACTCAACCCCCAACAGCCCCAGCCAACACAGCCAATGGTCAGGGATGATGGATGGTGACCCATAGGTTCCTGACCCCTCATCTACATAGTCAGAACCATGCTGGATCTGCACAAAGGATTCTAGGATCCTGTGTGAGTAAATAATGCCATTAATCTAAGCCAGAAGGCTCTGTGCTGTGTGGAGGACATCCTTCATTCTCACAAGCTGAGCTCTGCTATCATGGCCATGCAGTCATGCATCACACCCTGTCCTCAAGTGGGATGCCTGCAGCTTCAGAGTTGAACTTCAGCTTGCCAGAAGGAAAGATGCCAATCTGAATTCCATCTGTGGCAAAGTTTAACACTGACTACACAGGGTAGGCAGTGGAACAAGATGTGCAGCACAGCTCCCTCAGAAGCAGCCTCAATTTTCAAAGCTTTCTTCCTTCCTCATCATGTGCACTGATAAATAAGAAATGCTTTCTCCTCAATGTGTGTTGTATTTTAATATATAAATACATATACCAAAAGAAAAAGTACACTTCTGGAGCAGCCCCACTGCTCAAAAAATAGCTGGCTTGTATTCAGTCTTACAGTGGTACCTCTGGTTACGAACTTAATTCGTTCCGGAGGTCTGTTCTTAACCTGAAACCGTTCTTAATCTGAGGTACCACTTTAGCTAATGGGGCCTCCTGCTGCCGCGGCACAATTTCTGTTCTCATCCTGAGGTAAAGTTTTTAACCCAAGGTACTACTTCTGGGTTAGCGGAGTCTGTAACCCGAGGTGTTTGTAACCCGAGGTACCACTGTACTGATGTTTTGTGCAAAGATAGAAGAAGCTCATTATCAAATTAAAGTCATATATAGTCTTGATGACTTAATGTAACAATAAACAATGTATATACCTTCTGTCAAGGAGGCTTGGCCAAAGACGAAATTCCAGGAGTCCTTTGGGTAAAGATCTATCATGGTTACTCCCACAATACAAAAAGCATCCTTTGGCTTTTTTTTCTTTAGGTAACTCAAGAGGTGACCTGTATGAACAACAGACGTAGGTCTCTCTCAACAGAAGCAAAAGGACAGGAGATTGTAAATGCCCTAACACAGTGATAGCATAACCCAGACGGCTTTTGGAGCTATCAATTTCTATTAAAATTAATGTGACATTTGGAATGATAATAAGTAGAGATGACATCACCTTGCCAACAAAGGTCCGTATAGTTAAAGCTATGGTTTTCCCAGTAGTGATGTATGGAAGTGAGAGCTGGACCATAAAGAAGGCTGATCGCCAAAGAATTGATGCTTTTGAATTATGGTGCTGGAGGAGACTCTTGAGAGTACCATGGACTGCAAGAAGATCAAACCTCTCCATTCTTAAGGAAATCAGCCCTGAGTGCTCACTGGAAGGACAGATCGTGAAGCTGAGGCTCCAGTACTTTGGCCACCTCATGAGAAGAGAAGACTCCCTGGAAAAGACCCTGATGTTGGAAAAGATGGAGGGCACAAGGAGAAGGGGATGAAAGAGGACAAGATGGTTGGACAGTGTTCTCGAAGCTACCAGCATGAGTTTGACCAAACTGCGGGAGGCAGTGGAAGACAGGAGTGCCTGGCATGCTCTGGTCCATGGAGTCATGAAGAGTCGGACACGACTAAATGACTAAACAACAACAACAACAACAACAACATACAGGGGGGAAACTATGGGAGAGAGCAGGGCAAAGAGATTTCCTTTATTGTGCCCTCCAGTATGTCTCCTCGCTTTTGGAAGTTTTTTTTTGGCTTGATGGAAGAGGGCCCAGGATCTGAAAGCTCCCGTGTCCCTGTGATGGCTTACAATCATAGGGCTGTAGAGTTGGAAGGGACCCTGAGGATCATCTAGTCCAACCGCCTGCAATGCAGGAATAGGCAGCTGTCCCATATTGGGATGGAGCCTGCGACCCTGGTGTTATCAACACCACGCTCTAACCACTGAGCCTATCGCATTTAGAATGCTTCTGACCCAGGGGAGGCAAATTCTGCTCATCCCTTTGGAAGTGCTGAAGTCATCGTGCAAATTTGTCTTGGGTTCCAGCCCAGGCTCCATGAAACGTTCAGGACTGAAGGGCAACAGGATGAGCCTGCCTCCTCCTTGGGCTTGGGCTGGGCTGGAGGGAAGCAAGAAGTGAGTGTCATGGTTTCCTTTCAGCCGCCCACTTCGAGCACCAGCCAGCTGAGAGTTTATGCCTACACACTTGTTTTCCACACTTGCTTATAGCCTGTGCCTACACATTGCCCTGTACACACATTGCCCAGAGACTGCTTTTGGTGGAGGGGAGGGGTGTTCCCAAACCCACTATTTTCCAGCAGCTTTAGAGGGTCTTAATGCTAAGCCATGCTATACAAAAGGAATACCAGATACCTATGTCCTTTACCTACCACCAAGTTAAGCATTCTCCACAGAGAAAAGCAGCAAAACCAACGAATCTACCACTCGGTTTACCACTAAGCAAATGAAACTGCAGTTTTGTACTCTCCCATTTTGCTTCCACACAGGCTTATATCTATAGCGCCGGGGGAAGGACACAGCCAGAATTTCCCTCCAGATATAAATAATTTTCAGTTGAAAAGGAATCTAGCCGTCATAACTCTTGCCTACTATCAAGAGTCTACACAACAGATTTTAAGACAGTTATAGTTAATGTGAATAAGATCCATCCAAATACAATAAGTAATGGTTTGTTGTTATGTGAATAAGCCAGGGAGAGTCACAGTACTGTGCACCCTTCTTCACTTCATCTCCTTATGTGGCATGGAGAACATTGGGAAGTTTTTGCTTCTGCTTGTAATGAAGTAGAATTTACTACTATGTCAGAACTGAGACAAACTGTGGTTTGCCTTAGCTATGGTTAACTGAAACAAGCATTCTGTCGACCAAGCTGGATGATGTGCTGAGGGGCCTGTCATCTTATCTTCCACGCTTTATTTTTCAAGTTGAAAGCAGCTACAGCAAGATGGAGTGGCTCTTGGGGAGAGGGTATTTAACCCTCTCAACTTCCAGTGTTGTTTTCCTGCTTTAAGGCAGCAAACCTGTACAGCCAGTTAACTCAGTATGGCTTATTCTTGAGTATGCATGTACTGAATAGGACTGTAAATCACAAACACAACCTCCCAAAGCTGTTGTTTGTCCCACAGGTGACAAAACCATACAAAAACTGAACAGGAGCACTAGTACTGGGAGGAGCCATAACTCAACGGAAAAGCATATGCAGAAGCTCCCTGGTTCAATCCCAGGCAACCTCAGTTAAAAAGCTCACATAGTAAGACCTTGAAGAGCAGCTGCCAGTCTGAATAGGCTATAATGGGCTGGACAGAGAAAGACTCTCAAATCTGAAGAAGCTTCCTAGGTTTTATATTTTTCTAAGTGTTGCTCTTTGCAACTGGTGTGAACCGCCGGTCACCCTTCTTGCCTTCATGGTTAAGAACTGCACAGAAGAATGACAGGCTCACACAGAAGAATCCAAAAAACTCAATGCATGAAGCTGACATAAAATCCACGAGAGTTTGAAGACTTTTGGAGTACCTTCTCATTTGCTTTCTGATTACAGCCAGTCATTCAGGAGTAAGAATTTTCAGTGTTCTTACTTGCTAAAAAGAGTGCCATAATGCTATTTTAACACAGCTGAGATTTATAAGCTAGCCCACAGAACTGGCAAAATTGATTTAACGCCATGAGAAAGTCCCAATCCAAAAGTGTTCCATCTGTTCCTCATACCCATTCCTTTTTACCTGGGGGGCGGGGACGCAGGGGTACACATACCCCTAAACATTTTGTGAATCTAAGTTTGGCCTCATTGAGGGGCAGTATTTCAATATGAGTAGGAAAATGAGAGTACCCCTAAACAGTTTTTTAAAGAAAAAAAGGACTGCTCATACCTGCATGAATCTGCAGATTGTATGTGTTTTCATTGATCCGAAAAGGGCAACCTGTGTGTGAAACTGGCACTGGTCCTAAGATTCTTACAATCAAGCCATAGTAAAAGGCTTCACAGTAATCCTTCAGCCATTTCATGTAGACATCTGTGCTAACTCTGGAATCTCCAAAAGAACCTACAAAAAAACAGTGAAGAAAAGCAGCATGTTATAGCTTCAGCTGTATAGTTCTGCCCCCCTCCCACCTCAAACTACATGAAGAGCTATTGTATACATGGTACTATTTTAAAATATGAGATATGGGTTTGAATTCAATATAGTGCTAAAGAAATCATTCCATCACTGCAAACATTTCGGCTTGCAAAAGAACAATCTTCCCTCTCCTCCCTCCCCGATGTGCTGTCTTGGAAGTTCTCGCAAAGCTTTTGAGCAGATTTGGGGAGGGCATGGGGGGGGGGGGAGTCATGTTGTGCTAGTGAGAATCATTGTGCTGGCTTCAGTTACTACATTAATTTAGTTGAATACATCCCATGATTTGTAGTATTTATCTTGTCTGGCTTTAGAATAAGACTCTGAGATGTGCACCATTAGTCTTGTTTTAAAAATGAGGAACAAAGGCAGAGAGATAATGGTTTGCCAAACTAATGCAGGAGTGGCCAACATGGTGCCCTCTAGATTTTGTTGGACTACAACTCCCATAAGCCCAAGTAAGCATGGCAAAAGGCCAGAGATAATGGAAGTTGTAGTCTAACATTTGGATGGCACCACGTTGGCTATCTCTCATTTAATAAGTCATAGGGCGGAAGGTTCACAATGCAGAGAAATGTAGACTTACTTATTGGGCAGCAAGCCCGACTTAATTTAATTAAACTTACTTCTGAGTAAACATGTACACGGTTTATCTGTCTGTTTATATCCCACTGGGTACGATATTTATCTCCTGCATATTTTGGTAGGGAGAGCCACATTGTCTTGGCTGCCATTCCAAATAGTAAGCCGGGGTGGGGGGCTGAGATAAAAGTGAAAAGGGGTGTGTTGGCAAAACTATCCAGCACAGTCACAAGTGGCTATCAAAGCCAGGAAACATTATCTGAGGGTCAAATTTAGATTTTCCATTTTTAACAGCATACAGAAAGCAAAAACTCTACAAAGGCAAGCACTCAAAAAGTAGCAAAGGTTAAAATTATGGCTGTATATATGATGCAAGAACACAGCAGACATGCTTAAATTCAATTTATTGCAATGGGATATACCTGTACACTTAAGTCTGTTGATATCAGTGGGACTTTTAAACAAAGTAAACAAAAGTTTGAACTACACTTATATAACTAGGACACCCTTTTTAAAGTTCTTTTGCTCAGCAGCAGAGTGCTGGATCTTGGAGAACTGCTACCACTCAGTGCAAACTAGAGATGGGAAGACTTTAGGCTTGTGGCCCACCTTGTTTTTTACTAGAACATCAAGAACCAAAGCCATGTGCAAAATACATACATTAGTTTGAATAAATGAGGGTGACTATAAGCAAACTCTGAGCTTAGGAATTTGTTTTCAATTCTAGAACTCAGTTTTGCTCACAGTCCTTTCACACAAATGGCCTCTCCTGTTTAAAAAGGTAAAGGTAAAGGACCCCTGACAGTTAAGTCCAGTTGCAAACGACTCTGCGGTTGCGGTGCTCATCTCGTTTTACTGGCCAAGGGAGCTGACATTTCTCCACAGACAGTTTTTCCGGGTCATGTGGCCAGCATGATTAAGCCACTTCTGGCGAAATCAGAGCAGCGCACGGAAACGCCATTTACCTTCCCGCTGGAGCAGTAACTATTTATCTACTTTCACTTGCATGTGCTTTCAAACTGCTAGGTTGGCAGGAGCTGGGACTGAGCAACGGGAGTTCACCCCATCATGGGGATTTGAACCGCCACCCTTCCGACTGGCAAGCCCCAGGCTCAGTGGTTTAGACCATAGCGCCACCTGCATCACAAATACCCACTCCTCTTTAGCTTTCTTTATTTCAGCAGTCTAATTTAGGTATAATAAACCGCTTTGTTGTTGCTACTGCTAGACAACTGAAAGTCAGACTCCCTGGCTAGGCATAACTTGCAAACCACCCAGAGATCTACCAGCAGATTCTGATCTACTTTCTGCCCACTTCTGAGCAAGACGTTACCCAGGACTCTATATAAAGCAGGTTTCTATGCTTCTCATGTACCTCATTCTGATCTACCAATTCCTATGTGTCATGAAACACTTTCTAGACTTCAAAGGACTGGATATACAATAAGGCACATGGTGATGCTTCACAGGTGTCCTGTGTCAACCAAGTGCACCCCAAAATATGAGTGATATCTGCTGCAATGTCCAGGGACTCTGTGGTAGACAGGCACAGACTGTTCAAAGTGAAAAGGCTTCCCTGAAGGTGGAAAGCTTGAAAAACACCAGCTTAATTAGTTCCTATTTAATGACTCATTAAAGAACCTGCCTAGCTTGGTTAGCATACTTTATTGGCCATAAGGTTCTGTAGGCAGCATTACCAATGGGCTGAACATAAATCCGATTTTTCTGGGGAGTTGGTGTCTTTCTGCAAGGGTCATGATAAAACTGTGCAAAATCCTGGGTGGGTTCTGGGTGTGAGGAGATCCAGTCCGACTCAGAATGCAGCGTGATGGGCTTGAAAAGAACACTGCCTGGCCGAAATGCTTCATTTAGCAAACCCTTCTCCTTAGGGTTAAACTTCTCATAAAGTTTTGCAAGCTGTGTGTCCTTGGAAACCAGGGCTGCCTTCAGCACCTCCTCAGAATGTTTAATAACCTTCATCTAATGAAAGAGAAAGACGAAAAGTGTTACAACATCTGCATTTCACATGCACACATTTTTTTTATTTTAAACTGTTCCCTTTCTTCCATCACTCCTCACAAGCTCCTATTATTCCTTTCACGATTAGTAACTAGCCACCCACCAGCCATATTTTGCAGCTTGCTGCTTACTCAGCAACCATCAAGTCCTACATGTGCAACATTCAGCTTCCTCATTCCTGTCCTATTTCCATACCCAACCATCATTTCACAATCAGCTTCTGCTTTTGGACAAGACGAGCATGTGAAAGGCTTGCTACAAACTCAGTCGTCAGCCTAGTTCCATACAATGTTCACTGGGTCACTACATCCCAACTTTCACCAAAAAAAAAAAAAAAAAATCCAGCCACATTTACATCAGTCTGAAACCCACATTGTAACAAGATCTAGGTGGTTCTTAAATCCAGTTACAATTCATGACGTCTGTCCTAATGAAATTGAAGCAGTGGTTTATTAGACTCGTCACTCTGTCTTCAACTACAGCCCATTCTGAACATCTGAGAAACATTAAACAGCACAGGAAACCCATTCTATCATGAATGGCCTTTTAAAATCACATATTAATGATCAGCAGTGCCATCAGTACAGGATGTTGTGGTATGTTCTTATCTTCCTCTTCTTACATGCGTGTGTTTGGGGCAGGAGGAGGGGAGAGGTGGAGTTAGAGAAGAAGTCCCAGACCCTGAATCTTCCCTAATGAGAACAGCAAGACACACATGCCTTTGAAAACTATCTGTATGATTTACCAATTTGCTCATTTAGGTAGGCATTTCTGGGTCTGCGTTTTCAGACTATGCCCTCAGAATATTTAGAGGGACGCTATAGGAAAATCCCAGTAGAAAAGGGACTTTGTATATGTGGCAGTTGAAGATCTATACCATTATGTACTATATTGTCCTTTGTATTCTGAACTGAGAGCTAAGTATATTCTTGAATTGTTATGTAAGATGACTGAAGCAGACTACTAAGTGAAGATCACGTATTTGTTGTCTGACTTGATAAGTTTGTGATAAACAACATGGCAAGATTTGCAGTTGCTGCCCAAAAACTAAGAAGAATGTTTATCAAGGATAATATGGTGGACTGCAAAGATCTGATCATCAATGAAATATAGAAACTCATGCTTTGGTTTGCATTTTAAGATATATATGTATATGTATCAATTGGCTAATACTGACTTTTAATGGTGTACAGTGGTGCCTCGCAAGACGAAATTAATCCGTTCCGCGAGTCTCTTCGTCTTGCGAAGCACGGCTATTAGCGGCTTAGCGGCTAAGCGGCTATTAACGGCTTAGCGGCTATTAACGGCTTAGCGGCTTTAAGAAAAAGGAAACAAACTCGCAAGAACTCACAAGACGTTTCGTCTTGCGAAGCAAGCCCATAGGGAAATTCGTCTTGCGGAACGACTCAAAAAACGGAAAACTCTTTCGTCTTGCGAGTTTTTCGTCTTGCGAGGCACCACTGTATCTAGGCACATACCGTATAGCATGGATAGGATGTATACAGTGGTAAAAAAGGTAAAGGTACCCCTGACTGCTGGTCCAGTCGCGGATGACTCTGGGGTTGCGGTGCTCATCTCGCTCTATAGGCCAAGGGAGCCGGCGTTTGTTCGCAGACAGCTTCCGGGTCATGTGGCCAGCATGACTAAGCTGCTTCTGGCGAACTAGAGCAGCGCACGGAAACACCATTTACCTTCTCGCCAGAGCAGTACCTATTTATCTACTTGCACTCTGACCTGCTTTCAAACTGCTAGGTTGGCAGGAGCAGGGACCGAGCAACGGGAGCTCACCCCGTCACCATGATTCAAACTGCTGACCTTCTGATCAGCAAGCCCTAGGCTCTGTGGTTTAGACCACAGCGCCATCCGCATCCCATGTATACAGTGGTACCTTGGTTTAAGAACAGCTTAGTTTATGAACAACTTGGATTAAGAATGCTGCAAACCCAGAAGTAGGTGTTTTGGTTTGTGAACTTTGCCTTGGAAGCAGAACATGTTTCTCTTCCTGTTGAGTGTGTTCCATTTGTAAATTGAGTCCCCCACTGCTATGGGAAAGCACGTCTTGGTTTAAGAATGCTTTGGTTTAAGAACAGACTTCCAGAACGGATTAAGTTCGTAAACCAAGGTACCACTGTATTTATTTGTAGTAATGGTTTGACCATGATGATCGCAAATGACCAGGATGGCCACAACAACAAATAAATTCTATTCTGATTTGTATTTTACATGAATGTGTCTGTTGTAGGTGCCATTAAAAACTCCAGGAAACACCAAAAGATTACTTTAGGTCTGTTCAAGAGCTTGGGCCTGCCCAGTGGAAGTTTAAAGGAAAAAAATAAGGGAAAAAACTATTGACATCTTAACATATCCCAAACTTCTTTCAAAAGTTCCCTCAGTTTCAAAAACAAATTGCTACTTGACTTGGGTGGGGAAGAAAAGCTGCTCTTTTATACACATACGCCAAAAGCTACCTTGCATGCATGAAGCTAAGGGTCCCAGACTGGCTGTCATGGGAGCACTTCTTAAGGCACACTAGCTTCAACAATTTTTTCAGAGCTTGTTTCCCGAAACAATTTTCTTGAATTTATTGTTTGTTTGCTTATTTAATACATGTTTCCCTTGCCCTTCCTGCTATCAGAGCTCAGGACACCTTGGCAATTAAAAGCCATAGAAGTCATCATATGAACATAACCTTAAAAACAGCAACTACTCATCATGCTCAATACAGTAGAAAGAAATAATAGGCTGTCATTCCCAATCACCCTTCCCCAAAGGCTTAGCCAAATATTTATTTATTGTTACTGTTAGCAAAAAGAAGACAATTATATAGATCAGCCACAGTTCTGTGAAGAAGGTTCTGACAGAACAATGAAGCTGCTTAGCAAACCTCTTCGTCATCTAGGCTATAAAATATATTTTTGTGCCTATATGCATTGGACAGTGTGCAGTTACCCAGACCCCTTGCTATTTTATTCTGAGCAAATCAGCTGCCATTGCCATACACTTACAAACACATGGCAGGACCAGCTTCAGGGGCTCCTTGGGCAAGATGCACCCTTTTCAGAATGGATTTAATGGATTTTCCTCCTCCTTCCTTCACCCCTCTGCTGACCTCAGTCTTGTTCCCTCAGAGCAGCCTTTCTCAACCTGTGGGTCCCCAGATGTTGTTGGACTACAACTCCCATCACCCCTAGCTAGCAAGGCCAGAGCTCAGGGATGAGGGGAGTTGTAGTCCAACAACATCCGGGGACCCACAGGTTGAGAAAGGCTGCCCCAGAGGGAAGGCACAAGGCAAGTGAAGGAAGCTGCTCTGTCTTCTCTCTTGTATGCTCAAAGGGGACAGGTGAGCAGGATGTGACAGTGAGGAGGAACAGGGCCAGGAGGCGGGGGCAGATGTGTTAGCAGTGGACCGACCGACCGCAGAGATGGGGCCCTCAACAATGCTGCTTTTTGTTGAGATTCCTGCATTGCACAAGAGGACTAGAGGAAATTTAAGGACTATTTGAATAAATATTGTAATATAAAAAATTAGAAATTACATGAAAGAAACAAATAGGCCTAGGATTAAACTAAGTTATAATTAAATAAATGGGATTTAGAATGTTAACCAAATCAACCAAGATGTTTAAAAGGTTAGATTTGTGAAGAATTAAGTTTGTTGTTATTGTTTATCTGTTTATTGTTCCTCCCCCCCCCGTTTTTGTGTATCATTTTGCTTTGTGGTTTGTGTTATCATTGTGGAAAAATCTAATAAAAAATTTATTTTAAAAAAGAAAAAGAAGTTTCCTGCATTGCAGGGGGTTGGACTAGATGACCCTCGGGGTCCCTTCCAACTCAACAATTCTGTGATTCTCTAACTTTTCAAGAGACTGCATTTAATATTTCAGTTTCCGGCTAAGTGCGTGTGCTTTATATTTGACTTGGTTTTGTAATGTTTGGGTTGTTTTATTTGATGTTTTAATATAGGTTATAAACTGCTTTGAGATTCCCCCCCCCTTAAAAATATAGAGAGAATCTCTCTCTCTCTCTCTCTGTGTGTGTGTGTGTGTCTGTCCCTGGGAAATGGGGACTCTTGGGAGGGCCTGAGCAGTTTGCACCCCTGACCCAGTAAAATACACCACCCCCCTGCCCTGACTGTGACACTTCCATCCTTACCGGAACTCATGGGTGTAGCCAAGGGGGCCAGCTGCCCCCCAAATCAATCAAAATCAACACATGAGGTTCTGCCCCCCCCCCGCCCCCCGTAACAAAAGCCTGTCCCCTCCTTAACAAAAATCCTGGCTATGCCCATGCTAAAAGGCCCCCTCCCTCCCTCAAGCGTCGTCCTCGGGGCCCTCTGCTTTGACACCCACACCCAAGCACCTCTCCCCGCACAGCTGAACCCCCAAAAGCAACGCGCCGCTTCCGCGGGCCGCCACGCCCAGGCGAGGCCTACCTCCTCAGGCACGCCCCTCTCTCATAGCCGCGGCCCACACGGCCCGGCTCGGCCTGCTCCGCCCTTCCGCGTCGGCCGCGAAGCCCGGCTCGGTTCCAGCCGTTGCCAGGCGGACTGAGAGGGCGGAGGCCGGGCGGGGAGGAGGGCTGGCTCGGGTCTTCTCCAGACGCGAGGGCTCTGCTCCCGGATTCGTAGCCCGGCCGGCCGTGAGGGAAGCAGCAGGCCGGCTGGTCTGCCTTCCTGCCTCAGAATATGCAGGGCCTGGTCGACGGGAGAGATGCTGCCATCCCCGCTTTGGAATATATATATATTTACGCCTACGCTAAGGCACAGGCATAGGAGCTAACTCCTAGGGGTCGAGGTCCCTTCGCCCTCCCCCCCCCCCGCTACAAAAAAATAAAATATTTGAGGGGGTCTGCCCCCTCCCCTAAAAAAGTTTGATGGGCATTGCGGCCCAAAGTGGCTGGGGAAACTCAGCCGGATGGGCGGGGTATAAATATATTATTATTATTATTATTATTATTATTATTATTATTTAAATGTTGTGGGTGCGCCCCATCATGTGATCGATTATGCAGGCTTAACTGGGCCTCCTCCCCCCCAGAATATATTATTCAAGTTGGCACCCCAGGGCACAGTGCAGTCGCACGCAGGTAGTGAGTGTCTACCTGCATGTCTAAGCATGTGCCGAGTGCATTTCTCTCAACGCTGTTTTAAGGGGGCTGCCGCCATGGGCGTATCCAGGGATTTATGTTGGGACACCCACCTGTCATCCTCCTCTGTCTGGCTCTGTCTAGCAAGATTTGGAATGAAATGTCTCCACAACAGCTCTTTTCAATTACTTTCTTTTGACCCCAAGCGCTCAGGAAAATCTGTCCAAATCTTCAGTCGTTTGCAAACTAGGAAGTTAAATTTTAAAAACTGCATCAGGGAGAACCTTTCATGAGGTTAACAAGTGTATTTTGCAAAATTACAAAGAACATGCCTTTTTCCATTTTATTTTTAAATCTATAAACTAAAACAAGCTTTCTTGGATTTGCTGAAAACCTTTTCAGCACTTCTCAAATTCCTCCTTTCCCCGCCATAGTTTTTCTGTGCACGCTCAGTAAGCATAGCCGATTGAGATGCTCCCGTCGTCTTCAACCTTAGCCAGGTCTTTATTCTCTGCAAGAATGACTGCTCTGTGGTACAAGTGACCACAATGAGCATTTTCATTTCAAATATTATTTCAACTTTTAATTATTTTTATTTATTTGATTTAGGGGCAGCTTTACCCTCCAGCTACTCCCATGGCTCTTGCTGCCAACCTGGTCATAGGGCAACCAGGCAGGTTACCGTGCAGGATCTCCTGAAAATAAGCACTGGAATATACAGTAGGGCCAAGTAATATGTATATTATGCGTTGAGTCCAGCCCAGAACATCACGTGAGGAGACGTGATGCCTTTAGTGCAAAACTAAGGTTTCGGACTGGTTTTCATTTTGAACAGGAGCCTTTTCTAACTTGATGTGAGTTTTAGGAGATTAGTATATCAAGCATAGATTTCCCCTCTGCACATGCAGAAATTTAGTTTTTAGATTTCTCTATTATGTTACTTTTATTGCAGAACCAAACAATGACAAGTATCCTGATTTCATTAGTGCAGAATATGAACAATAGGGCAATGCTGGGGAAGGGTGTGTACTAAATGAAAAATAGCTATTTCCTGTTGTCCCAGCTGCAAGATTGTACAGAAGTTAGTAAGAGTGTGTGAATGAATTGATGCTCTGGGATGGGTCTTACCTTATTCAGGAAGAAAGAAGCTACACTTTATCATCGGTAAACCTTTCAATGTCATTTCCACTTTATTATATATATTCTTGTTGCATCCCAGCTTTGTTCTCCACTGTATAGATACACATTGCAGCATGTGCAGTTCCCACATATATGAACCAATCCATCAAATTTGGGCTTTAGCTTTTCTTCTATTAAAAAAATAGAATTTCAGCAACATATCCTAAATATTTATGATGGTACACTGAAAAACTACAGATGGGATATTGAGCAACAATTGTCAAATAGGTAGATTCTGAGATAGCAAAGCCAAGTTTAGCTTCTACAAAAGAAATTAGTTTGGTGTTAGCATAATGTTCTGAATTAAGCAATTTTTAAAAAAAGGTTTGTGTAATGAATGAAAGAGAAACAACTGCAGAGACACACTTCTGTCCAGTCCAATTGTGCAAAGGGTTTTACTGAGGAGGTACAAGCTTTTGTACAAATGAACGCCACTTCCTTATCTGATTTCCTGTAGCAGAATATACAAAATCCTCTTGCTTAGACACACCCCAACAGCAATACTGTGTCTCAGTTTCACCATAAGAGTGTGCAGCTTACACTATAGTCTAAATAGCATATTGTATTTCTAGGTGTGCCAATGTCAGTTTATTGGGCTAAGTAATTGGATTACATTGGATCTATAGGATATTTTGTGTCAACCCCATTTTCAAACATTGCAAGACAAAAGAGTACGCAAGAGTACTCCATTTTTCTTTTTTACAGAATTCTCTAAAACTTTATAGTAAACTCAAATTTAATGTAAATTAAGTAGCCATATTTTTTGAGAATATTTTTAAATTTTAAGTTCTGCTATTAGGAAATCAGGACAACAATGTTTATTTCTAACAGCAGTACCGCATGCAAAAAATTTTTTTAATGCAATACTGTGATGATACAATTGAATCAAATATTTGATGTGCTCAGAAACATGTTCTGTGTGTATTATAGAGAAGCCTTTCTTTTTTAAAAAAAAAATCTTTCCTGTGACACATACTCAGAGAGGGGAAGATTTTATCACAGTAACATTTCACTTTAAAGTAAATACATAAAATGAAGAAATGTGCTTTTGCACATTTTAGATACATTTACTTTCTGGAATTCCTGGAGATAAAAGAATGAACTGTACCAACAAAGTCTTGAATGCATACATCAGAGGAAATAGTGAAGTAGAATGTGTTCAGGGAACAAGGAAACAGAAAATAGGGGTAATAATGTTCTTTTTTTAGTAGAGGGGAGAATCAAAATTAAATATCAAACCTTATTTTTAAAGTTTAAAAAGTGAGCAGACGTGCTTGATACTGGCATATAGATAGAAAAGCAAGCAACCCAATCTGAAAATCACCACCTAAGACCCTTACTAGTTTTATAAAGTTTATATTTACTGGTGTTCCTTCTGCCTCTTAACTAGGTTGGAGCTGCGTTTGGACGAATAGCTAAAAGGCTTCCAAATCTGTCCCTGTGCTCCAGTTACCTATTCCACTGACAAGGCGCTGCTGCATCAAAGAGCCTTAATATCAGTGGAGGCACACTCATTGGATGCAGCCAAAATGTCTCAATTGCTTTAGCCTAGGGTAGCTGGAAAACTAAAGTGCTCTTCTGCAATTCCTAATGAGGTTATGTCTGGGTAAAAAGGACTCCTGTGGTTGGAGGCTGTATTCTTCTAAATACCAGTTGCTGGAAACTACAGGCAGGGAGAGTGCTCTTGCACTCAGTTCCTGCTTGCAGGTTTCCCATAGACATCTGGTTGGCCATTGTGAGAACAAGATGCTGGACCAGATGGGCCACTGGCCTGATCCAGCGGACTTTTCTTGCGACTGCACACAAGGAAAAATGGACACTTCTTTCCTTCCTTTTGCCTCTGCCACCCATATTTGAATTCGGAATGATTTGGCTGGTTGTGTTAATTCCACACTATTGCATGTCCAAAACAGTACACGGATCATTTATTTTCTAGATTTACGAATGTTTAAATGTCATCTACCCCTTCATGGATCACTGAGTTGCCGTGGCGAAGGGGCTTGAATAACTCAGAGAAGCTATGAACTATGCCATGCAGGGCACCCAAGATGGACAGGTCATAGTGGAGAGTTTTGACCAAACGTGATCCACCTGGAGCAGGAACCGGCAAGCCACTCCAGCATCCCTGCCAAGAAAACTCCATGGACAAAGACAACAGGCCTGAAGCTGAGACTCCAATACTTTGGCCACCTCATGAGAAGAGAAGACTCCCTGGAAAAGACCCTGATGTTGGGAAAGATGGAGGGCACAAGGAGAAGGGGGCGATGGAGGGCAAGATGGTTGGATAGTGTTCTCGAAGCTACCAGCATGATTTTGACCAAACTGCGGGAAGCAGTGGGAGACAGGAGTGCCTGGCGTGCTCTGGTCCATGGGGTCACGAAGAGTCAGACACGACTAAACGACTAAACAACAACAAATGACATCTTGGACTGTGTATAGAAGAGGTATGAATTAAAACAAGCACACACACACACGTTGAAACTTCATTTCAGCTCTGATAATCCTGACTGGAATTAGGAATGCACTACTACAATGAGGCCACTCAGTGAGTGTTTAACAAAACGTCACAAAAGGAGTGCTCTTCCACTTTTTTCTGCTCATTGTGCAACCTTAAAACTACTTTCAGAGGAAGGAAGGCTTGAGAAATTTCACTCAACACGTAGAGGGCTTCTTGGGGAAAAGAATGAACTTCAAATCAAGTCACATGGATGTATCCCGTAAATAGAGACCATAAAGCTCTTTCCTAACACTGACCTATTGGTTTCTAAGTAGCTCTATTACTCTGCTAAGTCAACATGCTAATACTATTGTGCCGACTGCCATCTGAAAGTTTTCCTTTTATAGGCAAGGATCAAGCTCTGCTTCTAAATACTTGTTTGTTTTGGGCAACGTGACACCAGCACATGTCTGAGAATAACTACTACATGCTGCAATCCTATGTAGAATAAAACTTAAATAGGAATTACTTGCAAGTTATCAAGGTTAGGACTGTACTGCTAGTGACATAATGTGAAAAGTGAAATAATGGAGTTAGTAGTCATGCCTACAAAATGCCTTGGACTGCAGAATATAAAACTTAGGACTAATACAATCAGAATTCTTTTCAACATTCCAGCCTTGGCAAGCCCTCACTTTACTCTCTATGCTTCTACCCTTCCCACTATTTTCCTCCTCTTCCAAAGAAATTCCAAATTACACCAAAATTCTGTATTTCAACATGGGATGAGATTCAATGTTTAGTAAACTTTTCGCTTAACTTTTGGACACTTGGGTGTGTCAAAACTCTAAAATGGCACTTATTTTTCCAATGGCAAGAATGCACAGAATTGCTTACTTTGCAGCTAGAGAAGACAACACAAACCCACAAAATACAATTAAGTTCCACATACGTTAGAATTTTAAATGTTTCAAAGACAGGCAGTTGTCAAAATCTGGCTGCATTGCCAGCAAGTTATAAAACCTCAATCTAATATACACAAAGATACAAACTCCATATGCACAGTGAGGATGTATATTGTTTATTTACCGTCAGTAATTTACATAAGGCAAATATTAATAGTTGGAACACCTGCAATGTATGTACAGAGAGCAACGTAAATCTCAAAGAGGCTTTTGTCTATTAGTAACCGAACCATTTTAAAATTATGCCTTTAAGACCTTCTTTAGAAATAATTTATTGCTGATGCTGAACTAAGGCAAGAGGGATTTTTTTTTTTACAAAGTAGCAGATTCTCTTAGTCCCTGGAAAGTTACAAAAGTTACAAATATAAAAAAAAATGTAAAGCCACATAACACCCCACATTTATACAAAGCTAATACAAATCCTGGTTTCATTAGATAAATATTATGTGAGGTTGTTACCAAATATATTTTTAGAGAAAAGGTTTCTAGAATGTAAGCTCTCAATGTTCTTGAAGAATGAGAAAGCAGTTTTAAGTAAGTGGCAATTTGCTTTCAAGTACAAGATAAATCTGCAAATGGCAGTATTACAATGCTGTGTCATCTTTACAAGTCTGGTCTTAGGGATGTCTTTGTTGTGGTACCAGAAAAAGGCCTATTAAAAAAATTGGTCTTTGTGCAGTTGACTCTAGCACAAAGAAAATCTAATCAGGGGCTCAAGCAAGAATTTGCTGCCAATGAATTGGATGTGGACTTAGTCATGCTTAGAACAGATCCACTGAAATCATTATGGGAAGAGTCCCATAATTTTCCAACTATGACCAAGTCTGGATTCAACCTAGGCTTCTTCTTAAGATAAGTTTCCAAATAATCTTACAAGAAAATCACATTTGGTTTAAGTGAAAAGTATCTTGAGAGTGTGCAACCATCACCTTGTCTTCAAAGGCTGTTTTCAAAGTCTCCCTCTAGTTTTTGGGTTCTTCAAACTGCTCTCCCACACTGCAGTGAACTTTTCAAGAAGCCTGAGAGTGGGGCAGCAGTAGTCTCATCTTGCACTTCAGTGATAAAAGAGGGTTCTTTAAGCTTTGAAAAGTGGCTGTTTATACAGTGCTACTCCAAAATAAGGCATGAGGCTAAAGGTAAGACTGGTTTTTTGTTGTTTAAAAAGAACAGTTGCCTTAATTTTTCTACTTAATTTTTAAAAGAATTTTGACATTAAATGTTTTATTTCAGACTTTAAAACGCTGAATTTTGTTACAGTCTAAAATATTATATGCAAGATCACTCCATGTTTATTCCACGGAGGTTAGAATGAAAATAAACCTCTAATTTTACTTAAATACAAATCCCAGAATTTGCAGAAGCATTTTGGAAGCATTTTGTTAAGCGACACTTGAGAAAAAGTGTTCTTGCAAACCAGCCCTGTATTTGAAAGTTACATCTGAAAATGTAAGGTTCTACCAACATGACACACAGTTGTATGTATCTTTCCCATGACTTTTTTTGAAGTTGCCATGAAAGGTTAAGCGGATGAATAGCCAGGAGCTGCTTCACTCTTTTCCCTCTAGCTGATTTTCCTATCAAAATGACACCCCCACCACCAAGCTGTGGAGGAAAAGCAGCTGTGCATGTGTGAGACAGTGGGAAAGCTGCCAGCCGGGAAAGGACCACCCCTCTCCTCCCCAGTTCCCTTAATTAAATTTGCAGCCCCACCCCCAAATGTCTCCTTTTGGTTAAAAAAGCCAAATACTCCAAATCTCCCCACTTCTAGCCATTTTTCTGGAGTACAATGAAAAATTTGTGCACCACACACTTTAAAAACTATACCCATTAGCAATATTATAAAACTGAACCAATGAAACCATTTTGTTTCTTCCTATTTGCTTGTAGTTCCACATAAATCATGATTTGTTAACACATTTAAAAACAAATACTGCCCTTAACTATATATTACTTAGAAGACTAGCAAAAAGCGCTTTGCATACCGATTTTGATTGATTCCTGAAAGAATACAGGAGTGGGAGAAATATTATCCTCAGAACACCTACACCTATACTGTTACACTTCAGAATATCTGAGTGGGTGGTTTCATTTTTATTTTTAGTATTTTCTAGCAAATATGCAACATCTCTGTGCTGTAGCTAAGTTTAACCTGGCAATGGAGTCCCCACCCCACCCCACAGAAGGCCACAATCTGAAACATTGGCATTTGTGTTAAGGCCACCGCAAGGAAAAGCAATTAAGAGGCACTTTAGGTTAAAGGATTCTGCATCAATTAACAGTGTTTTCTGATGCTGTAATAGGCTCACTATTCCACACTGAGCCTGTTCTATTAAAGCACTTAATTGGCACGAGCTCTCAAGTTACCTGGATCTAGACAGCAAAACTAAATTGGTTTCAAACCTATGGATTTTGCTGACTGACTTCCTTCCACAAAGATTACGGAATTACAATAGCAATGCATCAAATTTGGCCTGTGTAACAAAAAAAGGGGGAACTGTGCTGCTAATCTCTGATCATGTTAACCATTAAAACATTTATGAGAGTAAAGCGTTAGAACAGGCATAAGTATCCATTGCTTTTGTAGATGTTCCCTTTAAAGCATAGCATAAAGTTATGTTTACAGTTAACTTGGAAATCCAGAGTAACTAGTAGCATATGGGCTTTTAAACCAACACCTGAGAAATCAAAAATGTCACTAGCCTCCTCAGAATTGAGATGAAAAAAGGCAGTTAGTTCCACAAAACTCTTGTGTTTTCAGTGAATGAGGTGCTTACAAGGCTGAGTTATTGAGGTGTGCAGCAACTGAGGTGGAAAGTGGAGGCCTTTTAAAATTTCACTGTCTTGCAATATGGCATTTCAAGGTTATCATTCAGTTCCCTTATAATTTTTGATAATCACTTTCTGCCTTTTTGGCCAGCAATATAATATTCAGTCCTGTATGTTAATACAGTTATGTGCATTCTCAGTATTGTCAACACTATAGATGCACCTGACATCTATAAACACTGCTGCTGCTTAACAGAAACAAATCTCTCGCTTGGTTTCCTCCATCATCCAAACCATAATGTATGAGCTAACTGAACAACAACAATCCTCAAGGAACATTCTTAAAACAGTTAATTCACAGCAACTGTCAGACATCTAAAGCTGCAAACAGCTGTGCGATTTAAGCTAGTTAGTTCCAAACTTAAAGCATAGATTTTTTTGTCAAACCACATGATCTAACAATGACCAATTAAGATCAGAAGTCCCTTTGCATGATTCTTTTTGATTAAAAAATTCCCGGGTAGCGGACCTCCTTTCTGGTACCATTTGGCGAACATCCTATATTGGCATGGAAGCAAAAATGCATTTGTAAACTTCAAAGACAGCTTAATTATTTGACAGGGTGGAGCTATTTGCCACAAAGAACTGACGGTGGTGGTTGGCCAAGCTTGGAGAGCAGTCCAGAGTTATACAAATCTCTTCTATAGCCCTTTCACATGCCAAAACTGCTTTTTAAACTTAATCAAGTTTCCGAAGTAAATTCTTTAAACTGCATGTCTACAAGTTACTTGTTATTGGAGTACAGGCTTCGTCAGGCTGAAAAGAGGGAAGAGGTTAAAACTTGTGAGTTAGCTTTAAAAAAGTTGAGGTCTGTTAAGAAATGAAAACTCTTTCAAGACACGAGATATAGCGGAAAAGATTTAAGCCTGAATTTTGAGAGAAGTTGGCAATTAACTGGAACAGCAGCAGCTTTACCCCACACATCGTGAGGTCGGACAAGACCTTTTTCCAACTCCTGCTGTAAACTATTAACACAAATCAAAGTTTTTTGTTGTTGCTGCGCATCACTGTAGCATGAGCTGCTTGAGGTTGTCATGAAGGATGGTATCCTTTACATCACGGAATACCAGGCGGATATTTTCTGTATTAATAGCAGTGGTGAAGTGGTTGTACAAGGGCTTCTGCTGCTGCTGGTCCCGGCGTTTCGTGCGAAAACAATCCACCAGGAATTTTTGGACGTCTGTTAAGTTGTGGGGATCCCCTTCAAACTCTGGGAAATAGTCTTTGATGCTCACTTTTTGCACTTTTTCCTCAAGTAAGTCTGTCTTGTTTAGGAAGAGGATTATGGAGACATTGCTGAAAACCCGGTTGTTGACTATAGTTTCAAAAATGTTCAGAGATTCTGTAAGGCGATTTGTTAGTCGATCCTCCATAAGTACCTGGTCGAATTCACTCGATGAAACCAGGAACAATATAGAAGTGACGCTGTCAAAGCATTCAAACCAACGTTTTCGCTCTGACCTTTGGCCACCTACATCAACCATCTTGAAGGGAACATTTTTAATCTCAAAATCATACTCATGAATCCCTTTTGTAGGTCTTCGTGCCAGTAGAATATCTTGCTGGGAGGGAAGATAGTCCTAAGAAACAAACAAACAAACAGCCAAAGTTAATTAAGGTGCTGTGAATGGTACTGAACATTAAAATGAACTGCCCTGGAATGTTTGAAACAGAAAAGATTTTATCATCCTTTGTTATCTAAATGTTTTTTTTAAAAAAATAACTCAGTAGTTGCGTGTACGATACAGTGCCAAAAGTATAATGAGAATGATACCATTCTAAGTTTATCTCATTTACTTGATTAAAAAGTTTTCAGTGACAAATATATGGTTTCAGAAAGAGAAATTATTGGGGGCAGGGAGAGAAGAGAAGGGAACCATTTTCTATGATTGTGTTTTATTCAGGAAAGCACTTACCTAATTTCTAACATTCTGCAAAGTTAGCTATATTATTAAGTAACTAATAGTGTGTCTGAACATTAAATAAAGCCCCTCATAAATTTAAATTCATAGAATTTAAAGTTGGAAGGGACCCTCAGGGTCATCTACGTCAACCCCCTGCAATGCACTTGAGAGAAAAAATATACTTCTTCCCTGTGGAGATTGATCAAATTATACCTTGTCATCTTGAAGATTTCTAACAGGAGCATTTTTTGCAAAGCAGAATTAAAATGCTAACATATCCTAGCTGATTTGTTCTAATCAAGAAAAGAAATACAGAAGAGCTTTATGGACAGAAAAGGACACAGCTTGCTACTTTTCAATCTTTTTGGCTATGCAGATTTGCAATGCTATTTCTTCTCCGCATAATATAGTTCAAGTTTAGGATCTTTATCTTTCAGAAGCAGACACCTAAGCCCAGAATAATGCTGCTTAACAAGCAGAAGAATGTGGAAGACAAACACGGGAGCTGAAGAAAGGCGTGTGCTGCTTGATGTGAAGGCAAGATAGATTGAGAAATGCCGGGAGCTTTCCCTCCTTCCCAAGACGCTTGTCACGACTTCACTGCTGCTGGGGCCTAAAGCCCAATTCCACAGGCTTACTCCCGCTACACAAGATTAACAAACTCAACTAAAACAGAACTGTCTAGCTGAAAAGTGATTATGGCTCAATTTGCACATCATGGTAAGCAGTAAGTCAGGGGTCAGCAATCTTTTTCAGCCGTGTACCGGTCCACTGTTGCTCAGACCATGTGGTGGGCCGGACTATATTTTGGAAAAAAATTAAAATGAACGAATTCCTATGCCCCACAAATAACCCAGAGATGCATTTTAAATAAAAGGACACATTCTACTCATGTAAAAACAAGCTGATTCCCGGACTATCCGCAGGCCGGATTCAGAAGGCGACTGGGCCGCATCCGGCCCCCGGGCCTTAGGTTGCCTACCCCTGCAGTAAGCCATGGCTTGCCGTGAATAAGCAATGTGCTCAAGCACACTGCTCAAATTGCTCCTGCTTCATCGTTCCATCCAACCTACAGATGTGAGAAACAACCATGAAACCTAGGCTTAGTGTTAACATGCAAACCTGCATTGGTAGTTTGTTTCTCTCCAAACAAATCATAAACAGAAGTCAGGCTTTGTTCCTTACTTACCCATTAATGTTTAGAGATAAAACAAACCATGAGCACTGGTTTGCTCATAACACTAAGCCAAGGCCTGTGTTAGCTTCCACCTTTTTTGTATGCCTTTGGAGCTTATAAACAATTCTATAATCCTGATAGAAACTGTGGCCCTGAAGACGCTGTTATTCGCTTTACTGTGTTTTAGAGCTGCCCAAGAACTGGGCAACATGCAATTTGAGCAGACGAAAAACACTATTAGCATCAACCATAGCACTCTGAGTTAATGGAGGAAGCTTAGTAGAGGACGCCAGTGACTACTGAACACAAACACCACATAAGCAGTTTGTGGGCATGTTTTCTCACTTTTAATTTGCAATATAAATTAACTTTCAACTATTACAAGCTGTTAAATAAATAAAAACATTCAAAACATACCAGACTACTTTAAAAATCAATGAAGTTACACTTACTTGTTCTCCAAGTTTATCCAAGTTATCCAGAAAATATTTCACAGATTCCCCCTAAAATGAAGGAATTGTACAGTTAATTGCTTTTCATAGGTAATATATGAATACAACTATCTAATGCAAATTAGATAAAGCAGGTATATTGCACCCCATTCCTAAACACACTTGCTTGAAAACAAATGCCACCAAGATCTGTGGGACTTGCATCAAATCAATGGCCACAATCTATCATAGGGCAAGCACATTGATTCCAGGGAATTTAAGCATTCTGAACACTCCTGGATTGGGACCAATGTACATGGGATCAGGGTGTGCAAGGTAACTGTTTAGAAATTCTGCTTACAAGGAGGTGAAGATGGGGAAATGACTCCAAGTGTGACAATGATTTCTGAACTTCTGCATAATTTGCCTGCACAAATTTGCTGCTCGTCTGTTTAAAGGGGGAAGATTGATACATTGACATTCATATGAGTTACATGCACATAAGATTCTATATCAATAAATACAACTGGCTGTAGCAAGCAGCAACCCAAATTTCAAGGAAGTGCAAAGTCACTAATAACAGAGAACGTTGGAATATAGCTCCCGCCATGTTCACCATAAACTAGTACATCTTTTTAAGAAAGTGTTTTGAAAAACGCACATTTCAAATTACCTTTCCATGCATACAGAAAGTTAATATAGCTGGCACAAGCCAGAGATGGCTCATCATCGGGGGGGGGGGGGGCTATCATTTGACTCAGTATCCTTCAAACAAAATATTCTTTAAGTCGTGAAATGCTTTGTTATGTATGGCAGGTTCGAGAAAGATTACAACTGCCCTATAGTACTGGGGCTAGCACAGTGTGATTCCTAGAAAACACAATTGCTATTAGAATAAGTCAGCATGCCCTGCAACAAAATGCTGCAGTGTACCCCACGTTTCTTAAAATATGCGCTCTTATCCACCATTTGATGCAGCCATTCTCTCCAAGCAGAGCATTGCACTCTGTATCCTCCACACTCCAGTATTTGCAGTTCTCATTGGATGTTTGGCTTTTTTGTTCCCTTATTTTTTCTTTTTTCAAAGTTTACTTTTTCCCTGCAAATCTCAGAAAACGCTCAAGCATGCTCTTTTTAAATCTAAAAACATTTATTCCATATTTCCCCCCAAAAAGAACCCAGAGCAGTTTAAAGCAATAAAACAAATATGCCCAGATAATTTATTAAAACACCATCACAATAAAGCAGAACACAAGAATAGTACTCCAGAAAGCACCAGTCCATAAGACTGAACTCAAGATAAAAGATAAAAAGAAAAGCATCAACATACCACTCTTGTTTCTCACAGCCCCCTTTATGGTTACAATCCTGCTAGTACTCACAAAATGCACACAGCATATCTTCAGGCTTTAGATTTTAATTTGGTCAAATCAGGTTTTCATAATAAGAAACAAATCTGCATTTAGTGCAACCGCAGGGCCTGGTGCACAAATTCTGGAAGGATAACCGTGTCATTCTCCTGACGTGAAAAAAGAATCTTGAGGAACTGTAAGCATGAAGATTTACTGTGGTGTAAACATGCACTCTATTAGATGTATAAATGTTTATCCTCAATTGGAAGATTTTCAAAGATCCTCTTTCCCTCTTTTAGCCACTCCCTTTTCTCTGTTCCCTTTCTCCCACACAGTCGTCCCTCTCACTTTCTCTCCTTTTCCATCTTATGTGTACAGTTATCATCGCCATCAATCACTGCCAATGTGAATGGACTCTTGCATATATCTCACATTTCATGACGATTTGGCCTCACTAATGAATTTTATCTTTCCTGTAACCAGTCTCCTGACTTAGGATCACATTTCTTGCACCTAATGAAGTGGGATTTAGCTTGAGAAATCTTGTGTCACAGCAATCGTGCTAATGTAAATGTCCCACCAGACTTGTGTTGCATGAAGCCCTCCTGTTTGCCAATGTGAAAAGTATGCAGTGGTTACTCATAGAATCTCATAGAAAACGAAGTTCCAGCCAAGGGCATGTTTTCACTTTACAGGGTAGATATGGGACAAACCTGAGGCTCACATGCATCTTTGACCCAGAGAATATGTGGAATAAATCTTGGCTTCCAAACTGTTGGGGAAAGTCATGCAGAGGTATGAGGTTGAAGTGTCATCACTGCACTGATGACACTCAGCTTTACTTCTACGTTGTTCTGCACAGCACTGTATAATTGCAATTGCGTCATATAACACTTAGCAGGGGGGAGGGAGAAGAAATCATAAATACAACTAGTATGGTGCAGCAAGGCAGCACTCAGCACATCTCCTGGAATCTTCTCAGTGTCCATTCACGAATTGCATGAACTTCCGTCGTTCTTCACCATCTTTCAATCTGAGAGTTATTTTAATCAGGGGTACATGCTGTAATCTCACATCCTGTTTTATTAGGCTTTAAATCTATATTAATGTGTACTGGCCACCTTACCAGGATACCTGATGTATCCAGTGGAAGCAAACTGTTGCCACAATAAAACATTTAGGATTATAGATGTTACAGTACTCATTCAGAATCATTTATTGAGAAATACAGTGTGCTTGCTTGCTTGCATTTCACTTTCTCAAATCTTTGCTTATTCTAAGGGGTTATCCACTGTGCAGGTAACATATGATGAATTCATTCCCAGATCCCCAGTAGTGATGTATGGAAGTGACAGCTGGACCATAAAGAAGGCTGATTGCCTAAGAATTGATGCTTTTGAATTATGGTGCTGGAGGAGACTCTTGAGAGTCCCATGGACTGCAAGAAGATCAAACCTATCCATTCTGAAGGTAATCAGCCCTGAGTGCTCACTGGAAGGACAGATCCTGAAGCTGAGGCTCCAATACTCTGGCCACCTCATGAGAAGAGAAGACTCTCTGGAAAAGACCCTGATGCTGGGAAAGATGGAGGGCACAAGGAGAAGGGGATGACAGAGGACGAGATGGTTGGACTGTGTTCTCAAAGCTACGAACATGAGTTTGACCAAACTGCGGGAGGCAGTGGAAGACAGGAGTGCCTGCCGTGCTCTGGTCCATGGGGTTACGAAGAGTCAGACACGACTAAACAACAACTGATCCACTGTCCAGAAATTTCCATGACATATATTGTGGCATTCAGGATCAGAGTAAGTTTACAGTTCACCATTCATGTCTATGTCTATCTATTCCTTCATTTTACAGAGGTTAACCCTCTTCTGTTGTTATTCTGAACACACTTACCTGGTAACAAATCCCAATGAACTCTGTGGAACTTACTTTTTAGTAGATATGTGCAAGGCTATGTTTTTAATCATTCCTAGACTATGCTTTTAATGATTCCTAAATTATAGATTGCGCTATAATTTCATCTGCACCTTTAAAGAGGAAGAGATCAATCACTCGGTAATTTGCTTGAGGTCAAAAAGAACTCTGTGGTGAAAGAGGAAACTGCACTGAGGTTTCTTATAACCAAGGATAGCATTAAATGATGAATTTTTCAACCACATAGCAAACCATGTTCTACCAGCAAAAAATACAGAACAATTTAGACAAACCTGCAAGCCTATAGTATTGTCTGACAAGCTTTTGCTAACTAAGGGAAAACTTTTACAGTACTCACCAAATAAGTAATGTTATTGTTTGTAGGCTGAGACAAGCTAGTTCTGAAGGTTGTATTTTATGTACTTTGGGATGCCAAATGTGAATTTTGCTTTCCCCTAAGCAAATGAATAAATAGTATTTTACCTGAAATTTAAGATGACAGCCATTTCTTCTAGAAGTCTATAAAATCCAGACCACTTGCCCAAACTATGAAATAGAGCACCTAAGTGCTGAATGCCGTACTCATATGAAATCTCAAACATTTCTGTTAAGAAGTCGCCAAGATACAGCAAATATCTTTCCTTGTTTCGTTTCTGTAAGCCCCATTTACAACTCCCGCTCCACAGTGTATCTTTGTTTCCCCCTTTTCTTTCACCTAGAGATGCATCAAAATTTCAGGAGAATGCCAAAGGACTTGCTCTTCCAGGTTTTTGTGCAAATCCACTGTGTATTTTATTGAATGTCAGACTTAACTATTGTAATGCACTCTACGTAGGGCTGCTCATGAAGAGTATTTGGATGCTGCAGCTTGTGCAGAATGCACAACGAAGCTGCTAACGGCCAGCTCTGACCAGACATGTATTACACTAGTCCAGAAATCTGCATTGGTTGTGAATTTGCTTTTGAGCCCAATTTAAGGTGTTAATACCGGCATATGATGCCCAAAATATATGAAGGAGAGGCTACACTCAAATTGGGCATAGAGCACTAGAATATCCCATTTAAAACCATCACAGAACATGTCAAGATGAAAAGTATAAAAATATGAGAAAATCACAAGCAATTTCAAACACACATGCATGCCATTCGTTTCCTTATACAGTCAGAAGCTATCAGTAACCAAGTGTTAACTCTCTAAATCTAACAGACTTGTGACCACTGATATTTGAGCTTGGATGTTTCCACAGGGTTACAAATAGAGATCCTCCAACCCTACCCTGTAACTGAACATTGTATGGATTTCTGTACACTAAGATGGCAAAGAAGCTTAACAACATCACTGGTGTACAAAGTTAAAAAAGGCCTTCTGTCATTTTGCTGGCCTTCAGCCAGTGTCTCTGAATGCTCATGGAACATCTGCTCTCTTGTTGAATTCATCAGCATTATCCAGGGCCAAACTCAGCTACAAAGCCTGGTCTTTTTTTCCAACTGAAAGATCTGAGTAATCTACAGATGCTCACTGTTAAATACACTGATTCATAAACAGCAAGTATTCCATTTTCAGAGGGGCTGTATTTAGATAGCATGTGGTTCTCCCCATAGTCTTGTGATCAACTGAAGAAAGTTTAAGCAAACATTTTAGTACAGTTAGACAAGTGCTGGTTTATGATGAACTGTGAGAAAGGAAATACTTAACCTAGAACTTGATGACACATCCAAAGCAAAATCAGTATTTTCTCCTTAAATATTGTATTCATTTACAGAAGCCTAGCCTATTTCCATCTGAGTCAGACATCTGGCAAATTAGTCATAGAATCCAGTTTCAGTTTGCAAACAGGCAACAGCAGTAACTATCTATGCACTATAAACCAATGTGCCCTTCTGCAGGCGAGGCAGTCAGAAATATTCACAAATGGGAGAGCTGAATATCCAAAAAGGCTTCTAAGAAAAGATCCCTTGCAACTTAACTGCACAATTAAGTTGCCCAATGCAACATGTGTTACTTGTCACACCCGACCTTGGTCTCCTAGTACCACCAGTTCTCCAAGTCACGCTGTTCCATCCTCTTCAAATGCAAAGAGTACTTAAGATGCCTACCTGAGAGACCTGAGCAACTGGCTCTGGACCCCATTGTTCAGCAAGTCAGAGGTCACCCCCTCAAAAGACAGGGGAAAGAGCCTGTAAAAAAGCTGAGCTGCCCTGCAGTTATGCTCTTCCCACCACCAGAGATACAGACCAGACTATCCTTGCCCACTACTTGTCAGTAAACCAGAACAACTATAGTATGCTAGGATTGGTGCAGTTTTAGAGCCACATTATTCTGAATTCTGTTCTACTTTGTCCTTCACCCTGAATGAGGAGGAAGAGGAAGAAGAGCTGGAGTGGGAGGACCTGGCCCCCCAAGAAGAAACCGGGGGAAACTCAGATGTGGACACCAACTTCCTGCCTGACGGTGACAGGAGGAAGAAAACCAACGGTGAGGTTCTTCACCTACAAGAAGAACTTCGCCAAGAGTGGGAAGCCAAACAGGAGAAAATCATGAGTGAAAAAACCCCTATACCAGAATGACATTCGAACAAGGTTATATGACTCTTTGCTAGTTACTCTGTGCTGTCCAATGAGGGATTAAAGCTTGCAAGTAAAAATGGAAAAGGGTATGACTACTAATTTCATTATGTGATCTGGCACTGGGGTTGGGCATTTGACTAGTCAACAAAGATTTAGCTGATTGATTGGTAAAACATTGTCAGTGTTTTTTTGAAGCACTGTTAAAACAAAGTAATACTTTAATCCAGTCTTCCCCAACTTAGTGCCATCCAAATATCTGGAGGACACTAAGTTGGGGAAGACTGGATTAAAGTATTGCTTTGTTTTAACAGTGCTTCAAAAAAACACTGACAAATGTTTTACCAATCAATCAGCTAAACTGGCCAGAAGAATGCCATGGTCAATGGTACTGAAAGCCACTGAAGAACCAACAGGGTCACATCCCCTCTGCCCCACCCAATCTACTCCCTAATGTAAGCTGTCCACATGAGACAGAGACTGTTCTTACCCAAACTAAGGTATGAAGACTGATTGAAACAGATCCAAATAATCAGCATCAGCATGTCAAGTTGGGAAGCTATCATATGTTCTAATACCGTGACTAATAATGAAATATTAGCGATCGGAGGCTAGTTCAAGGTTTGTGGATTCAATAAGGATTTACTGTATTAAATGAATTTAACCACTACCTCCAGAACGATAGGAACCACACCCTTTTTTCTGTGCAATGTTCACTACCTTCATCTCCAGCCCAGTTCTATTGCTGATTTCAATAGCCACAATTGTCAAGGATCCAGACTATACATGTTGGGATTCAATTATCTAAGAAGCTTATCCACTGCACAAGCCATGAAATTCCAAGGTCCTCCTGACAAAGTAGCCTAAGCATGGACATTAAAGTCCTCAACCCCATTGCCTTGGAGTCTTCAATAACACCCTCAAGACCACCTGTATCAGTTCAAATAGGGTGATGTGGGCAGAAAAACAATAGGTACAGAACTGGCCAACTGCTGAATAGGGCATCTGATGAGGCAGATGCTGTCCAGAGTCCAAAGCCATACATCCTGCCCCTCAAATTATGCTTGGTGCTACATCCAATAGCTTGGGCATCTGGGAGAGGTTCATACCTCCCTCAATATCCAGCAATGTCTCAGTAACACAGCCAGACAGCTCACTGATCACAAATCAACACTTATAGTGTTTTCCTCCACAACTTACCAAAACATTCACAATTACAGTGGTACCTCGGGTTAAGTACTTAATTCGTTCCGGAGGTCCGTACTTAACCTGAAACTGTTCTTAACCTGAAGCACCACTTTAGCTAATGGGGCCTCCTGCTGCCGCTGCGCCGCCGGAGCACAATTTCTGTTCTCATCCTGAAGCAAAGTTCTTAACCTGAAGCACTATTTCTGGGTTAGCAGCGTCTGTAACCTGAAGCGTATGTAACCCGAGGTACCACTGTAAAATGCACAATACTAAAAGCCTTTGTAGTATGTGCTAATGACTAAGTAAAATTCAGCACCCACCTGATGCCCACTAATTTCTAGCTCTCATTCTTTCCCCCCCATTACTAGGGTCAGAATGTTGTAGACAAAGGTGAAACCATGACTGCCAAACCACCACTTTCAGGGTCTACAACCCTATAGCCCTTGGTTTCATGGGCCGCATATGCCCCCTCCCTCACCTGTCTATTTCCATACTGCTGATAATTCATAGTCCCTAGTTTAGTTTTGCCTCTGACAGCTTTCTTCTTGGTTCCTCAGTTCTGTGCCTTCACCACTGTTTCTTCATGCCCTCCTTGTCAGTCCACAGCCTGCTTTGTCCCCCTTCCTTCAGCCACCTTGTCTTTTGACTCATCTTCCTTCCTGCCCCACCCCACAACCTTTACTGATCTTCAGGGTTTTCTTCGGATTCTCCTTTTGCTGCAGTTTCTTATTTCCTTCATCCTTTTCCTGAAGCCTCGTTCTCCAGTTAGCCTTCCAGTCCATTTCCAGTGCTGATTTCAACATCTATATAAAATTCTGGAGAAAACTAAAAGGAAAAGTAGGCAAATAAAAAAGCATTTGGGTAGTATAAGCTACTCATATGAAAGGCCTGCTGCATTTAGCAAACTGTTTTTCATGTCTTTCCACCACTAGATGCTTTATCTCTGAAAGCCTGACAACATTTGTCTTTGTTGGCCTGCATTTCCTGCTTGGGCTGGAAAACACAGTGAAGCAACTTCTTCATGTCCTAATTTAAATCTATTTCTATGAGATCAGAGGAGAGAGTACTGTAAAAGTTTAAATCCAGAAATATTCCAACAAGCGAAATGCAGCCTCTTAATAAGGGTGAAAGCTAACTCCTAGTGATGAACAGCGGATCAAGTATTGAACTTGGACGGGGGAAATCAGTGTTCATGTCCCCATTCAGCCACGTAGGTTCACAGGGGAACACAGAGAATGGAAGCTGAACCCTTCTTGCATGTCCATTGCTAATCTCTTTGCAAGTCATCATTCATGAGTTCTTTTCTTATCTCCAGGTTCAGCGTCCTTACAGGAGAAAAGGAATTCTGGAAATCAAACACCCCAAGCTTTGTACCTCACTAGGTCAGAAGCAGGTTTAAACAAACGGGTCTGGCGTCATCACATAAAACTTGAGCATTGAAGACATACAAAAACAAAAAGTTCATTGAAATATAGCTACACAGCCATGAGCATTTCTGAGGCTGGCTCTCTTGTTGTTTCTACGCTGGTTCCCAACCGATTAGATCAACCCTATACATAGCTATTCAAAGACAGGCTGGTAAGCTCTCATGCCAGTTGTTTACATGCACAACCCTTTCCCCCTCTCCAGCTTCATCTTTTCTAGTGCTAAAAGCAATTCAGGCCTTACTTTTATGGTATTTTCCTTAGTGCCACTGAGATAGTGACATAGCTACACACAAGCTAACCTAGTATGATTCTTTAAGCAAGGTGGTAACACTTTAACATTAGATGCACAGCACCAGTAATTCAGCCTTCATTGCAGAGTATTCATTCCATGTTTTTTGTCCTCCATATCTTTTACCATTACAGGACTATAAATTCTTAATGCTTTGATAGGAAGACTGACACAACATACTGTAACTCTAGGCTAGAAGTTGAACATATTTATCACTACAGCATGGGCCATTTCCCAATCAAGTGTTCACCTAGGGATAGGCAAGTGACAAATCACAGGGCTGCAATTGCTTACGTGGATAATGAACATTTCTCTCCACTGCTTTTCATGCTAAAAAGAGAAACAAACTGTAGAGATTCTAACCAAACACACCTTTTCCTGTCATTGACAATCTGATCAAAGGCTTGCAAGCATTGTCACAGACATAAACAGGATTCTGAAGAAAGACACTGTTCTAATTCTTCCTGGAATGGTCTTGCACTAGTTTTAATGACAATTCTCTTTCAAAGTTGTTAGCAGACCAAGAGGCCAATTCTACATCCAATTTCAGTTAAATGACAGAAGTGAGCATCCAAAGCTCTGAATACTGTATGAACATGTTAAGAGAATATTCAAATTATTTAGAGAGATGCTAAATCTACAAAGAAGCCACAACATTATTCAAACGCAAACTGTGCCTCACTGGATTGAAACAAATATATTCCAGTGTAAAACTAAGCAGAAGCAAATTAATTCAATTTAGATTTATCCAAATTGTTCTAACTCCAAATTTAAAATTAAAATGCAACTGGCTTATATAGTTGTATTTACAGTTAGACACTATTTGCAAGGTTTTTCTATTCCACTAAATATTCCTTTAGCTAATAATCTTGTACAGAAATAGTTGATTTTGTTTAAGAAATAAGATGCCACCACTCTAAGACAGCTCTCCCTTCCTCTTACATGCTAGCCCTTCAAAAACTTCTAAAGTGAAGATCAGCATCAGATTAAAAACAGTCACCTGATTATGCCATTGCCATCACAAAAAGCTATTAATTCATACCTGTATCACTTGCCCCATAAATCTATACAACTGAATCTCAATTACACTAGTACCTACCACCAGATAATATATTCATTCCAGTCACACAATACTATTTTAGTCGCAAGCTCTGATCACCTGACTCTGAGGCAAATATTTTCCCTACTCCTTATTGGGGGGAAATAAGAGAGTGATCTCACCAGGTACGTTCTCCTAGAGAGGAGCTACATCTACAGCGGTACCTCCGGTTACAAACGTAATTCGTTCTGGAGGTCCGTTCTTAAGCCAAAACTGTTCTTAACATAAGGCGTGCTTTCGCTAATGGCGCCTCCCACCGCTGCAGCGCAACTTCCACTTGCATCCCAGGGCAAAGTTTGCAACTGAGAGCATCTACTTCTGGGTTAGTGGAGCTGGTAACCCGAAGTATTCGTAAGGAGGACGGTACGTAACACGAGGTTCCACGGTAATGTCAATTCATTCTAAAGCACAGGTGTCATGTGGGAACTGCTCTGCATGACATGAAGTAATTTCAAGTGAGACTCAAATGATTCAGAAACACCGTATTTTTCCACATTGTAGCAGAAATCACCAAAATCTTGCAATGTACTTTATTTAGTACTCAAACATGTTAAGCAGTGAATAAAGGGCTAGCACACAGAGTCTACTAAGCACAACAATTGGAAAACAGTAAAATTGAAAACAAGCAGACTGTCCGCTACAAACAATAATCACTACCTAAACAGTACTACGCATGTTTGTTTCAGGCCAAAATGTCCTCATGGCTGATCTTTTATTTAATGCATAGATCATTTAATTTATGGTTTACATCTATTCAGTGGATTTCTATTATCTACTTTGAGAGTCATCTAAAACCTTTGGTCAACTCTAAGTATATATTTGTATAACCTATTTAATGTTACGACATGTTTACACAATAGTCCCTTATAACTTGAAGAAACATGATCTATGATTCATATCTCAAAATAGATCACACTGCCTCGTGAATTAGACAACTACACAAAAAATATTAGCATTGTATAGCAAACCTGGAAGTTAATTAAATAGAGCATTACTTTGATCTATGCATACTATGGGATTATATTTGAAAGGGGTAGCAATGTTGCATCAAAAAAAAAAAAGTTTTGTAGCATTTTAAAGACTAGCTGGTTTATTGAGGCACACACTTTCGTGGGCTAGAGCCCAATTCAATCAGTTTTATCGAATGAAAAAGTCTCTAGGCTAGGAGTATATTCCACACAGTATGTGGGATCTCAAATATAACAATAGTGTTCCCTTTAGAACCAAGATTTACTGTTGCAAAATGAATAGCTTATGCTAGCAGGGGTGGACAACTGGATCCCATCCATCAGCCAGCTCCTGACAGTTCCCCAATCCCAGCGATGGGTGGGCATTTAAGTTCAGTGTGCAATGCAAGCCTTACTTGTAGTATGGATCTTCTCAGTTCAGAAGCCTTCCAAATACAGCCCAACTCAAGGCACCAAATTTAAAATGAATCTGAAGCACACTTTTATCTCCCCCACATCTGACATCATATGATATTGAGAGTAGAGATCATAGGCACGGCTGTGAGAAAATGGCCTTGCAAGTCAAATTAGGATCCCAGCCTGCCCAGCATTGGGGGCAGAGGTTCCCCAAGCATGCATTACAGGTACCTAGCAGAGACATTCAGTTTGCAGTCTTCATCTTGGAAGACAGTTTAGAAGCTGACCATATGGCACCGAGCTTAATTCTCTTACTTTTTTGCTCTTTATTCTTCCTCATCCTCCCCCACACCCTTCTGCTTTAACATCTTGCCTGGTGAAGAGTTCTGGAGAAGTTGACAGCTTGCCAATATTTTGTAACATTTTGGTTGGCCCTAATAAAGGTATTGCCTACCTTTTTGGATTTTGGAGGGGGGTTTTCTCAGCTGGCTTTACTCTTAACATGCCTTTTATTACACTTTCTTACACTTCTGCAATATTTACTGGGAGCCATTCGTGACTTTGATGGAATAAGGATTGAACTGAACTCCCATGTTCAGACCAGAACTGCAGTTAGTTAACTTTTATGTTCCAAAAAAACAAACACAAGAGTTGTATTAAAACTTGGTGTTAGAAGTACAGCTGACTTCACATATTTTCACATGTCCAGATCTTCTGCATTAGCAAGAAGCCACAACTAAGCAAAGCAGACAGTGGAAAGTATTGCAGTAACAAAGTTCTCACTGTACAACTCCATGGGCAAAGCAACAGAAAAGTTGTCAAATTTGAATTTAAAAGGTGAAGAGTAGCTAGCAATTTTGCAAGCTTAAATGCCAGTTAAGAGTTACTTTGTATAATCTACTTTTGTGGAGGTATATTCTACAGTATACCAGGCACCTCACCGTGATACTCAGGCAATAAAAGCAAAGCAGTTTTATATGCAACTAGACTATGTGAACTTTGTAAAGAACAGGCTATTGCCAAATTCTAAAGTGTTAATGTTCACATTTCTATTTGGGGAAGTGGGAGGGAGAGGGAGAGGGGGAAGGGGAGAGAGAAGGAAATGACAGCTGTGTGCTGTTCAAACATTCATCAAGCCAGGAGACCTTGGAGTATGCATCGAAAGTGAAACTGACTAATGTTTCCTTCCCTTCTCTCCCATATACCTCAAAGCCAAGATGCAATTATTACTTAAAACAGTACATAAATCAAATTAGTTAAAAACACAAACAAAAAAGTTGTCACTTGCAACAAAGCATCACACAAATTAAATGAGGTTTCTGAGATTTGAAGTAGTTTGCTTTAATGATTTAAGGCATTCTAAGGAACACCTTCCTTTCTCCTAAATTATGTCACGAGAACTGGATAAATACAAAAGTTTGTAACCAGAGGCTGGATTCAGTTAACTAGTTCCACTAGTGGTAGGAAGTGCAATGGCTCACGCTGGCATGTCAGGCCTCCCCCATATTGGCTTGGGTGGGGTGGGAGAAACCCCAGAAGGGTGTGCAGGGGGAGAGGGGAAGTCTGGGCAAGCAGAAATGCTTGAGCTAAAATAACATCTGTATTAGCACAATGTTGAATTCCTCTCTTTGTTTCCACATTTGCCAAAGGACTGACAACCTGAATGAAAACGTTCTAAAGAAACTCTGCATATACGTGCCCATTTATTTTTCTTAAAATATAAATGCTAAGAGTTTTATGTCTTATTTCTCTTGTTGTTGTCATTGGCTTGGACCCAATATTGCCAACCAAAAAGGCACTTAAATTAGCAGAAAGTCATCCCCGTCCCTCTTTATTGATTCTGCAGCTCCCCACAACACATTCCATCCCATTCCATTCTGGAGGGTCCTTTGACCCTTAGGAGCAGCTTTTCAAGGGCTGTAATGTGGAAGACGGGGCAGGAAAGCCCCATTGTGTAAGGAGGATTCTACACGTGCTTCTTGGAATCCAAGCTGTTACTGCATATATGCTATTCTGGAAGCAGTGGTAAATTTTTGTCACAGTTCTTCATTTCATAATATGGAGATTGAGAAGTATGGGCAACAAGAGCATGGTTTCACATAAAATGACAAACCATAGGGTGTCTCTACATGAGCAAGTCTTGGGCTCACACACTTCCACCTTCCCCCATTTCTCTTGCACAGTAAGATGATCTTACTTATGGTTTCTACAAACCATAGTTTCCCGTTATGTCTGAACCAGCAAATTATAGTTTGATTTAGACATAGTTTCAAAGTAAATGAACAAGCCTGGAATGACCCTTAGGCTTGCATATTCACTCTCTCTCATGTGCTACAATGCCTCATTTCCTTGATCTGTAGAAAAACAAAATTGGCCCAACATCCAAACCAACAAGACGTACCAGAATTGTAAACCAGTTTGATCTTGATTTTCAAAAGCACATAGACAGACAATTTAATGCAAACAATGGTTTACATAATTTAATGCAATTTAATGCAAACAATGGTTCACCTCATGAATATTAGTGCATGAGGTGAGAAGGATAAACTGTGGTTTTGAGAACTGGGAAGACAACTGGGAAGTGCAACGAAATGTAGACATATGGAAGCCTTCCCTAAGTAACATCTTGCTTTCCGCCATATTTATGTATCTACAGTACTTGATTTATATAGTTGCCCCGTATCAGAAATACTCTAGAAGCCAGTATGCTGTAGTTGTGTCTGACTAGGATCCGGGAGACCAGGGTTCAAATCCCCACTCAGTCATGAAGCTCACTGGGTGACCTTGGGCCAGGCACAGCCTCTATAGCAGCCTATAGACCCTCAACCTGTGGGTCCCCAGATGTTGTTGGACTACAACTCCCATCATCCCTAGCTAGCAAGGCCAGAGCTCAGGGATGGGAGTTGTAGTCCAACAACATCTGGGGACCCACAGGTTGAGAACTGCTGCTCTATAGGGTCTTTGTAGGGATTAACTGAGGAGAGGGAGTGAACCATGTACTCAGAGAAGGTGGGATATAAATGCAATAAATAAGCTCTTCTGTGTACCTCCTTAAGAAAGCTGGAGATGCAAGCCAGATGGAGATGTCAGGTGCCAACCTGGCATCCAGAAATCTCCATGTGGTCGTAATTGGACCCGCGCCAATAGCAAAATGTGCCTGGTACCCGGTTAATTTCTAACACTGGCAGTTCATATGCTCGTGTTTAGCATCCTAGGACTCTTTTGAGCAAAGGTAACATTACCAAGAGTTAAGTGATTGAGAATAAGAGGAGCCATAGCTGAGTGGTAGAGCAACTGTTCTGTATGCTGAATGTTTGATACCTTGCATCTCCAGGTACGTAAGGAAAAGACTCCTGTCTGAAATCCCGAACAGCTGCTGCCAGTTAGTGTAGATAACACTTAGCTATAGAGACCAATGTTCTGGCACTAAGGCAGTTTCCTATTTCCCATGTAAAATAACACCATGCTGTAGTTATTTGTGCCTTGCTCCTCTAGAAACCAAATATTCCCACATCATTACCCCTGACTGTGTTTATCATCATCCCTAAACTTCTTTCAGAACCTACACCTGATTTTAACCAGACATATGTGGTGCACAAGTAGCTTGTAATACCATTTTTTTTCTTTTTGTATCTTTAGTTTATCTGAAGTAGATTAAGAGCAGGAAATCATTCTTATATACTCTCATGGCCAGGTTCAAATTTCAGGCTCTGCTACAATTATGGTGGGCCTTGTGGATATTAGGTTCTGTGTAATGATTCTTAATAATCAATTTGTAATATGAAAATCATAGCAGACTAGGCTATACATCTTTGGAGTATTTTGATCATGGCTAATGATAACTTTTACAACGGCTCAGTAAGGAACCATTAATTCACCTGAAAACATTTCACAATATGCGATCTCAACAGGAACAACAAGTATCAGATGTGCTTCTTACCAGTTGAAATTCTCTGCGTCTGTCGTAGGCATGCTGGATACCACTATCTGCCCACAAGCTTCTTATTGCTGGAAGGAACTGCAAAAAAACTTGGGTCTCCACCATTCCGTGCGCCACCACTCCTGAGCGGGTATCAAAGGCCATCAGCATGTCACCATTTCTTTGGTTAGAAGGATTTCCCCAAGGAATATGAAGTTTCTCTCGAGCATCCACAAGGACTCTTACACCTTCAACAAAATTGAAAGCACTTTGTTATTTTCCTAGTGGTATTTATTTTAGGCCCAATAAACAGCTTCTCTCAAAAAGCAATGAGTGACACACATAGAGAGACCCGATCTAATGACAAGTACTGTAATGGATAGAAAAATGTCTGTAGTAGCCCCGACTGTTTTCTGCATAACCAGATCCTGTGCAATTTTGGGTCTGGAGAATAGCTGTTTCATATATGCCTAAGACAGCTGCTGGAATAGGACACTTAACAGAGTCCAAAGTGGTAATCAGAAATAGGGAGGTTATCAGCTTTGACAAAGCATGTCTTCAAATTTTCTTTTCAAATAATGAACTATAGACATGGTAATAACTTGGGATGCAATTGCAAAACTGGCCTAACACTTTAATTCTAGCACATCGTGAAATAGGGTTGAGTGAGACCTGGTTTTCAATCTTGTGATATATCGCCAGCTAAACATCATGATATACCAATATATCATGTCAGAAATAAGGATGGAGCTATGCAGAGGCACTGGCTAGCTTCACAGTTTTGCCCACATTGTGATTTTTGCAAAGCGCGCACACACACACCATGATTTGCAATATATTGCCAGGTCAAAAATTATGAAACCGGTATCACAATATGGACTTCGAACTGTTTGGGACAATTTATCACCCAGCCCTATCGGGAAATAAGTCCTACAGACTTCAGTGCAGTCCAGCTCATCTTGAAAATGTGAAGAAAATACTATCCTTAAAATATAAGGTAAAAAATAGAATGTGTACAAGCTGTTACATTTTACTGATAAAATGAAAATACTGGTGTAATGGAGGGGCTAAGGGATTCAGTCATGAACAACTTGTGGGTTTAAAATTTACCTGCTATGAAGTTCCTACGTAACTGTAGGTAGGCACTCTTTTTCAGCCTCAAGACACTTTACACTAACATATATTACAGGTGTGCTGCAAACATAATATCTGAAGCAAGGCATTTTTAACACTCTACTGTGCTATATGAATACTAAGTACTGTTATTTGATGAAAAGTGGAAATACATGTATAAGACCAGAACAACCTACTTTGGTGTCAAAGTTAAAAATATATTTGTAGTTTCAAAAACACTATTAAGTATTTTCAGTAAGATATTGATTATCTAGTATCAGTTATCATGATCCTGGAAAATAGTTGGTGAAATATATTCAGTCTCTCTTTCAGACTCTCTTACTTTCAAAGTAAGAAGAATGGGAGAATTTTAGTTTTAAATGCCAAAACAGTTCGAATTGTGGCTATTAGTTGAGATCTTTTCATTTGGGATTGTTGATGCCTATAAAGAAAAAAAGAGGGACCCTTTTACTGCAGATAGTCATGACGATAGAACAATATAATCTCTCTTTTGTAAACATAGGCTTGTATCCAACTGTATCCTTTGGCTCAACAGAAGGCTCTTTCATCCATCAGAGGCTTCCATGAAACAGGGAAAGGCAATTTTCATCAGTTTCCCTTTCCTTCTGGAGCCCTCAAACACCTCCCCCTACCCCTTTGGAACAGCGTGGGAGGTGCTGCAGAATGGGGGCTCTAGGGAAAAGGGAGCCAAAAAAACCCCCTCCTTCCCCTTTTCACTCAAGAAAGTCTCCACTAAGAGAAGAGCCTTCAATTAATGGAATGGCAATCTATAGCTGTGTAATATATCTGCATAATTTTCTCAAAGTGCCACTACTGTTTGATTCCCAAGAAGCCCAGCCATGTAAAATTCCTTCAATCTTAGGTGATCTAGTGTAACAACTGGGTGGAAAAAGCCTGAGGCAGCTAACATTTAGATCAGGTAGGAGAGACAGGCACATCCTGATGACACATGTGAAGAAGACATATATTAACCTGTGTAGGAATTTAAGAGAGCATGACAGCCCAGAAGGCATATTTTCTTGGCACAGAAAGTCTCAGCATGACAAGATTATGCTTACACTACAGATAACTCCCCATTCTTGTGCTCGTGTATAAATTAAGCACCACCATAGACAAGGCTCAGAAGCCAAGAGCCCCATCTTATGATTTTTGAACAGATTCTAGACACTTCAAAAACTGGAGAATCAGAGAACAACTTTCCCCTACATACAGATCAAGGATATAAGCAGCTCCTGCATACGTGAAGCTTGTAAGCTGTCATGGTACAACCTCCTGTACACATCTTTCCAGAGAGCTATCTTCAAATATTTGAAATGTATACACTTTTTTGGTAGATACTTGAGATGGGAAGCACTTTCAGCTTTAACGCCTTATTTTTGCAAACATATGTTTTGTATGGAGATGTGAGGGCCCGTGGGGAAAATGGAAAAATTGAAGCGGGGAGAGATGGTCCCCTGAAAAATATGTGTTTCTCCCCCGCAAAAAAAGAAAAGAAAAAGGATTATGAAATATTTTCATTTAGAATGACAAAGAAAGTATTTAGGCCAAAGTGTTCATATATTTTCCCCACCCCCTGCCAAATGATTTCTAAAACTATGTAACAGGAAGGTTTTTATGTGAGACTATGTATGTACAGTATCAAATCATTACAATTCCTGCACAGTGAGAACAAGTCCTGAGCTGTCAACTGAGAGTACAACGCTCACATGCAAGAGCAAGATGCATTTTGGCCCCTTGGAGGGCATTGTCACCGTCACATGAGAAGGAAGAAGCATTCAATGCCATCTTTGCTTGTGGTCTTCCTCTTACTGGCATATTTGTTGATCCTGTTTCTGTCCTCTCATGTAGGCCTCAAAGGACTGGGAGTGGAAGCTAGTACATAGCAACATTATTTGTTGTCATCTAATTCACATTGCTGTTGGATCCAAGATTCAATGTCATAAATGATGATTGTACTACTTATGAATATGATCAAATTACAAAACAAACAGCACACTTAAGGTTTGTTGTTGGAAAGGTGCTTTCAAATGCTGCAGGCTTCAGAACATCTTCACACATTTGGTCAAGGAATACAGTGTGGGGTTGTGCCAAACATATCCCGCCTGCAGAATGATGGCAAGGTCTCTGCACAACAAAGTCTCTGACTCCTCTTGCTTCTTATATACTTCAGATTCCTCCATCTGCTCCAACATGTGAAAGAAACTGGTCTATGTTTGAAACACCAAATCAAGAAATAAACTGATTATGTGAAAAGACAGAAGTTTATTTCAATCTGGGGAAACCTTCAGCTTTTAGAGGTTCATGATAATATGAAGAAACAGAAAGTGATACCACAGAAAAAGAGACTGTTCAAATTTCATGTACTGTAGTGTTCACTGAGTTTTGTTCCTCCTCCCATCTTTATCTTGGCTCTTTTTATGTCTGTTTTATACTGTGGAGGACTGAAGAAGACGACATCATAATTTTCTGAATAATCATTTGTTTTACTATAATGTTGACGGTTTCTAGTTATTGTTTTTGAGTGCTCATTTACTGGCAAAACCAAATAAATGCTAGGTTCCTTAGTTTGCAGCTTGAAGCTCAATTTTTTAACGAAAACTTTAAATTCCATTTGCCTGAACAAACGTTATTTTAAATATACTAGACATGATAATTCTGTGGTAAATCAAGTTATACATAATGCATCTAATGTTCCTAAAGTAACAACATGCCTTTTAATATGTAAAGAGTATGTAATGTACAAGTATTGTATTTAAAAATAAATAATTTCCGGAAAAGAGCTTTCAGGGGAAACACTGGGGAAAAACCTTCCTCCCCTCAATGACTTCAAAATTCCCAGAAAACTTACATCTCTAATTCTGTGATTTTTTACTCAGTTGAGATTTGTACACATCAACTCCTCTCATTGTGCATAAAAAGAGAAACTGTTAGGAAGTTGAAAACGAGACTGGACAGGTTAAAGCTGGAATCATAGACTGTAAAATATTGTCACCAGTTGTAGCTTGAGCCAAACCCAAATATTTTGTAAGCCAGGAGGGGGCAGGGAGAGGAAGCACACAAGCCAACTGACATGCAAAAATAATTTGTTCCTATACTACTCACTTCCATGTCACAAGACAGCATTAGAATGACACTAAGCAACGGTACAGATATATCCATTCTTGGACAAGTTTTGGACATATTTTCATAACTGTTCATCACTTTGTGAAAGATAAAAAAAACCCTCTCCCCATGCCTACCCTTCTCTCCTCACTGTGTAACCACCAAGAACTCTCCTCGCTTACCCTTCACGTCCCCAATTTCACATGCAACAAATTACACATGCAAAAAACTACAGACACAACTGAACTGTCAGGTGTCATAAGCAAGGCATGATAACAAGCTTCTATGAACTCCTGTTTGATAAATCTCAAGAATATTTTTTTAAAATAAACTCCCCAGGCAGGATTTGTACGCCATTCCACATTGTTCCGTTATGGACCATTCACCTCCTGCAGCAGACATTGAAACATTTGGCTGTCTAATCTTGAGTGACTATAAACACACACATGACTACTCACACTTATAACCCATTTTCACCATATGCAAGCCTTACGTTTTTAGGTCCACAATTCTTCTGTACACTCAGGTAACTGACTTCTGGAAACTTTTCTCTGAAGCCCCTCATTAACCTTGCAATTGCAATTCCTTTGCCTATAGTGCTATGCCTAGTTTCGTCTCTCTACATACCCAGAGTCACAGCTTCATATCACAATATACCCATAACATAATATATATTTGCTACAACTACTGGCACACTACAACAGGTATCTTCAACCTTTTCAGACTCAGGACTCACTTTTAACCCTAACATGCATCTGGGGACCCATTCTTAATCTTTCATCACCTATATGCATGGCAGTAGTACTTCTGCTACACCCCACTTTGGATCAGGTTGTGAAGTGGGTTCCAACCCGCCAACTGATGGCCAACGAGTGCACGACAGAATCTGGCACAAGGCCATCCTGACCACCACACTATTAATTCCATATACAGTACATGCCAGGACCCCAACTACTCCAACATAAACGAGCACTCACATCTTTAAGCCAACGTACTGAGCAATGACAAACCTAGACAGCATCCTAAAAAGCAGAGACATCACCTTGCCAACGAAGGTCCGTATAGTTAAAGCTATGGTTTTCCCAGTAGTGATGTATGGAAGTGAGAGCTGGACCATAAAGAATGCTAATCGCCAAAGAATTGATGCTTTTGAATTATGGTGCTGGAGGAGACTCTTGAGAGTCCCATGGACTGCAAGAAGATCAAACCTCTCCATTCTTAAGGAAATAAGCCCTGAGTGCTCACTGGAAGGACAGATCCTGAAGCTGAGACTCCAATACTTTGGCCACCTCATGAGAAGAGAAGACTCCCTGGAAAAGACCCTGACGTTGGGAAAGATGGAGGGCACAAGGAGAAGGGGACGACAGAGAGATGGATAGTTGGACAGTGTTCTTGAAGCTACCAGCATGAGTTTGACCAAACTGTGGGAGGCAGTGGAAGGCAGGAGTGCCTGGCGTGCTCTGGTCCATGGGATCATGAAGAGTCGGACACGACTAAACAACAACTGACTAAACAGCATGCTTCCAATTCAGGATTCAAAATAAAAGAGCGCAAGCCAGCGTTGCCACCCAGACTCTCTGCGCCCCCAACTTCGCCTTACTCCCTCCCTCCCGTCCCTTCTTCATCATGCTCTGATCACGTTTCTCCGAGTTATATCGTACCCACGACATGTCCACCACCACTAGCTCAGTGGTAGAGAACATGCTTCGCCTGCAAAGCGTCCCAGGTTCTCAGTGCCGTAGAAAGCCCTCCGTTCTCACACGGCACAAGGCAGCTGTCAGGTTCCTTATAAAGGCCCCGTTCGAAAATCCCCAACTCGTCACAGCACAGCCGAGTCGGGCGACTCACGCGCGGGGGGGCCTTTCCATACTCAAGCACCCTCCAAAACCGATGACACGTGTACTGAAAAAGTGAAAACAGGAAAGCTGCGGCGAGGGCTGTGGATCCCAAGGGCAAAAAAAAAAAACAAAAAGAAACGGGGCAAGAAGTGAGACGTTCGTTCTGGCCCGTCTCCCTCAACACACCCTCTCAAGCCGCAGCCCTCACACCCGTGTTTTCTTTTCCCCACGTACACCCTCAAGGCTCCAGCGACTTCGCCTCCACAGACCTTTCCCACCCTCTCTTTTTTTCTTCTCTCTCAGGGCTTCCGTCTTTCAGCAGCAGTAGCTGAAGCGTTTCTCCCTGCAAAAGCTGCGGTTCTTTTTTCTCTCTCCCCCACCCACCCACCGCTTTTTTGTTGTTTTGCGGGCTTCCCCCTCCCCCACCTCAACGGATATCGGGGGGCGCGCGCCTCTTCTGCTCCCCCTCCCTCTTTCCGGTGGCCCCAAAGTTTGGGGAGGGGGACGGAGGGGGGCGCGCGCGCGAGAGGACCCCCCCTTCCACCCTCACCCTTGATGACGTTGCTGTAGATGGTGGCGCGGAACTCCTCTCGAGCGGCCCGGTCCCAGTCCTGCCCGTGGATGATGCGCATCTGCTTCAGGAAGGTGCTCTTGCCGCTCTCGCCCGCGCCCAGCAGCAGGATCTTGACGAGCCGCTTGACGTAGGTCTTCTCGCGGTACAGGCACTTGTCGATCTCTTTGGACTTTCGCTGCTGCTCCGCCTCGCTGCTGTTGAGCAGGCAGCCCGGGAAGCAGCCCGACAGCGGGGACCGCGATGGCAGGAAATCCGCCATCTTAGCGAGCACTGCCAGCCAGGGAGCGGCCGCCGCGGCCCTGCGCCGCTCTGCGCCTGCGTAGCTCCAGGGGACGGGCAGGCCGCTCCCCCCCTCACCAGCCCACTCCCACGTGACGCGAGGCGCCGCTCCGAGGGCGTCACGTGGCGAGCTGCCCAATCAGGAGCCTCCCTGTCGTCACGCGGCTGACTTTTCTCGCTTTCCGTCCGTCGACGCTCCCGCCGTCCTCCGTCACGTGGCCGTGCGGTGTACTCCCTAAAAAACTCCCCCGCGCGCTTTTTTGTCACGTGATTTCTCTTCTGCGAGGCAGAATCCCTCTCGTATCGGTTGCTCGTATCGGTTTCCTTTCACGGTAGCCGAGGCGCCTAAAGTATAGTGAGAAAAGTGCTGAGAGCATGTGCAGAGTGCGTTTCTCGCCAGGGGCGGGCGGGGAGGAGCTGCACTCCGCCCAAAATCAAGTAATTAAATAAAAATACTAAAAGTAGAAATTGTAGAATGATTTTGACAATTCCCCTCCCCCAGCACGGGTTAAAAAGAAAAATTGAAACGACTGCTGTTGAGACGTTTCATTCCAAATCTGCTAAGCAAAGCCAGAGAGAGGCATAGGCATAGCCAGGATTTATTTTAGGGGCGCAGGCTTCATGTTGCGGGGGGGGGGGGCAGAACCGAGTTATCTGTGACACAATTGGTCAGTTAGTTATTTAAGCATTTTTATTTATTTACTTGATTTAGCGGTGCAGCTGCCTTCCTGCACCCACTGACAGTAGATGATGACAGGTGGGTGTCCTGCCAACCCCTCTAACATAAATCCTGGCTATGCCCATGTTTCCCTCCGCCCTCAAATACATATCCGAATCCGATCACTGGAGGGTGAAGAAGAAGAAGAGGCGTTTGGATTTGATAGCCCGCTTTATCACTATCCGAAGGAGTCTCAAAGCGGCTAACATTCTCCTTTCCCTTCCTCCCCCACAAGAAACACTCTGTGAGGTGAGTGGGGCTGAGAGACTTCAAAGAAGTGTGACTAGCCCAAGGTCACCCAGCAGCTGCATGTGGAGGAACGGAGACGCGAACCCGGTTCCCCAGATTACGAATCTACCGCTCTTACCACACTGGTTTTCTGGTTCTCGAATGTTGCTTCGAAGCAGGCTGGGGGCATCTTCACCTGTCCTGTTAGAAATTAAGCATTCCCGCACAGAAGAAAGGAAGATCTCCCCATCAGGTTGAGCCTACTCTGATTGCGTTTGGCTGCAATTCTTCAGTAGGAAACACATGAGACCATTGTTTTGTCCTCAGAGATACAGTTCCCATTAGCCTTAAACTACAGTTCTGAGGATAAAGTAATATTCTTTATATGTGCATTGCTTGTATGGTGGGGATCTGCCCCACTTGTAAGCACTGCTTATCCCGAGGTCTCTAATGTGATTTTATGAAGCAGCCACATCTGGTTGCCATAAGGGAAGCACGTTTCTTTATATATACAATAATAACAATAATAAATAAGACACAATCAGCAAACACAATTTAAAACATAAACTGCGAGGTAGGGAGGAAAGGAAAGACAGAAAAGCTCAGGCTGTGATAATTACATTATTAATAGTGGCCATTCACAGTTTGATTGATGGCACAGATATGTGTGATAAGAATCCATTGTGCCAATTCAATCCACAAATGATAGTACTGAATTTCTGGATGAACTAAAATTCAGGAGTTTCTGGTTGCAGTCTGCCTTTGAAGTTCCGTTAAATCAGTTATACAGTGTCCTGGGAAATTGCAAAGACACACCTCCGGAGCCTGGACATGGCATCTTGTATCTGCTATCCAAAATGCACAAACCAAGCAACCCCAAGTGCCCCATAATTTAGGACTTCAGAGCCATCTCAGTTGGGGTATCTGGTTATATAGACTCCATATACCAGATCATATTCCATCAGCACTTCCAAGTTATATACTCATTAATATTTTTTGGAGAAAACTAAAATATATTGACAATCTTACAGACAATGCCATCATAGTAGTAGTAAAATTATTATTATTATTATTTCTGTTATTTATACCCCGCCCATCTGGCTGGGTTTCTCCAGCCACTCTGAGCAGCTTACAGCATATATAAAAACATAGTAAAACATCAAGCATTAAAAACTTCCTGATACAGGATGGCCTTCAGATGTCTTCTAAAAGTTATGTACGTACTGTAGTTCTTTATCTTCTTGACATCTGAAGGGAAGGCCTTCCAGAGGGAGAGCGCCACTACCAAGAAGGCCCTCTGCCTAGTTCCAAAGTCTGCCACTTTATACTTACCCACAATGACTTCTGTTGTGGGGAGAACATGTATCTTCAAACTAGTGGCACAGCCATGGGCAGCTGCATGGTTCCACAGTATGCCAAGATCTTCCTGTTTGACCTTGAATAACACTTGCTTATCTCCCATTCTTCAAAGCCTCTCCTCTACCTGAGATACATATATTGATGATTGTCATCTTTGTCATCCGGACTCACTGACTGGGGATATCTGAACAATTCCACCACTTCTACCTCACCATCAGTGTGATCCTAGACCAGTCTGCACAAGAGCTTCACATGCCGCTGTGCAAGTTCATAACAGAGCATCTCTTTATATAGGAAACTCACTGGTAGCTGCACATACTAACATGCTTTCTGTTTTCACCCCAACACACCATTGTCTACAGCTAATCCCTATGATGTAACCACATCTGCTCAGATTATAACAACAACAAAACAACAACAACAACAACAACCGGAGTTTCCTCTTAGTACAATGTTCCCCTAACAAAGTGAAAAAACAACAGACCAACAAGAGCAGATTAATACTTGGGAAGTATTATCTATTATCCAAAAGCAGAGGCAAAACTAGGCTTTATTTCACGCAGGTCAAAGACCCAGTTTGGCACACACCCCATGTGCATTTGCGTACAAACACATACAGGCTGGGAGCCTCAATTGTGCCCCTTTGGAGGCTTTAACCGGAGCAAAAAATCCCCCCTATAACTACAGCACTGCCTAGAAGAGAAAATGACAGGCCACATTTTTTTGTCACCTCAGTTCCCAGTTAAAATCCCTCGAGATCAATGATATACAGTGGTACCTCAGGTTACATATGCTTCAGGTTACATACGCTTCAGGTTACAGACTCCGCTAACCCAGAAATAATGCTTCAGGTTAAGAACTTTGCTTCAGGATAAGAACAGAAAAAGTGCTCCGGTGGCATGGCGGCAGCAGGAGGTCCCATAACCTGGTGCTTCAGGTTAAGAACAGTTTCAGGTTAAGAACGGACCTCCGGAACGAATTAAGTACTTAACCCGAGGTGCCACTGTACAGTCTATCCTGGACAATAGCGCAGGCCTTGGGTGAAATCCTACACCTGCTCACAGGCAATTCCACAAGCTAAAATACTGTAGCTACTAACTAGTAACAACAACAAGACATGTAGCAGAAATGAACACAGGAATCAGGTCTCGTAGCCAACTGACTCTATGTCTACTATAACAAGACCTAGTGTCATCCTCAACACTGGAGGTTCATTCACCTGCACATCTTCCAGTGTGATATATGGCAATACTTGCCAGCAGCACCCTACTTAAGGCACAAATGTTGAAAAACCAGGGGAAAACATTTCAAACTCCCAGGATACCCTACCAGTGACCTAAAGGTGGCCATCCTTGAACCGAAGGAACTTCAAAGGGAGATTGCAAAGTGAAACCGCTCTGATCACAAGACTTCAAGAGACTTCAAGAGGCTCAGTGCTATCATTTGTGTACTGAATGAGCACAATGGATTTTCATCACACTACATGTGTTAATTAGCTTGCTAATGTCAATGTTATTCACACAACTGTTTGCTTATGTGCTAATAGCTGCTGTTAATAATGTAATGTATCCCTGCACCTTTCTGCATTTCATTTCATTTTCTGACCTCACTGTTTACAATTCCCCCCCCCCTCCATCACCATGTGTGTATATACCTGCAACTCAGGATAAAAGGGCATGTATCTTATGAAGTAAGGACAGTAACAGGGGTTGTTACAATACCCCTGATATGTCAATTGTTGCTATATATAAAAATGCTCTTGATAATTTTTCCAAAATGCATTTGATAAATGCTGACTTGTAATGCCATAGTTTCTTGTGTTCCTATCCTTTGTGTGTGTTTATGGGAGGTGATTAATGGTGTTACCCTACTTTTGCGATTGGTTTCCTGCAAGGCTACACATGAGTACTCAGAAACAAGCACACTGAGTTCAATTAGGCTTTCTCCCAGATATACATGTAGAGAACTGCAACCTCAAGTGCTTGGGGACATTCTGCCATATTCTCTTGAAATCAAATTCTAATTTATTCTTTTCCATTTACAAATTGTGGCCTATGAAACAACTCAAAGCAGTATGGCAGTTGCGTTTAACACTCATATGCTGGCTAGGATCCTTAAAGAGCAACTTTCAGTTTGCCTCAGGACTGGGGAATTTCCAGGGATATATGATGATGATGATGACGACGACAACGACGAACAGAAGACCTAATTGCCATATTACAATCTGCTTTTGAAAGGTCCCCTCAATTCAAAAAACGAATTGCCATACGTTATGTGGAGAGCTGTTGTTTTAGAAACACAAACCCAAAGCTAACTTAGGTCTGCAGAACTAGTTGTGGTTGTTTGGAAGCCAGCCAACGTCGGTGGTATGAAGGAAAAATGTACATTTCCAACAGGAACAAATAGTACGCTCACGATGATGGCATCTCTGAAAACTCAGGTTTTGACACTTTCTCTGTTCATTGGAGCACTGATCAAATACAGTGGTACCTTGGGTTAAGTACTTAATTCGTTCCAGAGGTCCGTTCTTAACCTGAAACTGTTCTTAACCTGAAGCACCTCTTTAGCTAATGGGGCCTCCCGCTGCGCTGCGCCACCGGAGCAAGATTTCTGTTCTCATCCTGAAACAAAGTCCTTAACCTGAGGTACTATTTCTGGGTTAGTGGAGTCTGTAACCTGAAGCGTCTGTAACCTGAAGTGTATGTAACCCGAGGTACCACTGTACTAGTTATTGGGGGGCAAGAACAGCAGGTGGCCATGGGCTGAAGATTTGACTCCAAGCACCCTCTTGTGTTTAATATGGCAAGGCTGCATGCAAAGGCATTTTCAGTAGCTTCTGCTATGTGGGTTTTCCTCCCCATGGGAGATATGTCCAAGCCTTAGCATCTTTCTGAAGCTTACAACAGCCAAACAGGGAGCATCATCAGGTGAGGCCATGAGCTATGGAGACCCCCTCAGTCCGGATTCTGAATATTTGTGGCCTGGATCTGGACTACAGCCCAGAGAAGCTCCACAACAGTGGAATGTGGAAAATATGCATCCTGTATTTTTCTCGGTGCAACCGGCTGCTTTACAGCTTTATAATGTTACCTGCAGGTGGGGATCTAAATAAATCCAGCGTTTCCAGCTAAGCAGCGTTTAAGATTGAAACAAGTCTGTTTCCCCATATTTTTCAACACCTCAACTCATCCTGAAGAAGAAAAGAAAAGAGCACCTGTTCCAATTTTGTTCCTTTGCTGGGACGTGCAACCTGCTAGCAATTTCTAATCTCGTAAACGATTCAGATTAGTTTCCGATCCGAATTCTCCTTCCGTTTCTTATCCCGTTAGTATTGTAAATAGATGAGTGGGCTCCCCCTAATGCTGGCAGCTTGGAAAGACTCCAAAAACACATGCAAATAAGACCTCGGCGCTCCTTGCTGATTGGCTATGGCGGGACAGTGCCCGATTCCACCGCTGTCTTTATTCTCTAGGCAGGGGATTTCGAGTCATGCAGTTTGCCTGAAATCAGTAACAAGAGGACCAGCTTCCCTGCAATTGGTTAGGCCGGTTTTTTTCTTTTCTTTCTTCCTCTTCTTTTTGTAGCTTTCGGCTTGGCTAAGTAGACCACCATGACCATCAGACGCGTAGATCAAGGGCAGCGTTACAGGCCAAGAATGGCATTCCTGAAAAAGGTAACTTGCTATTATTTTAAGAGTCTACCTGAGAAATAGATGAACTGGCTAGTGCAGGAACCCTGAACACATCTGGGAAACATCTGCCCTCTGACCAGAATTGTATATCACAAAGATTTTTGCATGCAAACAATAGGCATGTTATCCGGATAAGGTGTGCTGTTTCTTACAGTTTTCAGAATTAATTATTTTCCAAGGAGCCTATGATTCCATTAGCGGAGTATTTTAAAAAGAACCTTTGCTTGCTGTTTTCCCCAGCCCTTTTGCTACAGAGCAAATAAAGACAAAAATATCCTTGTTTTCGGAGGTCACCGGATGAAAGCAACCTGTTACAGTTTGTTTGCGAATGGGAGCAGCAATAGCTGCTTGAAATAAAACTGAGCAGCTATAAGCATTTTGGATATATCATTATTTTTTATATTAAAAAATAGCTCTTATTATTTTACCTCATTCATAAGGCTACAATTTCTTGCATGGAGGGTATTTTTTTTGCTTTGATGGCCATTAATATTTTAATTTTGAGGGATAAAAGCTCATCACCCCGGGGTTTGCAGCCCTAATTCAGCACTGAACTGTAACCCGGTTAATTTCACGTCCCCCTCCAAGCGTTATTCATTGCTGAAGTTCTATCCTAACCCCATGTAGACCCAGATGTTTTTATGCTGAGGTTATTAATCTAGAGTATCTACAACCCCCTGGTGCTGTACTCCCAGCCTTTCACATAGATTTGGAATCCTATTTATTTAGATAATTTATGACTGCTTAACATTTTTAGGGGAAAAAACCCAACAACTCTAAGCAGCTAGCAGATTGGTCTACATCACATAATCCATTATCCATTATTTGATTTTGGAGAAGAGAGCCAACCTCATTTGCATTCATTTACCTCACTCATAAACGTGCAGAGGAAAGGATGAGAAAAACCCACCTTTTTTTCATCAACCTTTTTTGGAGGTAAATGACAGTACAATCTTAACCATATCTGCTCGGAAGTAAGTCCTATTGAATTGGGTTTAGACTGCCGCCTAAGCCATTTATTTGAGTAAATATACTTGACATATTGATGGTGTCTTTCCGCCCCCTCAAAAGACGCTGCAAGCTGTTTTCTCTGCCTGTTCATGATCTACTTTAAAGTGGGTGTATATATGCCTTTATAATAGTTTAAGCCTTACAGACAGCATGTTGACAAATAACTGTGTTTGGGATTAACTACCTCATTCTTTCCCCCAAAGCATCTATATAAAAGCATTTTATTAGCACCAATATGTGAAAAGAGTTTAAGCAGGCAAGGTATTAGCCCAGCTTTTCTCCCCTGAACGTTCCTGCCTTTCTTGTCTGTGGCTTATCCTGCTGAATAGAATTAGCTGACTTCCCAGTGATATGGACAACTGCCCATTTCTGGTGTGTGTGTGTGTGTGTGTGTGAGAGAGAGATTGTGTGCGCACACACTATGGCACAACATAGGAACACATTCACATCTAAGCTGTTTTAGCTGAGTATCAAACATAGGAGGCAGCGACAGGATTACAAGCAAAAAAGAAAAGAGATGAGAGGGAGTGTGAATTTATTTTGTGTCACAATATTTGTCATATATCACCAGCACTTGTACTTTTCATGCTCAAAGCGGGATACCACAATGTTTTCCTTTGGAACTGTTTGTTCCTAGAGCCTGTCAAGATTTATTTAAAAGAGCAATTGGGCCATGTTCTGTTTTGATTTACATTCTTGCAAATTCCACAGAAGGCAAGGAGATCAGCTCCGGAAGGAACAAAAGATCAGTTTAGGAATTACATTTTCCTTATATTAAGACAGCTGGCGTAGTTCAGTCAGTAGAGCATGAGAGCCCAATGTTGGGCAAAGTATTCCCGTATTTCAGGGGGTTGGACTAGATGACCCTTGTGGTCTCTTCCAACTCTATAAATTCCATGATTCTACCAGAATATGCCTGTACTTAAACCAAAACACACACGGAGATCTTTTTCTTTCTTTTCCGCAGATTATAATGAATTATCCTCATATTGTTCACTTATCATAAAGCACAAGATGAAACTGGATCCAGTTTATAAAAAATGCCCACAGGTGGTAAAGATGGGATAGTAGTGATGATGTCCGCATATTTGTCTCTTCATCTTGCCTTCCTCTAATATTTAAAAAGAAGTTGCAGGGCTCACCCCTTTCCCTTTTGAGCCTTACTGCAACAACCTAAGTACATTGTCTTCCGTTACTTGTTTCTAAAATTTAAAAAGCAGTTCCCATCGATGCCTGTGGGAAGCTTTGAGGAAAACGGGGCCTCTTGCGAGATGCTACTGCATACTTCATACCTGAGAATTTGGTCTAAAACTCAAGACACCTGTGGCCACCACTCTGCTGAAGTTAAGCAGGTCTGGGCCTAGTCAGTACCTGGATGGTACTGAGAACCATGCTGCCTTGGGCCCCATAATGCAATGAAGGTTAAATTATACTGCAGTGGTGTTGCCGATCTTTGTCTACTCAGAATAAGCCAGCCTCTTTCAGTTCATTGGGGCTTACTCTCAGGTAAGCGGGCATCAGAAGACTGCAGCTGCAAATGATTTCCCCAAACCAGTCAGTCTTGCGCTCCTCTTAAGTAGAGAGACAACAAGGGATGGATTGACAGGATTTGTAGATCGATATCTCAATAACAATAGAAAGATGCCGAAAGCTCAATGGGGGAGGGCTATTGTGTGAGCCTTATTATATAATACATTATATAGGGCATCTGGCAACCTGGAACAAGGTGACACAATGTAACATAGGGCTGTTATATGTTCAGAATTTCTCAGACGTAGTCAGGGTTTGTCCTTCGAAAATGGCGTCCAGGCAGAATTTTCTGAAAGTGGTTAAAACGTCTGGGAAAACCTGGGTATATGTTAGCACATATTGGAAGTGTTGATTTTTTTGGCGATTTCCCTAAAAAATAGGTTAAAAACTTCATTTTTTGTTGAGATTTTTTGGGGGGGAGCACAACGAACAAACAAACCTCAACAACATTTGTGTCCGGATTTTCACTTTTTGAAATACGGAAACCCTATGTAGCATAAAGATACTGAGAGAGCAGTAAAAGCGGGTAAGGAAAGGCTTGGGACATCTTTTGACACACCAAGCTGAATGAGAGGTAAAGGACCCCTGGACAGTTAAGTCCAGTCAAAGGCAACTATGGGGCTGCGGCTCTCATCACTCTTTCGGGCCGAGGGAGCTGGCGTTTGTCCACAAACAGCTTTCCGGGTCATGTGGCCAGCATGACTAAACTGCTTCTGGTGCAATGGGACACCATGACGACTGCCAGAGTGCACGGAAATGCCGTTTACCTTCCCACCGCGGTGGTACCTATTTATCTACTTGCACTGGCATGCTTTCAAACTGTTAGGTTGGCAGGAGCTGGGACAGAGCAACGGGACCTCACCCCATCGCAGGGATTCGAACCACCGACCTTCTGATCGGCAAGCCTCAGTGGTTTAGACCACAGCGCCACCCACATCTGGGAGGTACTAAGGTATGGCAACACTGATGTTTTTGCTGCCTGCCCATGACCACAAGGATAAGACTGTTAAGTATACAGTACCCTTATTCCTTTAGTTAAGTTTTCAGTCAGAAACCTATTTCAAGGCATGCCTGCCGTGTTTCCTGCTGCTTCCCCTCAAGTTTCTTATTCAGTGTTTAGCACATCAGTAGATCCAGGGCCTTGTTGGTACTGGCCCATGGTCCTTCACATCAGAGGGCACACGCACAGCCTCCCTCATGCAGTTGTGCAATATTTGCTGGGGTCATAGAGTTGCACCAGATAGCTCCACTGCTTGCTAGCCTCATCTTCGGGATAGACAGATCTGTTAATTTTGGTTTGTCTCGCAGGTCTGCGCAAGGAGGTCAGCCTAGGAAGTTTGGAGGTTCCTCTGTCCTCTCACATGCAGATTCCACAGTGGGAGCTGAGTCGCACCCTGATACTTTCAACAATTTCCATTAATATGTGTACTTTCGTCTTATATATACATTTTCATACAATTTAATTTGTTTAAAGAACCACACCGCAAAATTTGTAGAAGTGTGAATTTCAAAAGACAGCCTTGTTTCAATTTGCTATATTATTTCAGGAAGTGCGAATGAGGTAGGCTTGCGCTGAAACACAAACTGAATTGAATTGCTCCCCATCCCTTCCTCGACTGTTATGCAAACTAGCCCTTCTGGGCATTGGTTGGCCTGCCAGCATGGCTAGCAATTTTTAATATATTGGTACTCTTAATAAGCAGCCACTTTCCTTCTCAGATGAGGGAAAAGGCCTGCTGCGTTCTCATCAGCAAAAGGCATGGTTTGTGGCTGAGTCAGTACAGCAGCACCTAATGAAAGCTTCCTACCCAATCTCCCTTGTTCACTTTGATATATATTATATTTCTTAAATGACAAGAGGGCACTCGGCAGGAAGAGGGAAGTGACAAGCCTCTGGAGTTATTTGCTCATTAGAAAAACAGTATGCCCTGCACCATCCGACTGATGCGAGTTTTCTGAACACACTGTTTGCTCTTTACAGAGGCAAGTACATAGGGATGAGGCAGCAGTAGTCATGTGTTTGTGTATGTTAAGAACCTGCGGCCTCAAAACAGCACAGCCTGACAAATTACTTTGGCCAAAGACCTAGAGGGGCTTGCGAGATTCGCTTCGTTTTGAACACAGTGAGACTTGCAGCAAGATTCTGATTTTTACTGAAGATTCTACGGAACGTTTCTGACTTCTTCCTATTGTTCAGGGGAATTAAGTTAGGCAAATGCATGAAAATCTGGTCTGCGACACTTGAAGGCGTGGGCGCGTATGTACTTGGCCATTCTTTGAATCCTTGAAAGGACTTGTTCGCATATACATATTATGATTTCTGCAAGAAACATTGGGGTTTCCTGCAGCAAACACAAATGGCGGATAGCATACATTTAGGGACATGTGTCTGGGATCCATAGATGTATTACTAGTGCTTTTTGATGCAGTTATTTGGGTGTGAATAGATAAGTGTTAAGACATAACCACCACGTGCCAGGTCCTTGCCACATGCATTCTGGGTTATGTTCAAGTGAATGAAAGGTGAACAGGATGGAACCGTCTTCGGTGGCATCAGTAGATATTGGGAATGTCATTGTTCCTTCTTGACTTACCGTACCTTTCACATTTGAAAAAAGTACACTATGCTCCAGGCTCTAAGCAATCCATTTTATTCCACTGTGACCAGAGCCTTCTTGATAAAATGGAAGAGATGTGAGCGGCATTACCACTTTCCTGTAACTTCTCCAACTGCAGGACATACTTTTTTATCCCTCCCATAGACAATAAAGTTTTTTAAGGAGAAGGACATATTTCCAAATTATTGTGGGTTTTAGGTCAATACTTTCAAATCAGGAGACAATTTCTCCAGCCCCATGTGTTGTGCAGGTGTGCGGTCTTCATGTCCAAAAATGAGATGTATTTGCCCCTTTCTCACAGAGGTTGAATGTTCCTGCAGTTACTCCAGCCCCTACCTGCATACAACAGCTGCTTTATTTTAATACAGAACAACAAGACGAGGGGCAGAAGTCCTTATCCCAACCTGCACGTTCTTCAACTCTCCACACTGAGCTGGGACAGGCCCTATGATCTCTTATGAATATATTGTCGAGTGTAGAGTTCTTTTACCCCCACCTTTTGTCTTGCATCAGGTTGGAACAACAGGCAGATGCCCTTTCGTTTCCCCCTCCCTTCTGCTAGGAAGAAGGAAAAGAGCAAAAACAAATGTGTGACCTGTAAGTCATGAGTCACACAGTGGCACCATTTTATAAGCTCAGCACACCTTCAGTACCAGCAAGAGGAGCAGATCAGCCTGCCTTGTCTACTGAGTGCTTTGCCAGAACAGGTAGAGCAACATTCTGGCTCCTGCTCTCAGGTGCCCTTGTCTCCTCCTCCCCACCACACTTCCATTTGAATCCCCTTTCTGTTCCTCATACCAGTCAGTGGCGTGGCGTGGGGGGTGCAGGGGGGGGCGGCTGCACCGGGCGCAACATCTGGGGGTTAGGGTTAGGGGGCACAAATTACTTGCCTTGCCCCGGGTGCTGACAACCCATGCTACGTCACTGATACCAGTGGCTGCCGTTTGCTTTCCAGGGACAGCAGACATATGTTAACAGCAAGAGCTCCTGACTGACACACAGTTCTCCTCCGTAGTCAATGTCAACCGAGGTTGCAGTTGTCTTGGTCCGCAAGTGCAAGTGGTCAGCTGGTTTGGTGAATGTGAATGTGAATGTGGCAGTACTCCTTTTCCTCTCCCCCCCACTGTCTAGTGTAGTGGTCTGTGGATCATAAGAAAAGAAGAAAGACTTGTTACACCTTAGGCCAAGGGTAGCCGACTGCTCAGGTGCTGTTAGACCACAACTCCTATAATCCCAGGACTTTGGCCATGCTGGAGGGATTGATGGGCGTTGAACAACATTTGTATTGGCACCATGTTGGCTACCCCTTCCTTAAGCTTTCTCCTTTTGCTTTGCCTTGTGTCTGTGCCTTTTGCAGCCACCTAGATTCTTAATTTCTGCCTGCTTTGTTTATTTGTTTCTTATGATTAGGGATGGGCAGCCACCCACCTGATTGGCTCCCAAACATGTTGGGTTGCTCATGTTGAATAGTAAAAATAAAAAACCTCAATAAAGTTTTTAAGTACGTTGATGAATCTCAGCCGTGCCTAGCAATGGACTTTGAGGCTGGAATTTCAAGGAATACTTGAGCAACCCAGTTCTTCCCTATTTCCTTCTCTCCTCTTCCCTGCTGTTATCTATCTTCCCCAAGAACATCATAATCCCATTGGGAAATGTGGGGTGGGAATGGGAAGCAGGAGAGCAGGATGAGCTCTGGCAGGTAAGAGTGTTGTTGTTTAGTCGTTTAGTCGTGTCCGACTCTTCGTGACCCCATGGACCAGAGCACACCAGGCACTCCTGTCTTCCACTGCCTCCCACAGTTTGGTCAAACTCATGCTGGTAGCTTCGAGAACACTGTCCAACCATCTCGTCCTCTGTCGTCCCCTTCTCCTTGTGCCCTCCATCTTTCCCAACATCAGGGTCTTTTCCAGGGAGTCTTCTCTTCTCATGAGGTGGCCAAAGTATTGGAGCCTCAGCTTCAGGATCTGTCCTTCCAGTGGTGAGCACTCAGGGCTGATTTCCTTAAGAATGGAGAGGTTTGATCTTCTTGCAGTCCATGGGACTCTCAAGATTCTCCTTCAGCACCATAATTCAAAAGCATCAATTCTTCGGCGATCAGCCTTCTTTATGGTCCAGCTCTCACTTCCATACATCACTACTGGGAAAACCATAGCTTTAACTATTCGGACCTTTGTTGGCAAGGTGATGTCTCTGCTTTAAAAGATACTGTCTAGGTAAGAGTACCTGACCACTAATGTAATGCATTCCTAGTGAGAAGTATGTGTATTATAAGTAGTAGCTGTCACTGGAATGCTTTGACCACCAAATGCAACAACAAGCATCATGGGACACACGAAATACTCATTTGGTTTTTCTGTAATAGAATAACACCACTGGAATAGCTATGAAATTGATGGGATATTGGAAGAGAAAGTGAGGCCGACCAAACTTCTTGACTCTCTTGATTTTGTTTTGCATGCTCGACACGTTCCCCCTGTTTTTCTTAACATGCACCTGCTCCAATTTGCAGCTGGAAGTTCTGTTGGTGGAGATGCAGGACCCAAGTTCTGGCATCAAAACGCATGCTCAGAAGGTCACGGTCGTCGATATCCCGCATGCAATGACTGGTAAGTCTGACAGTAGCAGCTACAAAGTGCAACAGAAACCATTTACCCCCTTTTGTATAAAATAATCCAACAGTCAAAATTACTTTTCTGGTGCTGGGAGGACAGTCACAACAGCAACACAGTCCTTCAGCCGCAAGGGGACTGCCATCCTGACACCGCGAAAGAAGACAATTTATGATAAGGAATGTTTGTGCTGCCGTGGGATCACAAAATTGGGAGCAAAATATCCAACCTACCCCTATGCCTGTAAATTACAGCAGTCCTTCCCTCAGAACACACTGAATCTGAAATAGGCAGGTAGCGGTGGTGCTTTGAAGTTGCGAGCCTGTCATTACTGTCTATTGAGTATTCTACAACAACAATTGTACTCTGGTGCCTGCCAGCTATGTTCACACAAGGCAACCCTGCAAACATACTCTAAGCACCTCCTTGTGGATTGCTATTATTATTATTTTTTTAAAAAAGCAAGCTCCAGAGCATGTTGTAAATACTTTACTACCATTTTGCCCTTGTCATATGTACCAAACCCTCTTCACTGAAGACAAAGGTGTCCTGGAAGTCAGTTGAAATTAGCAGGTAGAACTGGAAGGGGAAGTTATGGTTCACAGTAGTTCCTTTGTGCCTTTATGAGGCAGAGGCGTACCTAGGTTCTCTTGTGCCCTTGGCAAGGAGCTGTATTTGTGCCCGCCCCCATCCCTTGTGTTTGTCTGCTGAGGTGCCCAGAGGAGATGTGTGCCTCACCTGGTTGCCCAGAGCAGTGGAAGAGTGGCCCAGTGAGGACTCGGGTAGATGGGTGGGTGAAATCCTAGCCACTACAAGCCAAGAGTGGAAAGGCATGGTTTCTGCACTCTCCTGGGCCTGCGTCCTTGGCAGGGGGTCAACCCTGACCCACCCCTAGGTATGCCCCTGTTATGAGGAGCATCGGTGTGATCTTTCTAATGAAGGAACTAAACTGCAGAGCATCGCCAAGTGCATTGTGGTTGAATTCAATGGAAAACCAGAACCACGCAAATGTGCTTAAAAGCTCAGTCCAAGGGGTAGATTCACAGAAGAAAGTAGAACTTGTCCGTTTCTTTTTAGCCACTCGGGTGCTGATTGTATGACAAGTTCCACCATCCCCTGGTAATATTCCAATAAGTTCAGGAGACCAGCTCTTAACCCACCAATTGTTCCTTGAAATGTTCCAAGGCACTGAGAGAAAGTGCAGCCCCTGCCTGCCCCACACTATTTCTTTGCCAATCTGATGATTGCTATAGCCAGCAGATTTTAATTTCGCTCCACAACAGACAGAGGAGAGGAGAGGAGTGGGTCATGTTCACCAGCTGCATTCTGTCATTGGGTCTTAGAATATTTAAAGGCATAGGCTCAGTCTCTCAGTGAAGAACCGGCAGCCCTGTAGGAACCTGTTTTAGTGAGTTTGCCAAATGAGCATGGACTCACCCGGAACAATTGTTGACTTATTCAAAAGAATGAGGTTGATTTTTAACTTCGCTACAAGGTGTGTATGGAAAGTTGCCCTGAGGTTGGGGAAAACAGTTCTGTGAAATTTTCCAAGACCACGCTCTGTCTGGCCACAAGCTGAACACTAAATTTGTTAAAACTGGTTTTGATTGGTATTTGTATCGACTTTATTGCTGTTTCGTTTGCTCTGTTTTCCCTCCCTAATATTGCTGATAGCAATATTATTGGTGTTGCTATTATTATTGCTAGTTGCATTGAGTGTTATTCAACAAAAGATGGAACAAATTTTTGACTAATGAATAACAAGCACCTGAGAGATTTATGTCAAACGCCAGGAATGGAGAGATGACTTGAGAAATGTATACTTCTGAGACAAAGCCAGCCTCTTCTTGGTTGATAGTATCACTGAAGTCAACAGAATGACTTAAGAGTGCTGAATCGTACATTGCAGCTGTTTGCACTAAGCCAAACCTTGGTTTAGCATGGCATGGGAGTTAAAGAACTGGGGAGAAGCAAAGCAACTGTGAGTTCCTCTCCAGGAGACTGGATATCAGTGCAGTCTTGGTACACCATAGTTTGACTGGCTGTGTCATGTGAACCAGGACTCACTCTATCTATCTATCTATCTATCTATCTATCTATCTATCTATCTATTTGATATATTTGTATGTTGCACTGTGGTTAAAAAAATCCAGGGCAGTTTGCATATTAAACAAATAGAATCCAATCTAGGTAGTCAGCATTCACATGAGAATATCAACATTCACCAAACTTTTAACATCTCCTATAACAGTATAAAATCAGTCTCGTCTCTGACTGAGGCAACAGGAAAATGGGGTACTTTCTATTTTGAAATCATAGCTGCCTTTCTCTGGATGTTAAACATCTGTACAGTCCTGCTAACACTGCATTTTTATTGGTTTGACGCTGATAATTGAGAAGGTTTCTGGGGGTTAGCAGCTGATCGTAAGGCTTCCAACAAGTAGGGGTACAGTTTTCCATGTTTTCCCCAATCTCTGCAGCTCTAGCTCCTGAAATCAGCTTCAGAAGGTTGGGGAACTCTCCAGAGCATGTTTACGGTGCATTGCGCATTTGTTTGGTTTCTGTGTGTGCGTGCAGGGTAAAGGGGGGGATAACTGAAAATTTCTTTCTTATTGTTATTAACTAAGTTTCTATGCTGCTCTTCAGCCGAGGACCACAGGGTGGTTTGCAAAATAAGGACCCAAAATTGCATACCATAGTAACAAATGAAAACAATACCCCACAGTTTTAAAGGCCATAGATTGTTTCATTGCCCAATGGCACCTAAGAACATATGCAATGAAGGAAACCTTATTACTGCAGTGCATTGCACAAGGGGCTGCTTTTGAAGATGGTTCAGAAACTGCAGCTAGTGCAGAGTTTGTTGGCCAGATTGTTGATCAGAGGTAGGAGGTCTGAGCATATAGCTCAGTTTTTAGCATAGCTGCACTGGCTGCTTGTCAGGGAACTGACATCGGAGCTAGAGGTGGAGGGGAGGCTCTCTAATGATGCTGGAGAAGGGCCCAGCAGGGAGAGAGGCAGCTCAGCAGATGGGGAAGCAATTCAGTGCAACACCAGGAATAAGGAGGGGCAGATGGGGAATCGGAGAGAGGGCTCCCAGACTCTTCACCGGACACCAGCGGGGAGAGCACTGGTCCTCCGCTACCCACGCCCTCCCTGCGCAGGAGACTTCCGCGCAGAGAAAGTAGGAGGAGACTGGGTGTCAAACAACTTTTATGTTGGAAAAGGTTTAAGAAACGCCCACTGACGGATTCTGCTAGCGACTGAGGCAGCCACGAATTGAAGGGTTGTCCAGACAGAAAGGTTTAACAAGGCAACATAGCCAGGAGAGGCGGCAACTTACGCACGAGCAACCCCATACCATTATACTGCTGATCATCTCCCAGACTCAATTTAAAGTGTTGTTTTTGAGCTATAAACCCCTATGAGGATCAGGACCCTAATACCTTAGGATCTGCCGCTCTACTCAGACCCTGTGTTTGTCATCTGAGTCCCTACTTGATGTGCCCCACTGAGGGAGGTCTGGAGGGTGTCAACACAAGAATGGGCCTTTTCATTGGCGGCTCTCGAATAGTTGAATGTATGTGTTTCAACGATGCTCCTGGCACTATCATTATCAGGTAAAGATATTCCTGTTCACCCAAGAGTTTGGCTCTCAGGGTAAGATTTTCCCCCTTTATGTTATTGCAGGATGAGCATTTTTAGTCAATAATGTTTAATATCATTTGGATGCATTTTATTTTACACACTGTACAGTGGTACCTTGGGTTACATACGCTTCAGGTTACATACACTTCAGGTTACAGACTCCGCTAACCCAGAAGTAGTGCTTCAGGTTAAGAATTTTGCTTCAGGATGAGAACAGAAATTGTACCCTGGCAACGCGGCGGCAGCAGGAGGCCCCATTAGCTAAAGTGGTGCTTCAGGTTAAGAACAGTTTCAGGTTAAGTACGGACCTCCGGAACGAATTAAGTACTTAACCCGAGGTACCACTGTATATGGTTTTTTTATCATAAGCCGCTTTGAGGTACTTTACAGAGTAAGCGACGAATAAATGCAGCTGAGCAACACCATTGGCTACAACTGTATGAACTTTAGAGATCTCAGGCCATAGTCTCGCCTGGAATAAACAGGAACAGCTCCACTCACGTCGTGCCAGGGATGGATGATGTTTCCCCAGCATTCAGAAAATAAGCACCACCTCTTTAAGGGAAAAGAACAGGTGCAAGCTGGGTTGCCTAGCACAGGTCTGCGTTACAGGCTAATCTTTTAATTTCATCTATTTCAGGAAGCAGATAGTAGGGATAAGGGCTCCTGGCTGCTTGGCAAAAGTCTCAAGTGATCAGCACAATGTCAGGAAAGGTTAACATTTTTAATCTGCATTGTGGAGGCATTTGGAGATGAAGATTAGGACATGCTCAGGGAGGGAGTGCATTCTTGAAGCCTTGCCCTATTTAAAACTTCTAGTTTTAACCTGTCCTACAGTGCAGAGTACAAAGATAGGTGGCAGAAACAGGGGTGGCTTAATGCCAGATTCATTCATGATATGTATTAAACTCTTCTCCCGACTCCAACTGGTTGATATTATATTTTTTCCTGTATGTATCTATGTATGTATATTTTTAATGCCTTTGAAACAAAGCACTCTGTGGTTTATTTATCATTTTCCTCCACCCAGTCAATTACTCTACAGCTCACCAAACATACCTCTGTTGAAGATGGTAATGTGTCCTTTTGTACTGGTTCCATGCCTCCTTTTATTTTGCTCCCCAAGTTACAAGCTCTGGCCTCTGAAACCTGACATCTCTCTTTGTGTTCCGTTTTAATTTACAAACCACTAATTGAATTGCACAGTTCCTGGCTAGCTTGCCCTTTCTCTTTCGCGCAGGAAATAATAAGGTTCCCAATGAGTCACCTTGTCGAGAGAACACAATTCCGTTTCCCCTGACGTTGGATTATGATTTAGCCTTTCAGTGGCAATCCTGAATACTCTCCCTCTTTCACGAAAGTATGCAGTAAAACATATGCATTGAGAACTGGCAGGAATATGAGCTTTTAGAAAGCAGAGGGATTTAGATCATTAGAGTCATAATATTAATTCCCAAAGTGTTTTTTTTTAATAAAAAAGACCAATTTCCCCCAACCTGGTGCCCTCCAGATGTTTTGGTCTAAAACTCCTGTCAGCCCATTTGCTATGAAGGAGTTGGTGAGAGGATGAGAAGGCAGTTATTTCATCCTACGGCTTTTAGAATTTGAACAGGAAGTGCAACATCACAAGAACAGAGCATCTCCTGTCATCCCACCCCTCTCGCCTTGGTTGCTGTATTGCTAAGACTTCCATGCCACCTCTGATGTCTGTAACCAAATGAACCAGAATAGTTTACTGCCCTGAAACTGCTTTGTTCCCAGATAGCTAACTTTCAACTTCAGATTCTCTGTGTTTCCATTCCCCCCACCACACCTTAATTTTAGTTCTCCACATTTTCAAGTCTGTTAAAAATGACCCAAAGGATTTTGAATGCTCATCAAAGAAAGGGATGTAAACTCAAATATTTATTCATCCTGCTTTTTTAAAAAAACAGAGCTTCATTAAAAAAAAGTATGACCAACCAACCTGTGACTCAGAAACTGTGTTAGAAACTGAAATATGAAAGCTAGGAGCTAAATGGAACCTTAAACCTAGGTTATGGGTGCTGCAATGGAGTGTTTGGGCATGCTTTTTTATAACAAGAATACAAAACTGAAATTGAATGAAGTGCAGCTAAAGTCTTGTGTTCATTTTTCACGTGGTCTAGTCCTCATCTAAAGACTGCAAAAAACAAAGCCATGCTTCCCTTGCCCACCCCTCTGATATTCTTATGAGGGTCCCTTCTCCATTCTTCAGAGAGTGGCTGGAAGTGGGGAGGCAGAAAAAGGCCCTCCTTTTCTTCCAGCAGTGGCAGTTTTAATCTGAAATCTTAGGCGCAGTAGTGTGCCCAGAAACTGCTGGCATTAATGAAATCCCCTGTCACAAAATGCGCCTGGGACAATGGGAGTTTCGAACACTGAGCACATGGTTTCCCAGATTCTCCTGGTCCCTGTTGGGAGAGTTGTGAACCACAGCTCACTCCATCAACTCTGCTGTGGCAGGGCAGCTGCCTCCTCTCCCCTCATCTGTCATTTGCGGGTAGCCATTCCAGCTGCATCAATGGGGGAAACAGGAAGCACGTGTCACTTCATCAGCTTTGCTGAATGCAAAGTTCCATCGAGTATCTCCTTCCCCAGAACTGCGCCAGCTGGTCATCATAGGAACATCTGGTGTAGGAAATTGGTGGCCAAGCTTTGATTTTGATTTTTCTTTCTTTCCTTACTGTCCCTTGTGTGTCAAGGTTGTCCGCTTTTCAGTGGGCGGCGTTGCGGGTGGGCATCGGGCTCGCAGTGATCTGGCTGGGGGCAGAGGCCAACGCTATCCGGCTGCTGTCCAATCAGCATTGGCGAGAGGCAAGGCTGCGGCAAAACTTAAACCACGGTGCGGCTGGGGGACCACCCTCTCGCACCCTTCACCGGATCTCCTGCCCGCCCGCCCTCTTTTTATGCTTTGCTATGACACCGCCTTGCTATGGACAAATGTTTGCCCTTCTGAAACAAATCAATAAAATATTAAATATAAAGAGAAGTGAAAGTGGGACGAGTGTATGTACACGTGGCTACAAGTGACTATCACTTTTTCAAACCACGTTTGAAACCTATCTGGAAAAAAACCAAACTGTTACCCATTTCCAGTCTGACAAGTCTCTTGTAGCGGCTGAGGATGGGAGTTGCAGGTCTGGATCTGTATTTTCCTGAGGGGCGGGGGGGGGCTTTCCAGATGAGAGGCGGTTCCTGTAAGCAGGTCGTGGAGGTCAGAATGTGAAATTTTGTTATTCTGATGATTTACACTGTCTGCTCTTGCTCTTGCTTTCCAGGTTCTGATATGCTACAGTGGCTTATGCAGCGCCTGCAGATTACCGACGAAGGTGAGTTTTGGTGGGAAACACAGGTGGCGTTTAGTCAAGCTTCCTCCTCACCCCTTTCCTCTTCTTTGCCCCCCAGTACAGTATGTGGTACCTTGGTTCTCAAACGCCTTGGTTCTCAAACTGTGAAAAGCTGGAAGTAAATGTTCCGGTTTTTGAATGTTTTTTGGAAGCCGAATGTCTGATGCAGCTGTTGGCTACTGTTTCCAGGGCACCTGCACCAATCAGAAGCTGCGCCTTGGTTTTCGGACATTTTGGAAGTCATACTGATTTCCGGAACGGATTAAGTTTGGCGCTTTAGTTTTTGCTGTTTATTTTGCGTTTTCGTTTTTGAGGCTTTTTCAGTTAATTTGTTTTTGTGACTGTGTGGAACCCAGTTCAGCTACTGATTGATTGATTGATTGATTGATTGATTGTGTGACTGCAGAAATGGATAAAAGCCCCCCAATCCAAACAATGACTATTATCAATGCAGGGAAGAATTTTTTTATTTTTATTTTATCATCTACGATACTGTCTTATTTATTGAATAGTACAGTACACTGATTATTGCTTTCATTTTATGGATCGATGGTCTCGTTAGATAGTAAAATTCATGTTAAATTGCTGTTTTAGGGGTTGTTTTAAAAGTCTAGAATGGATTAATCCATTTTGCATTACTTTCTATGGGAAAGTGGGCCTTGGTTTTGGAACGCTTTAGTTTTGGAACAGACTTCTGGAACGGATTAAGTTTGAGAGCCAACTGTACCACTGTATTCGAATTCTTGTCTTTTTAATAGCTGATTGTTTCTGCATGTTTGGCTGTGCTCTGTGTGCACCAGTGAAGGCAGCTGATATCTTTCTTTTTTAGAGGCACTCAGTTTGGGAAGTATGATTATCAGGTACGGATACATCTATCCTCTTCAGGATTCGAAGAATCTGAATCTCAGACCAGACAGCAGCCTCTACAGGTTTCAGGTGAGCAGAGCAGTGAGCCACAAGCAGAAGAAATGGAAGTCTGCTAAGGTCTTTTAGATTTTTCACATAAACCTCATTCACATATCAGGTTAAAACCTTTTTCAACTCAAGGTTCACATTGCTTCATAGACAACTGCACTGGGGCTGCAACCCAGAGGAACCGGGACTCAAGCTGCAGAGGGAACTCTTTACATTTCTACAGTCAGCAGTGCTCCAGCCATGCAAAAAATGGACTCTCCATCCTAGCAAGGAGGTTCACCAGCCTTCCATGAAACCATGCATAAAATTAACAGTGGTTAAATGTGAAAGAGCAGCATGCTAATTCTTGTTGCTGAAATTGTGGGCGCTTTGCTCTTACCCGAAGGGACACAGGTGGCGCTTTGGGTTAAACCACAGAGCCTAGGACTTGCTGATCAGAAGGTCGGCGGTTCAAATCTCTGCGATGGGGTGAGCTCCCGTTGCTTGGTCCCTGCTCCTTCCAACCTAACAGTTTGAAAGCACGCCAGTGCAAGTAGGTAAATAGGTACCGCTTCAGCAGGAAGGTAAACGGTGTTTCCATGCGCTGCTCTGGTTCGCCAGAAGTGGCTTAGTCATGCTGGCCACATGACCCGGAAGCTGTACGCCGGCTCCCTGGCCAATAAAGTGAAATGAGCGCCGCAAACCCAGAGTCGGCCACGACTGGACCTAATGGTCAGGGGTCCCTTTAGCTCTTACCCAGCTCCAACTGGTGCCACTCTAGGGAGGAAATAAGCCAAAGCAGGGGTGCCAACAGGAATATAATGGGGGGGCAGGTAAGCCCCACCCCACATAATTACAAAACGCCCCCACCACCACCATCATCATCATCCTTTATTAGGCATAGCACACCACACACTAACAAACAAACAACGCCCCCATCATTTGAATGGCAACGCCCATCAACTTTGAGGGGTGCCCCCCCATATTTTATTTGGGCGCGGGGAAAGGGACCTCAGCCCATAGGTGTTGGCTCCTGTGAGTCATAGTCTGGTTTGGCATCTTTACTGAACCGGGACTCGTTTTCACCGAACCACTAGCGGTAAGCCAGGAACAAACCTTGGCTTCAGATTGTGGTTGATTTGAAGAGAAACCACAAGCCTGGCTTCGGATTTAATGAAAAGCCAGAGTATTACTTGATTCTTCCCTAGTGCTGTAGCATGTGGGGTGGGGGTCACAAACAGGGACCTTTCAAGCAACATCCACCTGCATGCTGCTTGTTCATGTTAAGCAATGCTTTTATTTTAACGATGGTTTAATAGGATGGGTGAAGTGGGCCACAGACTTTAAGACTTCTTTAAAGCCTTTAGCAACTCATTCCTGCATGTGTTTACTCTTAACTCTGAGAAGCTTCTCACAGTCCTTTCAATCTGTGACTTTGCCTTATTTTTCACCTCTGTCCTTCTTTGTCAGCCTTTAGGAAACGTTGAAAGATACTCTTATTTGCAAGACTTTTTAGTGGCTTTATTGTGCTACATTTAGCTTTTTAAAATGTTTTAACTAGATTGTTTTAATGTTAGCAGGTGCGCAGCGTCGGGGCGCCGTAGAGGAAGGGCTGCAGCTGTAATTTTACTGTCCATTATTTTTATACTGTGGTCTGTGTACATGTCACTTTACAAAGTATAGGTATGACGGGTTCCTCCCCTCGGGTTCAGCAACCTAAAAATACACACAAGGAAAATTATTCTCTTCTTTGTTGGGTCCCTTTCCTGGCTGTGCTGCACTCTGAGGGCAGTTTTTGTTAACTCAGCAAGGCCCCAGCACTAAGGTAGCCACAGGACATCATTTTTATTGCAATTTGCTTCAGTGTCCCCCTTTAAATGAATTTATTATTGATCTCCCTTTCTCCCTCTAGGTCTCCCTTTCTGCACCACTGCAGGCCTCACTCACCTTCTCTTTTAACCCTGCAGCCTTCTGCCTCTGTACCCATCCTTGCTTCTTTCTCATTTGACCACCAAAAGTCGGCATCCCATAGCACTCTTGTTTTTGCTTTGAAATAATTTTAATTTGATTTTACAAGTGCAAAGTTATAACAATACCAAATATATGTTCAGGTTTAGAGATTTCTCTGAATCTCCAGACTCACCACCATCCCCTCCCTGGGTCCTATTGTCAACATTTTCAACTGCATAATATTTCATCATCCATATTTTATATCTCTCCATATTGTCCATAGTCTTTGTTACATTACAAGTGTTATTAGAATCCTCCAGTGTTTTCATTTGTTTACAGTGGTCTCCTAAATAAATATTTCCCCATAGCACTCTTGCATTGCCACAAGCCTCTCATTTCTGTCACTCATCCAACATGTCTGTTTGTCCACTCTTTTTCCCTCTCTCCCTTCGCACCATAGTGCTTACCAAGCCCAAGCAGAGCTTGTCTGAGGCCCTGGGTAGGAGTCGTTTTAGAATAAAGTTATAAACACAAACAAAAAAGCACCTGGTTCCTTGCAGGACCCCCTGGCTGGCTTTGGCCTCCTAGGCCCAGGACAAGTGTACATTTGGGACCCGCACCCGTATGGTCTGATGCTCGGTCTCTACCCCTATCTTGGTTACTTCCTCTTTCCCCATCTTACTGGGTCCTCAGTTGCTCCCTTTTCCTTCCTCCAGTTCCCGTTTTCCTCTGCTTCTCTTTATTGTTCCCCCACTCCACCCCATCTGTACTTCTCCTCACTGAATTTGTCAGCAACAGTACACAAAAACTCTCATTTTTAACCCCCTGACAGAATCTGTCAGAGACCTGTGGCCTGGGAAGTTGGCAACAATCCAGGCGAAGAGGAAGCAATGGCAATGTAGTGACACAGCATCCTCCCATTTCCCCCCCTCTGTCTCTCTCACATACATACACAGGAAGGGTGTAGAGATGTTGGAAAATTCTGGTGGAAGGAGGAATGGAAATCGTTGATGTTCACTTACCCATCTCATTTCCTGGACAGACGTCAATTTGGCGAATTTGATTTGCATTCACTGTTGTTGTTATTTTCAGTCTGCAGCTGTTAGTCTCCAAAGGATAACTCTCTCCAGTTGCATTGTGTTTCCTTTGCATTGAAAGGAATGGTGTGGAATAACATGATAATTACGTGATTAACTGTGCAAAATTTCGCTATAGCAGACAGTGTGACCGAATAACATAGTTTTACGAAAGGCTGAAATGCAGTGGAATGGAAGCAGCTCTGCACGTGACAAATATGGGTTGGAACGGAAACCAATACCTTCTTACATCCCTAGTTGGGTGGACCTTACCTATTTGGACCAGAAAGTGGGAAGGGGCCATGAACAATCATTTAAAAACCTCACAGTGGTGTTCACATAGGGAGAGAGCTGCAGCTGCAACATCCAGTGAAAGTTACTATTCCAAGTGTTGTTGTTAATATTTGTATAATATTTGTATAAAATAATATTTGTATAAATATATTGTATAATATTTGTATAAATGTTCTTCATTTGCAGATATCAGGGTGGCTCAGAGCATAAAAACACATGATAAAAACACAAAATACATATAAAAAGCAAGAACAGAAACAAAACAATAGCCCCCACCCCCAAAGATTGGGGGCTTGCCTCTCCCTGCCTTTTTTATTTTGTTTGATTCTTCTGTTTTCCAGGCCTCATTCAGAATGGATATAAAATTGCTGAGAACATACATTTACAAAAACATTAAAAATATTCAGGGCTGCCAGACACATGCCAGCTGGTAGAATGATTTAGAAGAATTTAGTTAAAGAATCAATTGATAACCTGGGTCTTAGTTTTTGTGTTCTTTCTTACAGACACCGTATTTTTGGCCGACTCAGCAGTGGGCAGCAGATGATACAGACTATGGTAAGCCATAAGATCAGGGAGGCACTCTCTGCCCTTTTAGTGAAATCTTAAAGGTGTAGATCCATAGCTGTCAACTTTTCCCTTTTTTAAAAGGGAAATTCCCTTATTCTGAATAGGATTCCTCGCAAGAAAAGGGAAAAGTTGACAGCTCTGTGTAAATCATGTGCATTTGGAGGAAAAGATGGAGTAAGTGTTTGTATGAACTCCAAAGATGATGTTTGTAGAAACTAATCAGTTCTGGGAAAGGTCCAGTGGTACCTTGGTTTCCTAACATCTCTGTTGACGAATATTCAGTTTACGTACGTCGTAAACCTGGAAATAAATGCTTTGGTTTTTGAACACGCCTCGGAAGTCGAACATGCCATGCGGTTTCCGCTGAGTGCAAGATCCTGAGGCCTAGCTGTCAGCTGTTGAGTCCTTGGTTTTCGAACGTTTCAGAACCCGAACGGTCTTCCGGAACGGATTATGTTCGAAAACCGAGGTACTTCACTTTGAAGAGGAGGGTACCCACTTACACTCTCATTTCAACTATTATTTTAAAAAAATGATTTAGAAAACATTCAGATACTGTGGTACCTCGGGTTAAGAACTTAATTCGTTCTGGAGGTCCGTTCTTAACCTGAAACTGTTCTTAACCTGAGGGACCACTTTAGCTAATGGGGCCTCCCGCTGCTGCCGCACGATTTCTGTTCTCATCCTGAAGCAAAGTTCTTAACCCGAGGTACTATTTCTGGGTTAGCAGAATCTGTAACCTGAAGCATCTGTAACCTGCAGCGTCTGTAACCCGAGGTACCACTGTATATAATGCGTTGGACCCTTCCTAGGACTGTAGTACTTCAAGGTATGCATGGGATGTTCACATGTTTAAGCACCTCTTCATATGAAGGCAATCCATTCATATTGAAAACTGGCACCAAGGAGAAAGCTAGGTCAGAATCCCTTTTCCCTGACATGCTAGCTATCCACAGGTAGTGAGTTTTTAACATAGCAGAGCATTTGAATTTACAACCTTCCACCTGTAGTCTGGAGTGTAACAGTACAGGTAAAAGCTGTGTCCCTTGATAATTCTGAACATCTTTAATTGCCTTAGGCCTGGCCAATGGTGTGGTAGCAGGTTCCTGAAACTATAGCCTCATAGACGCTGTTCCATGTGGCAAGTTGCAATGTGAAGCAGTACCTCACACAATTCTGGCAGTGCTGAAACCACCGAAAAGAAGGATTGAAATGACATGTTAAGGCAATCCACACACAGAAAGCCAAGATGCATTGATTGCATATGCGAATTGGGCCATCTGTTTCTTATACTTTTTAGAGAATGTATGTGAATTTTGTTCCCCACTTTAAGCCTTAAATAAAGAATAAGATTATGTTTTATTAAAGAAATCTTCCACAGTCTGATACACCCTTACGTGGGACTAAGTCAACTGAACTTTGGTTTAGCTCAGGGGTAGGCAACCTAAGGCCCGGGGGCCGGATGTGGCCCAATCACCTTCTCAATCCGGCCCACAGACGGTCTAGGAATCAGTGTGTTTTTACATGAGTAGAATGTGTCCTTTTATTTAAAATGCATCTCTAGGTTATTTGTGGGGCCTGCCTGGTGTTTTTACATGAGTAGAATGCACGCTTTTATTTAAAATGCATCTCTGGGTTATTTGTGGGGCACAGGAATTCGTTCTTCTTTTTTCAAAATATAGTCTGGCCCCCCACACGGTCTGTGGTACGGTGGACCGGCCCACGGCTGAAAAAGGTTGCTGACCTCTGGTTTAGCTATTAGTTTACTCAGAGTAGACCCATTGAAATGTTTGGGCATTTCTAACTGAGGTCTGTTCTTTTCAGTTGGTCCATTTTGCATATAGCTTGATTGGATGCGGCCCTTACTTTTGCATAAACGTGCTACAGGATTGGACTAAACTTCTTCGGCTTAATTTGGTTTGTGGAATGTGTTATTAGAAATGTGTTAATTTGGCTCCTTAACTTGCCTTCCTCTGCACCTCACTGCCGCATGAATATGTAGCTGAGACACCAGAAATTAGCAAACTGGCTTTAACCAGAGCACAAGGTTAGAATTCACAGCGGGAAAATAAGAACGGAGCAATAAAAACGCCACACAAATTGAACAAACCGACACACACACCCTCAGAACATTTTCTCATGCACGACACCAATTTTATGTTGAAATGAAACTGCCATTCCTTTTCCAGTCATGTTGGTATTAGCCAAACCTGCAATTGTGCTGCATTTATTACCCTCTACCTGTGTTAATTATACGCTGCTTAAATTGCTAGCTTTTATGGACACACTGCCTAGTTAGGAGAAATAATTTCCATAGCTAGATATTTAGTTCAAAGAGCTTCAATAAGACTTCCGGATAAAACAAAGCGTGGGAAAGATGGCTGCTTACAGTAAATTCTAGATGTGCATGCCAGGAAAATAGGAGCACTCTCTGCTGAATGGGCTTCTGTAGGAAGTGTGGCCATTTGTTTCTTGAATTCAAAGCCATTCAGAACAACATACAGCTGTTCTGATCTTAGTCCTATACACATTAGTTCTATACACATTAAGAAAAAAGTTACAATCACAGTGAAGCTTACTAACACCACTTAGAATATTCCCCCCTCCTACATTTGCCCTAAGCTTCCCGCTGCACCAGAGTTGTCACCAAAATGCAGATTCCTTTCGCTATCCCTGTGGGAATCACCTATTGTGGAAAACGGCATTGGCTGGAGACGCAAGCTTATGTGGATCTTGCGCCATGTGGATTCACCCGGGACAAAATCTTTATTTGGAAAAGATGTAATTTTACTTTTCTTTCACTGGGCCTTCTCATTAATTACATGTGTATGTTGTTGTTTTTCATCCCCAGCCATCTACCTAGCCAAGAAAAATATCAAAAGGAAAGGAGTTTTAGAAGAATATGAAAAGGTAAGAAAGTATTATGGCATCTTGTGCAAGCTTTTGGCTAAGCTAGGGGGTGGAGGTGTCTTGGCGCTGTGGGTTAAACCACAGAGCCTAGGACTTGCTGATCAGAAGGTCGGCGGTTTGAATCCCCACAATGGGGTGAGCTCCCATTGCTCGGTCCCTGCTCCTGCCAACCTAGCCGTTTGAAAGCACGTCAAAGTGCAAGTAGAGAAATAGGTACCACTCCGGCGGGAAGGTAAACGGTGTTTCCGTGTGCTGCTCTGGTTCGCCAGAAGTGGCTTAGTCATGCTGGCCACATGACCGGCTCCCTCTGCCAATAAAGCAAGATGAGCGCCGCAACCCCAGAGTCGGCCACGACTGGACCTAATGGTCAGGGGCCCCTTTACCTTTAATATTTGCTTTAAGGGCCCCCAACCAAAGGTTGTGGGGCCTCAGTGTGACATCACAGAAGGCTATGTACAATGTCGAGAGATGCCACAGGGATCAGCGCAGCCTGGTGTGAGGTCACATTGGCCTGCGCAGTGTCTCCTGGTGCTGCAGGAATCCACGCGGACTAGCGGAAGGTTGCACTAGACTGCGCAGCGTCTGGAGTTGTGTGTGACGACATGTGGTGGCTCCCCCAATCTTGGGGGCAACCTGCGCCTCTGGTAAAGCACATCCATGGCGGTGGAGCATTAAAGCTCAGTAGTGGGACATGTGCTCTGCGTGCAGAAGATCACAGTCTCTGACATCGGTCTGGCAGGGCACCACTGCAGGTTAACTGCAGACAATACTGGGCTACCTAGGCTGATGATCTGACTTAGCAGAAGGCAGCTTCCTGTGTTCCTGTAATTCCTGTAATTCAGCCAAGATTAGCAGCAGCCCTGAGCTTTTTGATAGCATGTAGTTCCAGCATCATAGATTCACAACTGTAGTGTTTCCGCCCCCACTTCTCTACTTTCAGATTTTGGTTTCCCCCCTCACCTATTAAACTACATCTATTAAACAGATTTGTCAACTTAAATATACACCAGATTGCTACAACTGCAGTGGGCTAAGCTAATAAATCTTACTGAGAAATCTCATCAATCTTACTTGTTCCGTGTTTCGTACGTGTGGCCGTGTGCTGTAGCACTTTATCACATCCTTCGCGCTGCGAGCGAAACAGAAGTCTGTGTCTTTCCTTGCTGTCTCACTGCTGCTGTTTTTCCAGGAAAATTATAACACGCTGCACAAAAAAATCAACCACAAATGGGACTTCGTTGTTATGCAGGCCCAGGAACAGTATAGGTGAGATGCTTAACACTGTTTCCCCCCCCTCTTTTCGCCTTTGTTTTGAGTGATGCAGTGAGCAGTAAGCAATTTTCAAGTTCTCAGTAGCCGAGGAATTATAACACATTCCTATTCTCTCTAAAACAGCTTTCAAAAATTGACACGGACTCTTGCTACATCTGTGAAACTCTGCCTTGGCTTTTGCACCTGCCTGTTACCAAATGAGCTTGCAGTTCTGCTTACAAATAACCACACTGGTGGCAGTTTGTGCTGCCTGCTTGAAAGGTGTAAATACTGCTTTCTGTCAATGCAGTTTCATTTTTCTCTGATAATGAGGGTGCCTGACTTGGAAATCCATTTTCAGAGAACTCTTCTACTGATTCTCAGTAGCAGGTTTTTATTTTTTTTAGAGCTGTTGGCAGTAGCTGTTCTTTTGCACTGGTGGGCTCATTGTGCTGGTTTCAGCTAGTGGAATTGGGGTGGTTGGATCTGGCTCAAGCTGTCGGTGTTTGGTGATGTCCATCGATATCTTTGACCATGTACTAAGCCAGGAAACCTTAACAAAATGTCTTAAGTGAGTCTACAAAAGCAGAGTTGCTGTGACCTCTGTGGTTGCTGGCTAAATGGCGTTTCCTGTGAGATAACTTGAAAGGATGATTGTGCTCACGCTTAGGGAATGTGTCTTGTCCTCACATCAAATTCGGTGGTAACCATTGTAACTTTCCCTTTACCAACAAGGTCTGCAGGCTCTTCACTGCAGTTCGTCCATTGTCTGCTTGCACAGCATCTGTGATATTAACTCCTCCTCCCCAGTTTGGTGTCATTTGCAAATTTGATGAGCCATCCCCTTAATTCCTTCACCCAATATATAAAAATGTTGAACAGTAATGGGCCAAGAACAGAATGTTGTGACACCCCACTTGTCACTTATTTCCAGGATGATGAATAACCATTAGTGAGCATTATTTGGGGCTGGTTGATTAACCAGCTACAAATCCACCTAACAGTCACCTCATCCAGTCCACATTTTACCAGCTTCTCCACAAGAATATCATGGGGGACTTTGTCAAAAGCCTTACTGAAATCAAGATACACTGTGTCCACAGCATTCCCCTGATCTACCAAGTCTATCAGAGAGAGAGAGAAAGAAATTCGTCTGGCATGACTTCTTTTTGAGAAACCCCTGCTGCATCCTAGTAAACAAAGCATCCTTTTCTAAGTGCTCACCGACAGACTGTTTAACTATCTGTTCTAGCACCTTTCCTTGTATTGACATCAATAGTGACCTAGGTCTTCCTTTTCCCCAACTCCAGTCCTCAGGTGCCTCACCAAGAATTCTAAAATGCTGGTTGCGATTTGAGCAGTCTGGTAGATGTGTGGAGCCCTTGGGCCAGGGAACTTTCTGTTCCCTCCTATCATTCTGTGGATAGTTATTTTATTCTATTTAAGTAGCCCACTTTGTACGTGGTTCACCATGGAAAAGTAGTGTCTGTATAAACAACACTGATGGTGATTTTAGGGGGGGGGGATTCTACTCTGACTTTTGGTTCAGTCGCTAAAGGGTATAGTCATGTGGACAGGAGAGGAAGGATGGGAGGAAGAGTGCCTGTATCCAAAAAGGAAAATCCTCACAGTAAAATCGTAGGCAGTGGACCATTCTGGAACATGAGAATTAAGAAATAATTTCATTATACACCAAATTCCTGGTCCATGTTATGCTACTTGCCAGGGATGTGCAGGTAGTCCTGTGACAGGGAAGTGGGCCTATTCCGCTTTGATTTGTTGAAATGACACTTCCCTCCTGAATTTGCAGGACAGGAAAAGAACGAAAGAAGGAAGATCGATATGCTCTGGACTGTCAGGAGAAAGCCTATTGGCTAGTGCACCGAACAGCTGTAAGTGAAGAATAGACATATCTAGTAAACAATGTGGTTCTGTGATTCTCATTAGAGTAATAATAATAGGATCATATTATTGTAGAGTTTGAAGGGACCCCAAGGGTTATGTGGTCCAACTCCCTGCGCTATAGTTTTGCACACCCGAATCGGTGAGTACTAAGAGGTCTAGGGGGCTTTGGCTTAACGTTTCCTTAGAATGAAGGTCATGGGAAGCCGTGGTTTCTTTCTGCTGTATGGTTTTATTTCAATGTACATGGAAACGGAGCATATGAAAGAGGTTCACAGCATGAACACCCTTATATTTTATGACACACCTTATTTCTGTAATTGTGAGTTGTTTGGAACAGTTTTAATATTGTGTTTTAACTGTTGCAACCCACCTGGGATCTTGGAGTGAAAGGTGGACGACAAAACTGTATTAGTAATACAGTCATACCTTGGGTTAAATATGCTTCAAGCTGAGCGCTTTTGGGTTGCACTCCGCGTCGACCCGGAAGTAACAGAACGCGTTACTTCTGGGTTTCTCAGCCCGCGCATGCGCAGACGGTTAAAATGATGTCACGCGCATGCCTGGAAGAGATGAATTGCAACCCACGCATGCGCAGACGCAGGTTACATTTGCTTCAGGATGCGAACGGGGAACCAGAACGGATCCCGTTCGTATCCAGAGGTACCACTGTACAAATCTTGAGCTGTTATTAAGTTTTTGGTGGTTCCGTCCCCAAAACCGTGGCTTTGGATTCAGTAGAGGTGTCACGTCAAGTCAAGTTCAAGATGAGACTGACTATTCTTCAACACTTTCCTCCTGCTGGGACCCAATTTTAGCTCACCTTACAGAAGCCTCTGTAGCTAGTAGCTTCTTTGGCAACCAGTTGCCTGTACTCTTTAGACATGCAAGGAGACAGACTTGACAAGAGCCGTCAACATAACAAAGAGACTGGTTTGTCCACTTTGGCATTATCTTTTTTCTACAGAATCTCATCTCACAGTTTTAACTCTTGCAATAGGTAGTTTGGAATCACTGCAAGGGAGAAGGGAGGAATGGCTCTTCTGGCAGAGAGATAAGGACGCCCAGATATCCTGCTTCCTGCAGGTGGGGGAAGTGAGGCACAAGCTTGCACAGGAAGCAGCTGGGGTTTAAGCCCCTGTCTTCTGAGAACTGTGCATGCTGCATACATCTGTGTCGGGTGCATTTAGTTCCTTGAAGTCAGCTTCTGCAGCTTGACCTCAGTAATTGCAAAGGGGTTGCGATCGCACTCCCACCCGCCAAACGCAGCAGGAAGAATGGAGGCAAACCTGATACAGTGGTACCTCAGGTTACATACGCTTCAGGTTACATACACTTCAGGTTACAGACTCCGCTAACCCAGAAATAGTGCTTCAAGTTGAGAACTTTGCTTCAGAATGGGAACAGAAATCGTGCTCCGGCGGCGCGGTGGCAGCAGGAGGCCCCATTAGCTAAAGTGGTGCTTCAGGTTAAGAACAGTTTCAGGTTAAATACGGACCTCCGGAACAAATTAAGTACTTAACCCGAGGTACCACTGTACACAAACGCACGGCACCACTGCCTCCTCTCATGGCCTGATCTATCCGCGTTGATCTTTCCACGCCCACGAGCGCTTTTGGGCGAATCTTCCATGCTGGGGAAAGACTCCAAGCTGTGGAGCACAGCACCGAGTTTCTGTTATTTTGGAGGCACTTCTGGCAGATGCCGGTGGGGTGTTTTCCTGAGCAGTGCCGCACTGATCACAGCATGCCGCATGGCTCTGACACATGCCAAAGAGCTACATTCCCTAATCCCAAGTCATAATCAAAGATCCACTTTTAATTGTGCACACGGTGTAAGCGGCCAACTGAGAGCCCAGCGGTTAACAGACAGAGAAGGTATAAGCCTCCGGCAAATGTCAGGCCGTAATTGGAGCTTAGCTTGCGGGGGGGCGGGGAAATACCATCTGTAGAAAAGGCCCCTGTGCCACAGCAGCCCCTTTGGTCCTGGTTCATCTACCCTGCAGAATCCCCTTTGATCACACCAGAGCTGAATTTGGATCTTTCTCTTTCTTGAGCTGTTTCCCCTCTTTTCGCCCTTTTAAGATAGCGCTGGCTGGAGTTTAATTATTGATGGCCAAACTTCAGCAGACGTCAGATAGCTGATCAAAAGCAAAGCTGTGCTCCAAGCAGATGCGACAGCGGTACCAGTCTATTTGCCATGTCGAGGCACCCCCTTCCCTCACTGGGCAGGGTTTTCTCTGCATTGTCCCAAGTTCCCATGCCAATAATTTTATTTTATTTTTTGCTAAAAACACACTTAAAAACATACAGAAGGTGCTGTTATCGTTCAGTTTGTCAGGTGCGATGAAAGACGAGACTCGCGTGCTTTTAAGAGACCTGTTGAAAAGGAAAATTTGCCCAGTGGTGCTATTCTCAACTGTTCATTACCATGGCCATTGCTAGGATAAGCCCGCTCACCCTTTCGCGTGCGGCGGCATTGTAGGAGCCAGTGTGATGTAGTGGTTAAGAGCGGTGGACTCATAATCTGGTGAACCGGGTTTGATTCCCCGCTCCTCCACATGCAGCTGCTAGTGACCTTGGGCCAGTCACACTTCTCTGAAGTCTCTCAGCCCCACTCACCTCACAGAGTGTTTGTTGTGGGGGAGGAAGGAAAAGGAGAATGTTAGCTGCTTTGAGACTCCTTCAGGTAGTGATAAAGCGGGATATCAAATCCAAATCCAAACACATTGCGGGATGGAGGAGGCTTCACTGGGGCCCCTATGGAGGAATTCAACCTGGCTGGGCTCTTCCTGATGGGCGGAGGGGGCGTAAGCCTATCAGGAACCGGATCCTATGCCTGCACCCAGTGGTGGAGCTTCATGCTTCCCTTGGATCCACCCCTCGCTTATTTAAGCAGCCAGCACCCTGGGTTCAGCTGGTTTCTTCCTGCGCTGTGTTTTCTCACCAGTCTCTTTGGTCTCTCATTATATGGGTTGGGTTATGGGAAGTCCGATGCCTGGTCCTGCAAGAACATCATAAGACTTGAAGACTCGGCCACCTGGGATACTGGGCCCATAGCAAGTGTGTCAATGCCAGTGGACACTGCCAGGATGCCAGGGCTCTGACACCTGCCCAGTGGGGCTGGGTGCTAATGCTGAACTCAGCCACGGCTGTGCATAGTCTGTGCCAGCCTTCACCATTCTGGTGCCCTCAGAATGTTTAGGACTAAAACTCCCATTAGCGCCAACTAGCATGACTGTGCTGATGAGGGCTGATGGGAGTTGAAGTCCAAAACATCTGGCAAAAGGCTGGCAAAGGTTGCTCTGCACTGGAAACGAAACAGCGTTTTCCACCAAGAATACTGTGCTCTGAGGAAATTTGCAAAATGGAACAAATTTGCATCTGTTTCCCCATAGCTGCTTATTTTTATGTATTGAATTAGCAGTTGCAGAATATTGAATTTTGTCTGCTTCTCTTAACCCTAGGAATAGCCCAGGGATTACTCGGGCAGAATTGTAGAGAACACACAACGCTAGCTGTGGCATATTAATTAATATTTCTGCAGCAAACACAACTAGAATAAAGGTCTTTTCTAATTTAGGCTTCTCTGGTGGACAAGCTGGTGGAGTTGGAGAAGTTTTAGGAAAGTAAAAAAATTGGAGACCTTTTTGTTGGGGATAGTTTTGATGGAAATTCCCAGGTGTCAAAAAATGTTATTTATGTATGCCACTACTGTGGCCCATGTTTTGTTAGCCCCAAAATGGAAAACGTGTGAGGTCCCAACTAATGGCAATTTAAGCTGACGGAATATGCACAGCTTGCAGACTTAACATATAGAATAAGAGAACAAGAAGAACATACGTTTAGAGAAGATTGGAAAATGATTACAGGGGGAAATTGTGTACACTTGAAAACATTGGCAACATTAACATAAATTCAACAGTGTAAATAAGTTTTGATGGATGCAATAATGGAATAATGAATGGTTTAGTTTATGTAAAATATGCAGGGATTTATGATATGCAAAATGAACTATGGAAAGAGAAGAAGGGAAGTCACTCATATTTTAAGGATGTTTAAATGAGTATTCTAAATTGTAAAACAGAAGATATATATAAAATTTTTGGAATATATATATATAGAGAGAGAGAGAGAGAGAGAGGTCAAAAAAGTATTCCAAAATTTATTTGTCTTACCACTGGCAGCTAAATAATTGATGCAATCATACTTGATATTATAAACAATATTTTTTTAAAAACAACACAAATATGTAATTGTATGTTTTGTTGTTTTTTGACTGTAATAGCCAGGGATGCAGGACGCACTTGACTATGGCTTAGACCGAGTAACTGATCCTTGTGAAAATACGGTAAACTAGGTAAGTTTGCATTCCTTAGTAGCACTCTGATTGTATTTTTGAATGGTGACAAAGCTTTCTGTATCTGCATTGTAAGGACATAAGACCCAACGAAGTCAAGGTTGGGATTGAATGTCCGACAGCTGGGGGTGAAAATGGGCAGATATGGAGGGGGTATGATGCAGTATTGAGAAGAGAAGACTCGCTGGAAAAGACCCTGATGTTGGGAAAGATTGAGGGCACAAGGAGAAGGGGACGACAGAGAATGAGATGGTTGGGCAGTGTTCTCGAAGCTATGAACATGAGCTTGACCAAACTGCGGGAGGCAGTGGAAGACAGGAGTGCCTGGCGTGCTCTGGTCCATGGGGTCACAAAGAGTCGGGCATGACTAAACGACTAAACAACAACATGATGCAGTATGCAATCATTACGGAGTTCCAGAAAATGTTTGATCCACACTGATCACTCAGTTTTGAGTACCAACAAAAAGTATGAGAGTGCTAACCATTTCTGCCACTGGGTGTTTTCTTCTTTTGAATAGGAATAACAACTTAATACAAATATAATGTCTTGCTCAGGGTTTGTTTGACCTAGTTCTTACTAAGGCAGTCAACCTATATCCTAGCTGTTTTTATTTCAGGGTGATATTAAACAAGGCGAAGGAGATCTGTGAGTGGAACCCCTATCGCTTTTGATTTGGGCAAATATGAGTTGCAGGGGAGAGGAACTGGGTCCAGATTGGGACTATAGTGTTGCAGGGAGAGAGGGCTTATCTATTTGCTTCCTTGTGCCATTTTCCAGGTGAAATAGGCTACGACTGCAGCTCCTGGTTGCTGCCTTAGGGAAAATTCATATGCCTGGGAATTTCCCCTGAGGTCGAATAGCAGCTTGGAACAGATAGGGGAGTCAAATTTCAGCAAGCAAAGCAGGTGTAGGGGAAAAGTTAAACCCCTCCCTTCCACCAGTGCCCTGGTCCTGAACTGAACTGAACTGCATCCCTCCCACAGCCAAAATACAATGGTACCTTGGGTTACAAACACGTCGGATTACAAACACTTCGGGTTACAGACTCCGCTAACCCGGAAGTAGTACCTTGGGTTAAGAACTTTACCTCAGGATGAGAACAGAAATTGTGTGGCGGCGGCAGCAGCAGCGGTAGGCCCCATTAGCTAAAGTGGTACCTCAGGTTAAGAACAGTTTCAGGTTAAGAGCGCACCTCCAGAACGAATTAAGGTACCACTGTATGAAGAGGTATGGGATGTGATTATGCCATCTTACTTGACCTTCGGACTGCAGCTGGGATTTAATTAGTTTTTACGTGGAAGGATTTCGATTTAAAAACATCACGGGCACCTCATGGAAAAGGGGTCCTAGCCTACCTTCCCATATTAGGGTTCTGCGTTGGAGTGGGATTATTCGTGGGGGATATTCAGCCATGCAATAATGCAGAGGGAAGAAAAGCTCTGGCAGCAATAGTTTAAAGAGACAGAAGTTCTATTAGTTGTGACCCGAAGTGGTGCAGCCCAAACCTAGCTTCCCTGCGTCAGATTTAAATTCAGTCAAGGCCTTAGCATGAATAGGATAAAGGTAAAGGGATCCCTGACCATTAGGTCCAGCCGTGACCAACTCGGGGGTTGCGGCGCTCATCTCGCTTTATTGGCCGAGGGAGCAGGTGTACAGTTTCCGGGTCATGTGGCCAGCATGACTAAGCCGCTTCTGGCGAACCAGAGCAGCACACAGAAACGCCGTTTACCTTCCCGCCGGAGCGGTACCTATTTATCTACTTGCACTTTGACATGCTTTCGAACTGCTAGGCTGGCAGGAGCAGGGACTGAGCAACGGGAGCTCACCCTGTTGCAGGGATTCGAACCGCCGACCTTCTGATCGGCAAGCCCTAGGCTCTGTGGTTTAACCCACAGCGCCACCCACATCCCTTCATGAATAGGATACTGTAGCTTAATTTTGTGTAGGGCAGGCCGAGAGCAACAGTGGAGCAAGCCGATCGGGCACCTGGGATGGTGCGCATGCCCTGTGCTCACGGCAGGACCAGCCGCTCACGGGAGCGGGGCGCGGCCAGCTGGGACAGGACGCTCTGTGGGGCCTCCAAGGAGTCTGCCTGCCTCCTCTCACTTAGTGGGCAGACCATTTGGGGCAGCGTGGAGCCTGTGGGCACCCAAGCCACCACATCACTCCCAGGAGAGATGCGTGGCTCAGGCGCACTGCAGGCCTTGCAGCGAGTGCCGCCCGGCATTTTGCCAACCCCCTCAGTGGTGACACCCGGGGCGGACCACCTCCACCGCACCCCCTTCCTCTGCCCCTGGCTGAGAGTACATTCTGTAGCCATGTTAACTTAGCTTCTCGCGGAGAATGAAGGGAATAGGGGAGACCGCAAACCAGGCAGTTGAAGTGATCTGTTATTTATGGGCCTGCAGCTGAAGGTGAGGCTTGTATGCTGCTTGTCCGAACCCTCTTTATAGCAATTGTTTTCATCAAACCCTGCGCAGTACTAATCAAACTTTCCATTTGCGTGAGGACTCTCAGCTGCAAATAATTGCGGTGGCCAAGTGGGCTTGGTTGCCATGGAGACTGAAGAGGAGAGCTAAATGCTGAGGCTGAGGATTTACCTCTTACCGTTAAGAGGAGGTGGCTGGCATGTCTTTTTTGAAAGGAGAACAGGAGTCTATGTCAGCCGGTACGGGACCAAATATAGACTTCAGGAGGAGGTTATCATGCCAAGCTATGTCATATCATGCTTGTATTTACAGAGTCCTACAGAGAGGGAAGATTTTGGTGTGTGTTTTTAATGCTACAGAATCCTACTCTCCCCGGACCTGTTTACACATGCAAGCCTCAACACTTTCAGAACTGGCTGCTTTCCATCTTTTCCCCAATCCTGACTAATAAGGCTTCTGTCTTTTTAAAATCTCTTCCCTCCCTGCGATGTAGTTGAATGCTCCATTTCTCTTGAGACTCAGAAGCACCTCTTCTGTTGGGGAGAGATGCAGATTGAATTGGGGTACTGGACGGGAGAGGCATTTCATAGTGAACTCATCAATGCTTCTTCACAATGAGCGGAAGCTGTGGGAGCAGCAGGTTGTAAAGAGACAGACTTAGACGCAGAAAATCTGAGAGGCAGGAGCTGTGCGGGGAAGACGAGCTGGTTCCTCCCCTTCCTGGTGAGCAGAGCGGATGAGAGTACCTAGGACAAAATAGAGTCCCCGTCCTCCACAGCAATAGCAGACAGACACACCTAAATGCCGGTGAAATGCAGCCCCTTAGTAATTGACAGACAAGCACAGGAGTGAGGAATTTGTGGCCCTGTAGATATTAATTCATGGGACGTGTAGATATTAATTCCTGTAGATATTAATTCATGGGACGTGGGTGGCGCTGTGGGTTAAACCACAGAGCCTAGGACTTGCCGATCAGAAGGTCGGCGGTTCGAATCCCTGCGACGGGGTGATCTCCCGTTGCTCGGTCCCTGCTCCTGCTAACCTAGCAGTTCAAAAGCACGTCAAAGTGCAAGTAGATAAATAGGTACTGCTCCAGCAGGAAGGTAAACAGCATTTCCGTGCACTGCTCTGGTTCGCCAGAAGCGGCTTAGTCATGCTGGTCACATGACCCGGAAGCTGTACGCCAGCTCCCTTGGCCAATAAAGCGAAATGAGCGCCCCAATCCCAGAGTTGGTCACGACTGGACCTAATGGTCAGGGGTCCCTTTACCTTTAGATATTAATTGGTCTTCAGCTCCCATCAGCCATAGCCAATGATAAAGCCAATGATAAGGGATGATGGGAAGTGGAGTCTAACAATATCCGCAGGACCACAGTGCTGGGCATGTAGGAAGAATGATTCCTGGGTTCTTCTATAACACATCCAGACTTCCAGGGTGGCGGCATCTGGAGAACGCACACAACAGTTTGGGCTAGGAACGCACATCCGGAAAGGCCCACTGCAATTGTGCACAGGGAAAGATAGTTGGGAAACGTGAAACAGGTTGATGCTGTTTGGCCTTGTTTCCCTTAAATAAGCGTCCTGTGAAAATACAGATATAATATGAACTCTCATGGCAACTGGTATCAAATAGAGAAGTGAAAGCCTGATTGAAGGCGATAGAGGTTTGTTTGTTTGTTTGTTTGTTTGTTTGTTTGTTTGTTTAACACAAAAAGCAGTGGGAATTTTATGAGCCCAGTAGAGTGGGGAGTGATGGCAGGAGTGGAATCATATAAGTATCATTTGGCTACATCTATCTCCCTGCAAAGGAGAATTCTTTTGTGACTGGTTCACCAAAGGACCACCCCTTTCCGTATGATGATTTTATGGTCTAAATTTGAAACATGGAGGTTGTTTTTATAGATTTATGTATTTTGTGTTCTTTGTGTTTTATGTGCAGCTATATTTTGTGCTTGGAGTATTCTATAGCCTGCTTCACACTTCACGGCAAACCATACTTTGAAACAAACTATGGTTTAATGTGATTGAGCAGTGTGCTGAAAAGTTCTAGTTCTGCCCCTGCGCCCTGTCCCACTCCTGCTGCTGCCACACTGCCAGGAAACAAGCAAGAGTCTGGTTTGTCATGAAATCTGAAACCAGGCTCATGGTTTGTTTCTCTTTAAAACCAGTGTTTCTCAAACTTAGGTTCCTAGCTGTCATTGGACGAAACTCCCATCATCCCTGTCCACTGGTCCTGCTAGCTAGGGATGATGGGAGTTGTAGTCCAGCAACTGCTGGAGACCTAAGTTTGAGAAAAACAGTTCTAAACAAACTACAAGTGGTATCCAGGGTTTGTTCTTGGCTTATTACTCAAGGTTTATTTTGGAGCAAACAGCCCAAATAATAACATGCCAGAATCTGACTTCTTCCCTGGTGCTATGTTTTGTGATTAGCACAAATCTCTTTGAAGTCCATACTGGGTAAACTGCATTTTTACATTTTTTAACTAGCTAATAGAGCGCAACAGGAACACTTTGTATGGAGTCCCTTTGTCCAGGCCCTTTGTGCTTTGTTGTTGATCAATGTCAATGTCAAACGAGAAGATTATGTTAAATCTGGAGAGACACTTTCATGAGCTGCTGTACCGATGGGGGGAAATGCAGCAAATAGCTTCTGTAAGACAGTTCAATGCATTGTGAGTTTTGTTACTGTTTTCAGTGAATTCTAGGATTTGTTCAGTTGAGTCCATGACCAATAGAATATAGGGGTGACAACCCTGAACTAACAGCTCGTTGCATTTAGAGAAATTATAAATAGAGAATGAATGAATAGTAAATAACAAAGCGATGACTAAAATGGAAGGGGGAAAATAGCATGGATGATACTATTCACGTTGGAATAGCAAATATGATAACCATTTAATTAAGAGCTTTGTTTCTTTCTGAAATAGTTAATTAACCATTTCCCCCTGTCTTTCTTTTCTCTTTCTTTCCAGTTTATTTTTCTGGGATGTGTGCATGACCTTCCTGTCTGTGAAGTCCTGGGTTGATTGTTCCGTAGAAGACTAAAGTTCTATAACCTCCATATGAGTCACATTCTGTTATTTCACCTCTGTTCCCCTTATACAACTGTACTGTGTACCTAAGAAATGTCATCCTTGGAAATGAAGATTAATGGGAATGAGGGACAGATCTAATTTAAATTAGCAAGTTTTTTATCTTTTAATGCAAAACCTTTGCTTTCTGTGGATTAGCCACACAATTCAATTAATGTTTCCTGGGAACTCTGATGGGATTTGAGTGTAACTTTGGACTTTTCTAATGGGATGATGAACTGCCTAAACATGCAAAAAGGTTTCCATTTTAGAGTCACGCACCAGGTGAAGTCTGTGGGTGCATTTTTAATTTTTTCCCTTGAATATCAGTTAATAGTTGCCATTCACTCCTAAGGGGGAAATCAATGTGCTTCATTTGGGGGCAGTTCTGCCCATCACCCCTGACACAGTTGCCCAGCCTCAAGGACTGCATTGGGGAAGCCTTGGGCAAGCTACATTGACAGGCAAGCCATTTGCTGAACTTGACATTCAGTTTAGGCACATGTATCAACAACCACAGGGATAGATTTCCTCACTGCATTGTGCACTTAAATCACATGTAAAGTCAAATGCGCAATTGTAGCTTGTGAAGAAGTCCTCATACAGTTGTAAGTTTTGATACAGTTTATTATTGTCTCCCGATTGTCAGACTTTTTAAGTGTTCACAGCATAGTTCCAGAAGTCAGTAGCAAGAAGCAACATCTACTGGTATTCCCTATGCTGTAGCATTGCAGCTGGCAGAAAGCCCTGGTTCATCCTAAGAAACTAAGGGTGTTGATAGATGAGACATTGGCAGGACCTGCAAGCTGTCGTTTCCTAAAAGTTTTAACAGCCACAATTGGCCCTGGCATCACTTGGGACTGCAGTGCTGGGAAAAGCAGGTTAACCTTCCCCAAAAACGCTGTTTTCCTGTTGAAAATTGCACCTGTCTCTGAACTTAGGGGCAAAATGTGCAGGTATTATATAGACACTATGTGGCTCTTCTGGTGTCATGACATATTGACCTGGTTTGGACAGTCAACTCATGGTTAAATAAGCCAGGATATGCATGAACTCTGCACATCTTCACATAGCTTCTTTGCTTCCGCTCCACTCTTTCTGTTGCGAGATCAGCTAAGCAAACCAAGAAGCTGAAGTTAGCTATAGCTTCCTGCTAGATCTAAACCAGCAAACCATAGCTAATGGCTTCTTGTTGAGCCAGGAAATTAAGTAATGGTTTAAAGCTGGCTTTCAAATCCAGATGTGCTTGGAAGCCATTCTCTACAGTGCCTGGTTTGGACATCATGGGAGGCTGTGATTAATCACAGGGAAGGTTCTACATGCAAGGTGCCCAGAGCTTCATGCATGCTCAGTGATTGTCTAAAAGCAGCTATTGTGTCGATTAATTCTTGCATGCTTTTATTTGGTAAGCGCTGTCCCTTTACATATTGGATTAAGGGCCTAGCTACATGTTACACACTAGTGTGTATGACAGTAGTTCAGTCCTGCTCTTTAAAAAGCAAAGCCACTTGAAGGGGTGGGGAGCACGGGTGCTAAAACCCCTCCCTTCTAGCTGTTTTCTGGGAAAACCATCTTCCATGAAATGCAAATATCCATTTGGAATCCAGCAGGGTGGGTGGGGTAGAAGTTGGGGAGTTTTGAGTAGAAATCTGGCTGACAAATCCCTCGCCCTCCTCAAATGGCTTTCCAAGAAATAAAGAAAGAGAACGGGCGCCCACATCCTATTGCATGCATTTGCATATTATAATTAGTTAGCCCCTTACACATGGCAGGTTTGCAAGGCATGAGCTGAGTGCGTACTTGGATGTCATAGAAGGAAAAGGGCCTCCACAAAACTTGGAGGCTTTCCTGACAGCCCTCGCTTGGCGTGCCTCTCCTCTGTTTCCATCTGCTTATTCCAAACAAAGTCACGGCATGATACTTCAAAGGGAGCTGCAGGAACAAACAGCCTGCAGTTAATTTCTAGCTTTCAGTTGCTTGCTGGCTGGTGGATGACACATAACATCATCTGAGCTATTTAAATAGCAGCATAAGCACAGCAGATATTGTTTCTGAGGCTTTTAATTGCTATGTTTATGTTTTGCAATATGTCAGTTCCTGTCGCCTTTAACTAATACTGAATGATCTAATCCCTGTCTCCTAAATGAATCTGTATTAGCTGCATTAGAATAACCCTGTAATTAAATGCACACACATATATGGGCTGAGAGGGGAACAGGCAACGCTATCTGCAAAGTTAAGCTTTACAAAATCATACAGCGGGTGGAAAACTCTTCACATCAATGTTCTCTTTGTTAAATAGGCTCAGTAGATGCTAGTCTGAATTTAGCACTAATTGTTAAAGTGAGTTGGGTAGAGAGCAATGCACTATTTTTTCAGATACAGCTTTTTTGAACACCCAGTCAATTATTATTATTGTTGTTGTTGTTTGTTGTTGTTGTTATTATTTTGCTACCGTGTTCCTTTCTTTTACAGAAAAAAACCATGGATGTTTACAGGAGAGAGGTAATTTCTTTCCCACATATTAATCAGTGATTGTTGTTGCTGTTAATAACAAGTAATAATACAGTCCTGGTAAAAACCGCATTTTCCTTGAAACCTTATTCACAAGCCTTCAACTAAGTTTTACTCAAAGTAGACCCATTAAAATGAATGCTGGCAAGAGTTTTCCACTTCTCACAGCATGCTGTGGCAGGGGGTGGTGGGTGGGGGAGAGAAAAGACTGTGGCAGAAAGAGAGATGACAAGAAAACAAGATGACAGAATGAGAGGAGGGCTGGCCACACCCACTTTTGACCCCTGGTCCCCATCTGCCATTGGGCTTTGGTCCCATTCAAGGCCAGCATGCAGCCTCCAGCAAATCAACTCCAAGGGAATATCGTCCTTAACGATCCCGGGAGGGAGGGATTTGTACTTCTGCTTTACAGGCAGCCAGATAAGGATTCTTAGGGAGCTACAATCTGGGTTTTCTATCTCTTGTGTCCTTGGCATGGCAACAGCTTTCCCCTCCAACAGTATTTCATGATACCTTGGTGCAGAAGATCTAAAATCCTCCCCCTGCCATGGTAAAATATATAAAATTCCAAATTATTTAATCATTGGTGAAGGTTTGGTAACCCCTCAGTCCACACATGCTGTTTAATTGCAGGGACAGCTCTTTGCCCTCGCTCCCCGACTCCCCAGCTACCAATGCTCAGCCCAAATTACCAACTTGAGACCACATGTAGCGCATTTGCACTTACATGTCAATTAATGTACAACCCTCACAGTTCACCCACCCATGCACAAGTGTGTGTGTTTGTGACTTCATCCCATGTTGGTCCCCTTGACTAGCCACGCCTCACATTGTTGCAGATGGAGGTGACTGTAGGAATAGCCCAGACGGGGCTCTTTGCATAGCAGGGGATGCGTGGATAGAAGAAGAGCTCTGCTCTGGACCAGGCCAAGGGCTCATCTAGTCCAGCGGTTTGCTCTTAAAATGGCCGACCAGATGCCTACGGGAAGCCTCCAAGTAGGACTTTAAAAAACACACACTATTTAACCATTTTTTCAATACAAACATCAACCACAAAAGACACATACAACAAAAACCATAATAACAATAATAACACAATTTGACAATTCAGATTTGAATACACTGATATACCTATGACTACACCTTTTTAAACAATATTTCCCCACCTCTCTCTCCTCCCCCTACTTCCCACCAATATCCGCCTTATCGCTTAAGGCGGATTCGTTCCATATTTCTTCATATTTATCCATTCTTATTTTGTGTCGACATGCAGTTTGTTCGTATGTAGCTAATCTGTCCATATTATCAATCCATGTGCTCAATGGAATCTTTTTGAAGTTTTTTTGCTTCTAATATAGCACGGTACACCCATTTTTTTTGCTCCCTTGAAATCTCCCACATTTCCGTAATATAATTTAGAATTAAATTAAATTCCCCTAAATAACAATTTATTTTTATTACTCTTGCTATAAATATCCTCACCTCACACCAAAATGATCTTATCATCGGGCAGTTAATCAACATATGTACTAAGTTCGCATTTTTACTCCCAGCAGTTGTCTGCACTTGTTATTTTCTTCTGGTATAATTTTGCTGGAGTCCAGTGGACTCTGAATATTATTTTCTGTTGAATAAGTCTTAGTCTTAGATCCATAGAGGCTATTTCTGTTGATTTTATACTTGACTCCCATATGTCATTTGTTATCTGTACCCCTAACTCTAAACTCCATTTTTGTCTTTCATATTCTAAATCATATTTCTTCCTGTTGAGTAGGGTTTTATATAGTGCAAGTGTAGAGTTTTTTGTTTTTGTTGCACTCTCCCCACCTGTGATTCCTGGCAACTGGCATTTGGGGACACGCTCCCTCTGAGAGCCAGTGTAGTGTAGTGATTAAGAGCGGTAGTCTCATAATCTGGTGAACCGGGTTCGTGTCTCCGCTCCTCCACATGCAGCTGCTGGGTGACCTTGGGCTAGTCACACTTCTCTGAAGTCTCTCAGCCCCACTCACCTCACAGAGTGTTTGTTGTGGGGGTGGAAGGGAAAAGGAGATTGTGAGCCGCTTTGAGACTCCTTAGGGTAGTGATAAAGCGGGATATCAAATCCAAGCTCTTCTTCTTCTTCTTCTGACAAAGGAGGTTGAATGTGGCCATCATCATCAATCAGTATTGGCTATTGGATTAGCTTTTGTTTCATTATGCGTTTTGTGTTCTCTGTGATCGTCGGAGGAAGGGAGGTATGCAAATTTAATAAATGATAATGTTGTTGTTGATGATGATGATCAGTGGTGTGTGGTGAAACTTTTCATAGGCGAACAGTTAGGGCCAGAGGTGCCAGTTTGTGAGGGCGATGTCACATGAGCAATGTTTTGATGTCCTGATGTTGCGCATGTGAGCATTGCGGCTCCCTCCCTAAGCTGGGCAGAAGCTTCTTGGGCTTTGGGAAGGAGGCGCATAATGAAACAAAAGCTAATCCAATAGCCCTGCTCCCACAAGCACATCTAAAAGGCCCTAGTAGCTTCTGATAGCCTTCTCCTCCATGAATGGAGCCTTCCAAATGGTATCTGCTTCAACTTTTTGTATTTCCATTGTGAGAATTTTACAATGCAGGAAGCTGATTTCTGGACACTCACCTAGGTAACCTTCTTATAAGGGTATAGGAAACCTCTTGCTAGCTTCTTGGTAGATGAGGATTTCTCGCAAGCGCCTGTGGTTCTGCTGACATAATGAAAACTGTTTTCCTGCTTAGATCATGTACTACCAGCAGGCCATAATGAAAACCACAGTAAAGTCCTCTGTCTCCCTGGGAGGGTAAGTGCTAACTTTGTTTTAAGGCATAGCATATTATGCCCTTCCATTTATTAGTGATTGAGGGCTTACACACACTTAACTTTTCCGCCACTCTTTCCAAGCGCAGTCCGTGACTTAAAGCTTTTTGTCCAAGCACACCCACCCACCCCATTTTTTGTTTGTTTGTTCTGGAGCTTTCCCTTTGAAAACCCACTCTTTAAAGCTCAATCAGAGCAAATGTCAATCCACAGAAAACCTGAATTGATGCTTGCTCCGATTCAGCTTTAAAGAGCGGGTTTTCGTGGGGAAAGCTCAGGGCAAAAAATTAAAAATGCTCCGACACACGAGTGTCACAGCACAGGCCACTGTCTAGAAAGAGTGGGCCCAAAGGTCAGTGTGGATAGGCCCTAATTCAATACTTTCAATAATGTGATTTAGCTAGTGGTTATTTTAAAAAGAAAAGAAAAGAAATGGCAGGAAGGGTATCTGTTTTGAGCTTTGCCCTTTCTGACCTGGAAGCCTTTCTTTCTAATCTCAGATCATAGTACCATAGAATTGTCGAGTTGGAAGGCTCATCTATTCAAGGCTAAGTTACACGAATCCACCTCCGTTCAAGAATTCCTGGCCTGAACGGAATGGGGCAGTGGGGTCTCTTCTCTTCGCCTGATACACTGCCTGCCCCTGGGAGACATCGCCATGTGAATCTCCCCCTCTGAACTCTCCTGCTCTTTGTCAGGCTGGGCCACTGAATGCTCCCCATCCTCCACAGGCTGGGAAAGGGCAGGGGGACAGTATCTTTCCCAGCGGAAGCATCTAGAAGCAGGAGCTTTCTATTAGCCTAGAGGGAAGCCAAAGCTAAGGGGACCAGATGCACGTCAAATTACACTTGCTAAAATTCCCTGTTCTGCACAACTATTGAAGAAAGTGCAGGATCGCTTTACGGTTTTGCACCTGGCCTCCTCAGCCAAAACTGCCGTCTGTTTTCTGGCATGCATGAGCAAGCAATAGCTGGAAAGCACTGCCAGGCTGGAAAAAAGCCCAGGTGCATGCCTGCAACGAAGCATGCAAACACCAGGAATGCAGCCAGGTTTTTGAGTTTTTAAAGTAAGATAACACAAAGTTGGATACCTGCCAGGTTGAGTGTCTGCTAACGGAGGCCCAGCTCCCATCAACTCATTGCATGATTAAGCAAACTGGTTGCCTAGAAACATCATTTGGTGCAGCTCTTCCTGGACATTGGCACTTCAGACTGCAGGTTTTAATAATCTCCCGTGTTAAAATAGCTTTCTAGAGAGAAACTACCATATCTACAGGAAGGCTAGGCTATGCCACTTTCCCTCCATGTAGTTGCTTTCCGCTACATAGGTGGGGTTTTTTTTTATACATTCAGGGGTACATTTAAACCCATGATCCCTCACCTGCATTCCAAAGTGGTGGAGTCCAGGCTAGGCTTTGTCAGGTGATATTCTGGAATGTGTTGTCCAGCTTTGAGTTCCCCATAGGCATATGCATATAATGGATTGTTCAGCCTTTTCGCTCTTCTGCAGTGAGCTTAGAACCAACACAAAATTTGTAACTGTTTTGTGAAATGATGGGTATAAAAATCACTGTTGGGCTAGGTAGGAAGGTTCCAAGTGTTATAATTCACAGCACAGAACGTCCTTCATCTTGTGCAGTCGTTGAAGTCATTCGTAGTTTCCTTCCTACCGTGCTGTTTATGATGTTGCCCACAGATGATCACCTTGCTTTCATCTCCAATGTTTTCAGAATTGTGAAGTACTGTGAACAGTTCCGCTCCAATGACTGCATAATCTCAGGATGCCTCCCCAGCAACCCCTGGATCTCAGATGAGGTTGACTTTTGGGATTACAATGCAAAGCTGTATGTACTACATTTACATTCATTTTGTGAGTTACAGTGACTTTACCTAAGCAGGGGTGAATCTGTCAGTTTCAGTTTCTCTTAGGCTCTCATTTTCCCAATCTTAAGCACAATTCTCCACATTTCCACATCAGTTTGAGATTTTATTTTATTTATTTTTTAAAAAAGTTCACATGAAAATTCACCAGCCTTTTTTGTGCAAATTTCTCCTTACGTATGTTTCTGTGCAATTTTGCTTGATATACACTTTTTTTTTTGGCAAAGCAATTTCCCCTTATATAATGAACACTTTATCTCCGTTATATGCATTATATTCACATTACTTGGCTGAAGAACAAGTGTGCATTTTGAAGGATGACCGTGTTTCGGTTTTTACAGTACATTGTTTTGGACAGGGGTCAGCAACCCGCGACTCCGGAGCCGCATGTGGCTCTTTTACACCTTTGCCGCAGCTCCGGGGCGGATACTAGCGAGGGGAGGAGGCGCATTGTGCGCCCCGACACTCCCCACTGTGGCGGGCGCTGTACTGGCTGTGACGTCGCATGGGGGCGGTGCATGCGTTAGTCACGCACCGTCCTGACGTCACCTTCCCGCCCGCCCGCTACATTGTAAGGGGCATGTACGCTGGTCACTGTTTTGAAGGGGAGTGAAGAACACACACACACAAAAAAGGTAACTTGTTAATTTAACGTTTATTTCTATGAGGAGGAGTAATTCTGAGGGGTCAAACAAAGAAATAATAAAAAAAAGTGACAAAAAAGTTATTTTTATAATGACAAGTTTTGCGGCTCCCAGTTTTTTCCCCTTCGGAAACGGGTCCAAGTGGCTCTTTTTGTCTTAAAGGTTGCAGACCCCTGGTTTTGGAAAATGTGTCTTTGGAAAGCAGAGGAGAGGCATTTGTAACACGGATGAGCATTCTTGACCGAGATAGGTTTTACCTTCCCATTACAAACCTGTTTTCAAAAAGAGCTGCTTCAAGCCTCATGAATGTTGGCCTAAGAGAGGGGTGCAGAATCTTTGTCGTTGTTGTTATTGAGAACTATGCTGTGTCAGGAATAATCTGTTGGCAGCCATGCTGTTGGTGGACAGAGTCAGAGTCAGTGGTGGAAAGTAGCTGAAACCAGTGGTTGGCAAAAGTGGACGAGACCAGAGCTAAACACAGGTGAGACAAACTGCATCCTCTCTGTTTGGCCTTCTTTCCTGTCTCTCCCCTGTTGCCACCTACAGGAAGTTAGGTCTAGGGCTGCACACTTCTCACCCTGGGTGAAGAGCTGATCTGAGCATGCTCTGGTGTTAGTTGCAGGTGCCAACGCAAATATATGCCTCCTTGTTACGGTGTGCCTTCTCCAAAATGGAATTAGGATTCGTGCTTTGTCGTTGGACAATGGGAATCAATAATACCTGCTCAGTGAAGCTATTGCATTATGAATCAAATTAGAATCAGACGCTTTGTGTATAAACGGCCTTGGTCCAGCTCCATTGTTCTGCCCGGAAACTGAGGTCCAGCGCCGAGGGCCTTCTGGCGGTTCCCTCGCTGCGAGAAGCCAAGTTACAGGGAACCAGGCAGAGGGCCTTCTCGGTAGTGGTGCCCACCCTTTGGAACGCCCTCCCACCAGATGTCAAAGAGAAAAATAACTACCATAGTTTTAGAAGACATCTAAAGGCAGCCCTGTTTAGGGAAGCTTTTAATGTTTAATAGGTTATTGTATTTTAGTGTTTTGTTGGAAGCTGCCCAGAGTGGCTGGGTGGACCCAGCCAGATGGGCGGGGTATAAATAATAAATTATTATTATTATTATTATTATTATTATTATCCTGCTATATGCAACAATGCTTAATTACTAGTTACTTGGACTCTAGAGCTCATTGTGGTGTATTGGAAAGCAGAGGGGAAAACTCTATGCTGTCAACCTGGTATGTGTGGAGAGAGAGAGAGCGTGTGTGTGTGTGTGTGTGTGTGTGTGTGCTGTGTGTTTGTGTGGTGTGTGTGGGTGTGTGCCTGCGCATGGGGCTTCTGCTTTCTATTAAAGCACACAAATAGATAGACTGTTTGAATCTCACAGGAAATGATTTCAGAAAGAAACAGTGCAACCTCTTTGCCATTAAACTTCTGCAGGGTGGAAATCCCCACCAAATCACGAGTGGAGAGATGGGCCTTCAATTTTAGCGAGCTGATGAGGGATCCCAAAGGCCGCCAGAACTTCCAGCTGTTCCTGAAGAAAGAGTTCAGCGGTGGGTGTGAAATTGTGCCTCTGCTTTTCCACCTCTCTAGCTCCTCTTTAAAGTGCTGGAGGACTTTGATGTCATACGTGGCTCCCCTGAGATGAATCTCATTTTCAAAAAAAACCTGCTTCCTTTCTCCCTTTACAATAGGTGAGGTGCCCTGAGGAAACAGTGCAAAGGGTACAAATCTCTCCATTATAGCTTTTGCCCATGGCTTTACATCCAAGTGGCTCAAGACATAAAACAATACAAAGCCTGCCGCCACAAAGGGGCTGCTGTGATGTATTAAAAGGGCTTGAAAACGCAAAGCTTTTTGCATATTGTAGCTCCTCTCTGTATCTGCAAGGCCACAAATGAATAGGACAAGAAGTAGTATGCCCAGATACAAAGATAGAGAAAGCTCCCGTACTTCTGACATTTGTGCAAAAGCAAGAATTCTGGGAAGGGCAACTTTCCATGAGGAGGAAATAAGAAAATCTCTGCACCTGCTTCTAGAAGAGCCAATTCAGGGTCCCCCTTTGCATCACCACACTAGAATCACATTCAGCCGATTTAGGCTATTGACTTAAAATATTATATATCACGCAGGATTATTTTCCTTTCTCTTTTAATTCAGGGGAGAATCTGGGATTTTGGGAAGCTTGTGAAGATCTGAAGTATGGAGACCAATCCAAGGTGAAAGAAAAAGCAGAAGAAATTTACAAGTGAGCACAGTATATAGTGTTACAAAAACTTTCCCTGGTGTCCTTTTCCTACATTGTACCAGTTTTTGTAAAAAAAATAATGAAACGAAACGCTGAGTTGCAATTTCTTTCATGTTTTTAGTAGGATTTCAAAGCACTGGTAAATCCATGCAAAAGTCTTCATGTGACCTAGTTGCACATAGATTTCTGCCACATGATAGATGCAAAAAAAAAGCTACTTTACGGGGAGAAGAAGGGTGACACAAATTCATCTTAAGAATATGATTGTAAGCACATTTGCCAGGCAATAAGCCATGCCGGAACGTTCTTCTTTCTAGCGCTGGAAGACTATCTACGTGGCCTGAGACTTTTGCACTGAGGAGTCTTTAGAATACAGTGGTACCTTGGGTTACAGATGCTTCGGGTTACAAACGCTTTGGGTTACAAACTCCGCTGACCTGGAAGTGGTTGCTCCAGAAAGTGGTTGCTGCCAAGGAGTGTGATGGAGTCTCCTTCTTTGGAGGTCTTTAAGCAGAGGCTTGACAACCATATGTCAGGAGTGCTCTGATGGTGTTTCCTGCTTGGCAGGGGGTTGGACTCGATGGCCCTTGTGGTCTCTTCCAACTCTATGATTCTATGATTCTATGATTGTATGATTCTATGATTCTAGGTTAACAACTTTGCCCCAGGATAAGAACAGAAATTGCACGCCAGTGGCGCAGTGGCAGCAGAAGGCCCCATTAGCGAAAGCGCGCCTCAGGTTAAGAACTGTTTCAGGTTAAGAACGGACCTCTGGAACGAATTAAGTTCTTAACCCGAGGTACCAATGTATCCTAAGTGAAATGTCAGCTGGAGCCGCTGGAGTGGTTCCAGTGGAGGACTGGTGGCATTAAAGCTACACATCATTAGGTACATGTGCAGCGTCCGAGATAACAGGAGACCTTTAGCGATACCTGTTCACGTCAAAGAGTAAGAATTGCATTCCGTCGGTCGACGGGAGAACATTTAGAGCTGCCTCAAACAGGAAGTATGGCCCTACAGCCTTTCTTCGCCAGCTTTATTTTAATCCCCTTTATTTTCATTTTCGATTTCAGGACCTTCTTGGCACCTGGAGCCAGGCGCTGGATCAATATTGACGGCACCACTATGGGCATCACGGTCAGAGGCCTCAAACACCCTCATCGCTATGTCTTAGATGCCGCACAGACTCACATTTATATGCTGATGAAGAAGGTTTGTTGTTTTTTTGCTTATTAATTCTGGCTGGCTTTCCTTCCCAGTTATTCAAGTGGCATCGCCATCACTCCCACCCAAGCCTTTTTGAGAGAAGCAGTATTTGCCTGTTGTCCAAATCTACCCTGGTGAAGTTTGAAGAAAACACATGAAATAATCTTTTTGTGACAGTCTTGGGACACCTCCTTTTGGGGTTGACTCGGCCCTTATTTTGGCCATGCAAAAATAATCAAAGCTATGCTTTGATGAGGGAGAAACTAATATACTATTTATGCAGAATAAAATATGTAAGATCTAAGAATGCCCAATGTATACAATGGCAGTATTTTTGAAATTAGAAGACAAAACAGGATAGCTTTGATCTTTTGTATAACAGAGCTGCAGTTCTTAATTTCTCTGGCATTTTCCTATAAAGTGGCCCCGTCTGCACTTAAAGCAAACCCATGCTTTGTTTGACTGAACTGTGACTTCTGTTTGAACATCTAAACCCAGTCTAACAGACTAATCATGGTTTGTTTTCTAATGGAATCCATTATGTGAAGCCATGGTATGGTGTTGGCTTTCAAACCATGGCTCGTTTTAACTATGGTTTAGCCTTGGCCACCCTACCTCAGATGCTTGCTAAGCTGCAGAGGCACAAGGCTGGAGCAGCTGAAAAACACACTAAAGCTTTGGGGAAATGAAGAATGACTTGTTTGCTCATCTACGTAGGAAGCTGTCTTAAGCCATTTCAAACCGTTGGTCCATGTAACTCAGCGTGGTCTAAACTAATTGACAGCGGCTCTCTGGGATTTCAGGTGCAAAGGAGCTTTTCTCCTGAGCTATGGCCCTTCATTCACCGTCTATGGGATGATTTGTGGTTTGCTGAGCAAGCAATGGTTAAAACAAGACTTAGCGTTATGTGCGAACACCCCCTTTCCCATCCCTGGGCACTCTTTTTCAGATGAAGGCATACCTGCCTCTTTTCCTGTTTGGCTGACCTCATAACATTACAGAAGCAGTGGCCTAATGAAGAAGGTTGCGAAGGTAGCATTCAGTTCAATAGTCAACTTATTTCTCTGGGGTTCAGCTTTTTCAGAAGACTTTAAAGCCTCTTAGTGTGCTTTCAGAAAATGTAATTGCAACCACAGGAAACTTAATTTCAGCTGACACCGACGGCAGCTTGACACAGGAGATGGATGGAGGAAGCGAAATAGTTTAACCACAACATTTGTCCTCCCCCCCCACCCCCAGCAAGTTTGAGAATGTGACTTGAAATGTGTTGGGGCAGATGGTGGCAAAATGATGTGTCATTACAAGAACAATAGATCCAATACATTGAAGAAACCAGAAAGCCATCTAGCCCAAACGGCAGCAGCATTTCCGAGCACAATTCAAAGTGTTGGTGCTGACCTTTAAAGCCCTAAACGGCCTCAGTCCAGTATATCTGAAGGAGCGTCTCCACTCCCATCGTTCTACCCGGACACTGAGGTCCAGCACCGAGGGCCTTCTGGTGGTTCCCTCACTGCGAGAAGCCAAGTTACAGGGAACCAGGCAGAGGGCCTTCTCGGTAGTGGCACCTGCCCTGTGGAACGCCCTCCCACCAGATGTCAAAGAGAACAACAACTACCAGACTTTTAGAAGACATCTGAAGGCAGTCCTGTTTAGGGAAGCTTTTAATGTTTGACGTATTACAGTATTTTAATTTTTTTTGGAAGCTGCCCAGAGTGGCTGGGGAAGGCCAGCCAGACGAGCAGGGTATAAATAAATGAATTATTATTATTATTATTATTATTATTATTGTTATTGTTATTGTTGTTGTTAGGACCATCTTACGTCTTCCAATCTCTGTTAGGTAATCCCACCACACTTAGGGTATGTGCCCTGCAAAGGTGCTTACATAATATAGTAGCTCTGGGTGACTCGAGGTATATCAGGCCATAGCCTTCAAGGAGTCATAGCATATATACCCTTTAATAATACAATTCCCACTTCCTTTTGCTGGCTTTGAATGGCTGAAAAGCACACTTGAAGAAGGGAGTGTTGGAGCTTATGTGATGTTTTTTCCTTCCTAGGATGAGAACCTCTCCCCCATCTCTTACTGAGTGCTCTGGCCACAGATTTCTAACCACATGGGTGTTAATTTAACCAGTGGTTTTCATAACACATATGTAATGTGGAGAAGAGATGTTCCATTGTGCTCTTGGGCGACATTATTCTCTTCCCTTGCAGGCCCCCCCCACCCGCCACTTTGACTCCCAAACAGCTGTAAGGAGAGATGATTTTAATTAGGATGCTTGTAATCTATAACTACCGTTTCCCCTTTCCTTCTCCCCAGTAGGATTCGTTCGGTCGCTATTTAAAGTCTCCGATATACAAGGAAATACTGTCCAAGGCAATTGTGCCGCAAGAAGCCGCCGTGAAGAAAAGGCAAGCTGATTGGGGTTTAATTGCGGGTTATTTGCTGTTGGTTTAAACGAGGGCACAAAGTGATTTAAGCATTTGCATAATTTAAAGTGGGTTTTTCATGGTGGGCGGGACAGACAGATAACCCCTCATTTTGGATGCTGCAGATGCTTCGCTTCCAAGAAGGAATGGCTATTGCGGAAAAGCCTTTTGCCCTAACAGGAGTTTCCTCTGGCCACTAGCCTGCACCACATTCCCCTCTTTCTTTAAAGCATAGCTGGACAGAAACAGCTGTACCTTGCACTGCTGTTGGTTGTCATGGAAACCACCCTATGGTAAGCCCCGTCTGCAGGCTCCTGAAGCTGGTTTATTGAGCAGCAGCAATAAGAAGAGTTGTTAATATTAGCAGCAGTCGTGTATTCATTGAGTGGTTTCCCAAGCAGCTTGATGGGCGTGTTCTCGAGATCCTTACTAGCATCCTTGTGTAGTAGGCCTGTATGTTTACCCTCATGTTGCTGGGGCTGAGAAACAGGGGTTCCCTACAGGCCAGGCAGCCTGCTGACATGCAGCGCAGAAGACAAGACTAGTGGCTGGCTTAGCATTCTGCCTTCTGGAATGTGCAACTCTCAGGCAAACTGCAAAGCTGAGAGCTCACCCTACAGGTGAATAACATGATGCAGTTTCTCTTTCAAGGACGTGTTTGTCTTTACCTTTAAGGGACGGTTCCCTCAAACCACCTTTGCTGCTTCAGATGGCAGAACAAGGTGACTTGTTTCCAGCAAGCTTTTGAAATACAGTGGTACCTTGGGTTAAGTACTTAATTTGTTCCGGAGGTCCGTTCTTAACCTGAAACTATTCTTAACCTGAAGCACCACTTTAGCTAATGGAGCCTCCCGCACCGTTGGAGCACAATTTCTGTTCTCATCCTGTAGCAAAGTTCTTAACCCAAGGTACTATTTCTGGGTTAGCGGACTCTGTAACCTGAAGCGCCTGTAACCTGAAGCGTATGTAACCCGAGGTACCACTGTATTCCGACTGCTTCTTTATGAAAACTTCCCCCCACCTCCCCCCCACTTTTGTTGCTGTTGCAGCAGGGCTTTATTTGTTCTTTGCGTGCTGTTACGCCATGCATGTTTTTAGTAAGCTGCTTTCTGAACTGCAAAATTACGAGAAGTGTGAATTTTGAAAGGCAGCTGCATTTCAGTGTTGTTGAGTTCAGAAAGCGTGAATTAGGTAGATTCGCCTTTAAATGCGAAATTAATCAAAACCCTCTCCCCCCCCATCCCTAGTGTAGAATGACATAGGGCTACATCAGGGGTCAGCAACCTTTTTCAGCTGTGGGCCGGTCCACCATCTTTCAGACCATGTGGGGGCCCGAACTATTTTTTTTTGGGGGGGGGAATGAACCCCACAAATAACTTAGAGATGCATTTTAAATAAAAGCACACATTCTACTCATGTGCAGTGGTACCTCGGGTTAAGAACTTAATTCGTTCCGGAGGTCCGTTCTTAACCTGAAACTGTTCTTAACCTGAGGTACAACTTTAGCTCATGGGGCCTCCCGCTGCCGCCACACGATTTCTGTTCTCATCCTGAAGCAAAGTTCTTAACCCGAGGTACTATTTATGGGTTAGCGGAGTCTGTAACCTGAAGTGTCTGTAACCTGAAGCATCTGTAATCCAAGGTACCACTGTAAAAACACCAGGCAGGCCCCCAAAATAACCCAGAGATGCATTTTAAATAAAAGCACACATTCTACTCAAACACGCTGATTCCCTGATCGTCCGTTGACCGGATTGAGTGGGCGATTGGGCTGCATCTGGCCACCGGGCCTTAGGTTGCCTACCCCTGGGCTACATCAAGGGAGAAGCAGTAGACACAGAAGGTAGCTGAAGCTGCCTTTTGCTTTGAAAACCAACATAGAAATATATTACCCAATGAATAAGTGCTTCTCCTGCCTGCTGCTTCTCCTCACCTTTTCCCCTGGGCTGTCCCCAAGCTGGACTTCTTTCTAGTCTTCGGGCCGGTTGTGAGGAAAGTCAGCAATTTTTGAGCCCCCTCCCTTGCTCTGTGGCTCTTTGGCAGCCATCATCCCTGTTCTAAGACACAGTTCTTACTTCCGTGTGTATACACTCAAATGGAAACATGTGTTATATCCCTCTGTTAACAGCAGTTAGAATGGGCAATGTGGCTTCCCATAAATTAACAAAGGGTTCAGAGGACTAGATATCGATCTCATATTCCTGCTTGATAACATTTGGATCTACACTAAGAATGTGAGTCTTGGGTTCTGTCTCTTAGCAGGAGAGAGAGTTCAACGTTACCCTGCATAAGATTTGTCTAGACAGAGAATTGCTGTAGTTTAATCAAAACCAGATTCTAGGAAACCCAGATTAAGCATGTGTTTGAATACTCTGTGTATAATCTTTTGAGTGTTCTATTTTTTAGGACTGCTCCGCTTTTTATGTGGCAATTGTGTTTGTTGTGGCAAAGCCAGTGTTTCCTTCATTAAGTGCATAAAGGCTGTGCACACATGGTAGTTTAAAGTGGATTTGATGCATCTCATGTTGTCCACTCAACATTGTCCTCATCCAAGCGATTGCCAATACACGGATCCTTTCGGATGTGGGGTGGGGATACTTATACCTGGAGTACTGACATGCACAGAGGCCGGGAATGGGACCCCCATGCAAAATGGTCATCGTCTGTAGACTTCCTTTGTGAGTTAGAAGTATCCCCCGCCCCCCAATTCACATAACAACCTTTTAATCCTGAATTGAGAAATGAACAAGATATCTCATTCACAGCAGTAGCATGTTCTTGCCATATATGGTACACTCCTCCAAAGTAATCCTGTCAGGTGGCTGTTGCGGTTGCTCGAGAGTAACCAGGCAGGACTCCGACCTGTCTTTTACAGGCTTTATTTTGGTGCAAACTATTTACAGTGAAGGCCCCCAAAGCTCATGTCTGGCTCAATCGCTAGCAGAATCCGGGAGTGGTCTTCTTTTGGACCTCCCCCAACATAAGAGTTTTGTTACTCCCAACCGTCTCCGCCCCTCTCTGCGCCTCAGACTACTGCACAGGATGGGCGATGGCAAAGGCGTGTTTCCCTCCTGTCCGGCTTGCTCAGGAGCGGTGTTGAGGCTCCTACCAGCATCCTCCGGTCCTTGCACCTCTTCCCCCCTGGAGGTGGGGCTTTCCTCCTCCCCGGAAGAGGAACTGCTTCGCAAGATTTTTGGAGGCTCCCCGTAACACAACTGCCCTTCTATTTCTCGCCTCTGAGCCAATGGCAGTTCCCTGACAAATCTCATTGACTTTAATCGAAATGTTGCCTCCCTGCCTTCCCCTCCCACCAATGGATGTGGCTCTCTTATTCTGGGACCACACTGTCATTTGGTGTGTGTGTGTGTATCAGTGAGGTAGATGGAACTTAGTCTAGGTCTTTTTTATATATATAGTTCCCAGTTACCAAAGTCTCACAAAGAGAATTTCATATGCCTGTTTCAGGGTGTTTGCAAATGCCACCTTCTATCTGCATTTTAACAAGGTGTAAAGGGAAAAGGTAAAGGACCCCTGGACAGTTAAGTCCAGTCATACTTGAACTCTGAAGTGTGTGCAGCCTGCAGCTCTCTAGAATACCTGGCTGCCACCAATGCGATTTTCAAACGCTGCTATGTTGCGCAGTTTTGCAAGTAGCACTCGCAAACGTAGTCGTGTTTGCTGTGAAGTACTTCTGAAAAGGCTTTGCACATAACCAGAAGGCTGCAGACAGCATTCAACTGCACTTTGGAATAATTTGCAGGTACAGAATGAAGTGGTGGCACAGAGCAGGTGTGTGTAAAGCTGAGAGAGTGATCTGCTACCATCTTTCAGCCATGAATATATCTCTGAAAGCACTTGCAGGCTGAAAATCTAAGGAGAGATCTTGTTCCTCCCAAATGGAGTTTGGTTGCTAGCATTAATAACAGAAGCGCTTGCTTTTTAAAATGTTTTGCTTAGGATTTAGGGAGCACGTATCTGTAGAATCAGTAATTATATCTTAGGAAGGGGTTCGCATTGGGGGACAGGTCCTGAAAAGTACACACACATACACACAGAGAACAATTAGAGGTCACTATCTCAAGCTTGTTGACAGACCTATCCATCAAGGAATTCTAGGATATTTCTGCTATGCTCCCTTGCTGGCTATCCTAGATAATTTTCAGATCTCTTGGAATTCTTTATAGTACTCTGAACCTTCCCCATCAGAGATCTCTACTCAAAAATGTGGGTGTTTATTATTGTTGTTGTTGTTATTTATTCAACATATATTTTGCCCTTTATCAGAAAATCCCAGGACAGTGTACAATATTAAAAACACATTACAAAACATCAGTGATAAAATGTATACAGGCAGCCAATAATCAAATAGTCATCTTAATAACAGTCCACTCCCTCACGCTTTCACTGGCCATAGATTATTTAATAGCCATAGGCCTGGGTAAAGAGAAATGTTTTTGCCTGGTGCCTAAAGACATGTAGTGATGGTGCCAGGCAAGCCTTTCTGGGGAGAGCATTCTGCAATCAGGAGCCACCACAGAAAAGGCCCGTTCTCTTGTTGCCACCCTTTGAACCTCTCTGCGATGGGGGACACAGAGAAGGGCCTCAGATGACAAGCACAGGGTCCAGGTTGGTTCATACAGTAAGAGGTGCTCCTTAAGGTGTTGAGGTCCTGAGCCGTGTAATGCTTTATATGTGTCCTGGTTGCCACCCAAAAGTGATCTTTATTAAGGCATGAGTAAAGCTGCGGCAGGAAACGAGCTAATGCTGTCATGAAGATCTCACAAAGCAAAGGGTTGGTGGGGATGAGCCCAATCTAGAAGCCAGGGGACAGGGTTCACAAGTCCAGGGTTGGTAACAAGAAGTGCAAGGCTGCCCAGGAGCTGAGAAGTTGTCCCAACAAGTTTCCCACACCAAGCCATCAAGTTTTAAGGCAGACCTTCCTTCTCCAGAGTCACGGCCTTGTCCTGGGAGAAAGCATTGTACTCACCTCCCTATCTGAATCCTGCTCGGCCACCCCAAGCTCAGAGTCCTCCTGAGACTCTTGACAGTTCTCTCTCCTGTCTCAACATTAGAACCAGATGAGTTCAGAGGGAGGCTTCCATCTGTTGCAGCCTCCTCCTCCCATTCTTTCTCGTCTCTCTGCTCATCTTCCCCCAGAGTCTGCCATCCTGAGTATGAGACCAGCGGCGCCAAAGGAGTAATGACGTTATGTTATTTGATGTAGGAAATCTTGCTCTCCCTTTGATGTGCACACATTTGCCACTGAAAGTGTGGAACATCAATGTAGGTGCAGCAAATATGCTACCTCTAACCCTGAGATAGGGATGGGGACCTTGCAGCGCTCCAGATGTTGTTGTGGACTCCCAACTCTCATCAGCCCATGCCAGCATGGCCAACGATTAGGGCTGATGGGAGTTGGAGCCCGGCAACAGCCACATGTTCCTCATCCAGCCCTGGGATGAAAGGCAAGAACCTCTGACCTCTCCAGCATTTCATAGAATCATAGAATTGCAGCGTTGGAAGAGGCCCCCAAGGGTCATCCAGTCCAACCCCCTGCAATGCAGGAATTTCAGCTAAAGCATCCATGACAGATGGCCACCCAAACTGTGCTTAAAAACCTCAAAGGAAGGGAGAGTCCACAACCTCCCAAGGGAGACCGTTCCACCGTTGAACAACTCTCCCTGTCAGAAAGCTTTAGTCGGAATCTCCTTTCTTGTAACTTGAAGACATTGGTTCGAGTCCTACCCTCCAGAGCAGTTTGATTCAACCCCTGATTCATTCCCCCTGTCTGTATAGAAGAAGAAGAAGAGTTTGGATTTGATATCCCGCTTTATCACTACCCTAAGGAGTTTCAAAGCGGCTAACAGTCTCCTTTCCCTTCCTCCCCCACAACAAACACTCTGTGAGGTGAGTGAGGCTGAGATACTTCAGAGAAGTGTGACTAGCCCAAGGTCACCCAGCAGCTGCATGTGGAGGAGCGGAGACTCAAACCCGGTTCCCCAGATTACAAAACTACCGCACTTAACCACTAAACCACACTGAGTTTATGGGATGTTATCCCAGGGCAATTCGTTTTGTAAACAGGCACTGATTAATCCATTGGCGCAGAGCTGGGTTTGATGTGGTTTCTTGACGCTCCTGTGTTTTTCTGCCTCCCCAGACGCCCTCAGATACGTCCGCCTTCCACTGTCGTACACAACGACCCTCCCCTTACTGTCTTCTCCTCTGTTTTCTTTTTTAGCTCTAATAATCCGTTTGCTCGCCGGCACCTCCGCTCCAGCCCCAGCCCCGTCGTCTTGAGGCAACAGGAGGAAGAAGCCAAGGCGAAAGAAGCAGCGGCCAACGTGGACATCACCCAGGTTATGAGCAAGCTGGATCGTAGAAGCCAGCTCAAGCAGGAGCCCCCACCTGCTAAGTAGGGCTCAGATGTTGGTGAAAAGGCCAAGCGGAGGAGTCGTGAGGGTGTTGGCTGAATGTAGAGCTGCATTTCCTGTCTCCTCCCTGCAGGTGGCAGTGGTGCTTCGTCATTATACGAAACATTTCTCTGTGCTCTCCATCCCTCCTTTCCACACAGCATGTTGTTGCCATGGCGCCCAGAGTAGTGTCACTTCACAAGCCATCGCTGGTAGAATCGTTGAACGCAGATGGCAGAAGTTGCCATGTGAACCTCACAGTGACTTTCCCCATATCAAATGGGCTTGTTTGTGTGTGTGTGTGTGTGTGTGTGTGTGTGTGTGTGTTTTAAACAAGGCAAGGAAACAATGTTTTCTATAAACTGCCTGAAACATCCCTCCCGGTTCTAAATATTCGGAAATCGAGATACCATGGCAACTGGCTTCCCTCTTCTCCCGCTGCCTGCAAAGGATGAAGGGGAAGAGATGGCAAAAGTGTGCTGTGAGGCACAGGGCAGAGCTTATTCTGGTTTCCGGGTGCTGTTGAGGAATCCTAAATAAGGGTGCATACTTAACACAGCTCAGGCACCCCTCACCTTGCCATGCAAACAGTTCAGACGGTTAAATATCAAACAAAGGGTAGATTATTTCCCCCCTTTCTTTTCAGGGTATGCTTGGGGATTAGGTATTCTGATTGTTGGTGTTAAGCACAGAACCAAGCGGCCGCAGTTGACCCATACGAATTAACAAGCAGTACGTACTGTGGTCTTGTGCATGTAAACATGCATTCCGCATTTCCAAAGCAACTTGAAGCAGCTGCCTGCTCAAATGCATATTCGTTTGAGCGGAATAGGAGTATCAGTTGGCCGGGGTGCAACTTGGTCATAGAGAGGGGAAGTCCTTTATGGATTCAGAGCCTCCCTAACAGGGAGGGCCGTAGCTTGGGGGGTTGGAGCATCTACTCTGCATGTTGAAGGCCCCAAGTTAAGTCCCTAACATCTCTGGGTAGGGCTGGAGATATCCCCTGGAAAGCTGCTGTCCATCAGGGTAGAGAATACTGAACTGGATGGATCAATAGTCTTGACTCAATATCAGGCAGCTTCCTATGTTCCTTAGGGTTCTTGTATTAAAAGGTAAGCTAACAAATGGAGAACATTCATTTTCCTCCACCTAGCTCCAAGTCCCATTTGGTTTTATTTGCTGTGAACTTCCCCAAAGATGGGAACCTAATATCTTAGAGGCGTGCCCATGGGGCTGCCATACTGTAAAGTAAGAAGACGGGTGCTTTTCGGAAGGAATCTTCCTAATATTCTTGCAGCACTCTACGGCGGTCTTCAGGCCTGTTCTGGCAAGCAGCTGGCCTGTGTTGACTCCAACAGCCAAGCCCCTGGAACACAAGGCAAGCAATTTGTATGCATCTTGTTTGTGAAGGGAGGATCACATGACTGACGAGTGGTAGCCATGTTGACTACCCCTGCATTTGCTGAAAGTTTAAGAATTGAGATATGGTATTCTAGGCAAGAGGCTTTTTCTCTGTCGTAGTGTGGAAAGCCAGTTGACAGCCATAGGGATCTATCCCTGCTTGCTGTGTAGACTGAAAATAACATAGGTCAAAGCCATCGGAGTTGTACTGACTGGAAGTGTTGAATAAAATGTAGCCTCTCTTGTTTCCTTCGTGGGCATAGTCAGGAGGACTTAAATGCTTGCCTCCTCCCACCCTCTCAAAAAAAAAACAAAAAAAACCCCTAATCCAAAAACAACGGCAATATCATTTTTTCCTTAAATGTTCAGTGCTTCATAAGTCTGGATCAAGAAGTGTTTAAAACATTCCGGAATCTTATGGGCATCTGAATGGAATCGGGACTCCCTTCTACTCATCTCTTTTCCCATTAAGTTATTTCAGCTGTATGATTTATACCTCTTTATCATCTGCTCCATCTCTGGGCTTGCTTGCAGTTTCTCTCTCCTCTTTGTCACTGCATTTCATCATTTCCTGCAAAATGCACTCTGACAGTGGCAGACAGAACACCACAGTCAAAAAGGCTGCGAGAAAATACCCTCCCCCCCACCCCACAAAAATGCAATATTAAAAGCAGTGTAGGAGTGATAGCTTCTACCAGCTCAAGGAAGTGTAAAGGTAGCCAAGGGAAATAAATAAAAATGTTGTCCAGTAGCACCTTAGAGACCAACTAAGTTTGTTCTGGGTTTCCGAGCACAATTCAGAGTCTTGGTGCTGACCTTTAAAGCCATAAACCGCCTCGGTCCAGTATACCTGAAGGAGCGTCTCCACCCCCATCATTCTGCCCGGTCACTGAGGTCCAGCGCCGAGGGCCTTCTGACGGTTCCCTCACTGCAAGAAGCAAAGCTACAGGGAACCAGGCAGAGAGCCTTCTCGGTAGTGGCACCCGCCCTGTGGAATGCCCTCCCATCAGATGTCAAAGAGATAAACAACTACCAGACTTTTAGAAGATATCTGAAGGCAGCCCTGTTTAGGGAAGTTTTTAATGTTTAATAGGTTTTTTAATATTCTGTTGGAAGCCGCCCAGAGTGGCTGGGGAAACCCAGCCAGATGGGTGGGGTATAAATAATAAATTATTATTATTATTATTATTATTATTAATTTTCTGGTTATAAGCATTTATTTCGTAAGCAGAGTCCCATGAAGCACTCAAGTTTGAAAGTGCGACTATGGAGATTAGCTCATTAAAGGAAACCCCATACCTTGTCTTGCCTCTTTGTTTATCGAGGCCAACATGGAAACAACAGAATAGCCTGAAGCAAGAGGTTTCAAACTGTGTTTCAGGCAACCTTGAGGTTCCTTGGGGACTTCTTCAGTGGTAACTTCAGCAGTGGCAGCCAAAAAGTGCATGCCCATCAGTGTTGATGCCCCCCCTGCAATGTACAGTGACAGAAGAGCATTGGAAGCATTGTAGGTTACATTCTCCATTTACATGGGATGACTGTAAGGCCAAGGACATAGTGGGTGAGATTCAACTAAGTTGTGTGCATTGAATGACGTCCGCTCGCCCCTTCTCCCCATCTGCTCTGGAGGTTTGGTTGTGCACAAATACCCCATTTAGCACTACACTGAATTCCACCCAGTATGCCCTAAAAGGTACCCTAAAACCCTTTGTAATGAGTAGGTGGCCTTCAGTGTGGAAAGAGTTCAAGTTCACCAGTAGAAAGCTTGAAAACTGCTTAAGATACCACAGAGCTGTAAGCCTGTTTGTTGGCCTCTAAGCTTGTGCTGTCTTCCATCTTTCTTTCCTTGTAGCAAATATGTCAGTGCATGTATATGATGTCATTGCTTTTCATTTTCTGTTAAATGCCCAAGATGGAATGGGCTTCACATCTAGTTAAATAAATTAAGAAGAGGGGGACTTCTAGTGGGATTTCAGAATACTGCTTTATTTTTCTCACTTTTCCTTTCTTTTATCTCCTCTGGTCAAATAAAACTAGAAAGCGAAACCATCACTGTGCTTGTCTGTCATGTCTTTTGCCTCTCTTCTGTGCGTCTTTCATTTGTTCATACTGTGTTGCCTCTGTCCCATTGGTTTGAATTGGTTTTCCTTTTCTAAAATATTGGTGAATAGTGCATACGTCGATCCTTAGTGCTTCAAGAGAGCTTGAAAAACCATTGTGTAAGACAATGTCTAATTAGGTAGGCTTCTACTTAATTTGTCAACATTAAGTCTTGCTACATGTCTTAATCATAAGGTACCATCTTCTAAAACTGCCTTCTACTGGCTGTGTTTGTAGCAATACCAGAGCCTAATAGTCTTCAGAAGCTCCTCATTTACATCCTTATCCTAACTATACACACCCCAGTCCTATGCACCTGTACTTAGACATACTTCTAAGTAAGTGGGCATAGGAATGCAGCTTTCATAAAGGGAAGCTGATTTCAACCTGGCCACTATTTGCTCCTCTATCCCACAGTCACATGGCAGGAAAAAGTGGTGGTGAGGAAACATCACAAAATTTACTGGGAACACAATTATGCTACTGCAAAGCGTGTAGTGAATCTAGTGAAAAGAGTGAAGTTACACTTGGATCCATTCCCCAAGGGGTGACTGCCTAAAAGGCATCCCACCTCACGCGTGAAGGACAATTCCTGACAGTAGTTGCAATGTAAGCCCAGTATCTGTGCAAGATCACACCATTCTGTCTCTGCTTGATGGACTACTCCTATGTATTCTCCATTATATTTGGTTTAGGATTTGTGGATCACTTCTCTACAGCGTGTCTAATTCAACAAACAGAGAAATTAGATAGCCACAAAGCAGACTAGAAAACAACAAACACTTAAATAACCAAACCAAACCATTTTGAAAAGCAGAGCTCAGTTAGAAACCTTGTTGCACAGATTAAGTCTTAACCTGATGCCGAAATGAGACCCAAGAAGGCAATTCTTTCATCTTTTGGTGGAGGGAGTTCCAGAGACGATATGGCAATACTCAAAAAGGCAATCTCCCCATACCTAGAAGGTTCTCAGAAGAAGACATTAATGGTCAGGCAGGCTCACGTAGTCTGAACTGTTGTTCAACACGATAATCGGCTATCAGTTAAACTTTGAAGCTTCCCTTTTTTCACTTTAGAAAAATGACAACACAGAACTAAGCCACATTAGAGTTTGCACTTATGAGTTAGTTCTTTAAAATGCAAGGGCACCCACTGAAACAAATAGCCATGTTTGAATACTTTATTGTTGTTTAGGTTGCATCCAACTTAAATCATTGCATGTGCAGAACAACTCCCACAAGCACAACCAAACTCTCCACTCTAGAGGGTTGGGGGTGGGTGGGAAATTCCTTTGCACTTGCGGGAGAATTCTGTGCATGCAATTATTTAGTTAGACAGAATTATAGGGTTGGCTCCATCACATTTTTATCGGTCCACACGCCTTTCGTTACATATGGTACATGGCACAAAGTAAGTGAAACATGCAATTTTTATAAAGTTAAACAATCCAGGGCAAATGCCCTATAAAATATCAAGCCATTTTGTTAGAGGTTATTCAAGTGTCACTGATGAATTCCTGGATCATCGTCCTTGGGTACCTGCCATCAAACATCACTTCCTTCCGGCTTGCACCAATATGACCGGCACCATTTCATTTATTGGCATATATCAAGGCCGTGCGTAAATTCATATTCCCCATATTTTCTCCCATCTGTCTTCATGTATTCATTCCACCAGCAACATATCTACATCAGCAGCTTTGGCTTTGTCATGCAACTCCGAATGTACTTCACCTGATCATTGAGAAAAGAAGAGAGAGAAAATGTTTCTCTTACCCTACTTTTGAAAAAAAAAATAAGAACTTGGTAAGAGATGGGAAGGAGAAGCTGACATTCAAAGTGAGATTCCTTCTTCCCAGGACCATGTTTTTAAAGTAGAATACCAGAATTTATTACAGTGTGTCAAAGCTTTAATTAAACATCTTTACAGTGGTACCTCGCAAGACGAATGCCTCACAAGACAAAAAACTCGCTAGACGAAAGGGTTTTTGGTTTTTTGAGTTGCTTCGCAAGATGATTTTCCCTATGGGCTTGATTTGCAAGACGGAAACGTCTTGCAAGTTTGTTTCCTTTTTCTTAACACCGTTAATACAGTTGCGACTTGACTTCGAGGAGCAACTCATAGAATGCGGTGTGGTAGCCTTTTTTGAGGTTTTTAAAGACTTTGGTGATTTTTGAAGCTTTTCCAAAACTTTCCCGACACCGTGCTTCGCAAGACGAAAAAAATCGCAAGACGACAAAACTCGCGGAACGAATTAATTTCGTCTTGCGAGGCACCACTGTACTTGAATTGGATAGGTATTACAGTGGTACCTCAGGTTACATACGCTTCAGGTTACAGACTCTGCTAACCCAGAAATAGTGCTTCAGGTTAAGAACTTTGCTTCAGGATGAGAAGAGAAATCGTGCTCCGGCGGTGCGGCGGCAGCAGGAGGCCCCATTAGCTAAAGTGGTGCTTCAGGTTAAGAACAGTTTCAGGTTAAGAACGGACCTCCAGAATGAATTAAGTACTTAACTTAACCTGAGGTACCACTGTATTTTCTTCCTCCCTTTTTAATGCACTAACTTTTTTCCATGTTTAGTAGCAACTTTTATTGGTTATTGGGTACTTTGCACATTGCTTTGCACATAACTGTATTGAAAGGCAATTTTGGCAGTATTCAGACCATCACTTTCGTTTATCTTTGTGATGTTCCTTTTCACATTTTATGTGATCATGGTGGAATCTAGTGAAAGTTTTAACACTCGTTTCCATGTGAATTGTTTGCAACCCTGCCAACTCGGAGAATCACAGGAGTTTTGCACTGACAAAATCTGGAGCATTGTATCAGCAAACTCTTCTTTACTGCCATTTAACATTTAGCATGGCATGCTGGTATATTGATCAAGAAGCCATCGTTCCATAACACAAGATACTTCAATGTAAAGGGAACATTAGAACGCGAGACAGAACTAAAGCAATAAGCCCCACATCTGATTGAAGATCTGAAATCTTCGGGGGGGGGGCTGCTGGATAGAATGGAGGGTGGGGAACAGCAATAAGAAGATCAATCGAATTATGTGCATCCTTCCTTTAGGTGAAGCAAGATGGCTGGCCGGATTAGCTAATGTTTCAAAGAATTAAATAAAAAGCCTTATGGGTCAGCTGACTTAGATCTGTCTGGATATAGGATGGAAAAAGAAGAGTTTTGTTCCAGTCTCTGTAGCCATTAGGGTCCAAATGTTAATACAACAATCTTTTTTTTGGGGGGGGGGGACTTAATGTGACCCACAGCTGCAACAGTAATAGTAGAGTTTCTTCCCACCATTCACCTCATCATTACGTTATCCTTCCACCCTTCATTTATATGCATTTCAGTCTGATATTGAAGCACCTCTCCTTGTCTAAAGAAAGTTGCAGCATGTAACGGAGATTAATTTTTTAGAGGCATATTCTTACCCAAGTCCTTTCTGAGAACAACTAGCAGCAATGGGATGGGTCATATTATGTGGTGGTAACTAGCTAAAGGGACGCGGGTGGAGCTGTGGGTTAAACCACAAAGCCTAGGACTTGCCGATCAGAAGGTTGGCGGTTCGAATCCCTGCAACAGGGTGAGCTCCCGTTGCTCGGTCCCTGCTCCTGCCAACCTAGCAGTTCGAAAGCCCATCAAAGTGCAAGTAGATAAATAGGTACCGCTCCTGCAGGAAGGTAAACGGCGTTTCCATGCGCTGCTCTGGTTCGCCAGAAGTGTCTTAGTCATGCTGGCCACATGACCCGGAAGCTGTACGCCGGCTCCCTCGGCCAATAAAGCGAGATGAGCGCTGCAACCCCAGAGTCGGCCATGACTGGACCTAATGGTCAGGGGTCCCTTTACCTTTTCCTAACTAGCTAAAGGTGAGGTGGGAAAGAGATCCAAATCAGGACTAGCTCCATGGTTTTGTGGGTCTTCAGGCAAAGAGGTGGGAGCATGAGAATGGCTGGCAGATACAACATGACCATGCTTCCTAGGAATTCCACTCTGCTTCCTGTGCTGTAAATGTTCTCCTTTTCTTCCATGCAGTTGTGCCAATTCACTGCTCCTGTTCCCCATCTGGCCATTTACAGTGGTACCTCCGACTCTCCGTCTACGTCCAATGCTTTCTCTTCCTCACGCCGTGTGCCTAGTGATCGTCCTCTCCAGTGCCCTGGGCGCATTACTCTACCAAACAGCGCTAGCTCCTCCTCTGTTAAGGTAGCTCCAGACAGCACCTCTGTCACGGGCAGGAACTGGGATGGGCCTAGCTCTAACTCCGCCCCTTCCTTCATGGAAAGCACTGAGATTGCCATGGATTCTGAGCTGGAGCCCTGCCGCAGCTCCCAGTACCCTATGAGCTCTAAGACCAAGCTGCTGCCCAAGCCCCAGATGTCCTCATCCCTCGGCAGGTTCCTCAAACTGGGATGCTTGAACTCTCCAATGTTTGCAACGTTCTCACCCAAGTGCCCTGGAGTGACTCATGGGAAAGTGCAACCACTCGATGGTCTGAACCCACAACTGCAACAGAGGTCCAAAAAAGTGTCCAAGTGAGTATCCCTCTGAGTTATTCCATCGTGCTTTGCTTTGAGAGCTCCTATAAGGGGAGATAAGGATTCGGGAGAACTCTGATTGTGTATGCATCTTAATGAGAAAATATCTAATTTGTCGTTGTTATCTAACCAATGCAGTGGTACCTTGGTTTGCATATGTCTTGGTTTGCATAGGTTTTGGATTACAAACACATCAAACCCGGAAGTGCATGTCCCGGTTTGCAACCTTTTCTTTGGATTACAACCTTTTTTTATTATTATTACGAACAATTTTTGGGGGGAGGCCCCATTGGCGAAAGCGCGCCTTGGGTTACAACCTGTTTTGGTTTAGAAACGGACCTCCGGAACGGATTATGGTTGTAAACCAAGGTACCACTGTACATGAATGGAAATGTCTCTGAACTGTGGTGGTTCAGTTCTCCAACCAATGTGTTCCAAAAAACATCCATTAGATGAAAGTGTGCATAAAAATGCATCTCTTGGTGAAAATAACATGGAGAAATGCATTGCTATGTTAGGAGAAATTGCTTACAAAAATGTGTATATTAGTCAAAACTGCATGCAAAAATGTTTTGCCCCCAAATATATTTTCTTAAATTTCCACAAATCTCACATAAAATCCCAATTCATAATATTTTTTTCTTTTGTTTTATAGACTTCCCATCCCATTTTTGTTGGTGTTTTCCCCTCACCTCTATGCTGCCCCCTGTCTTCCCTCTCTCGTATCATAATCATAGTACAATGATTTCTGTTGCTCATAGTTCAAATCCTGCTCACGAATTCACCATATTATAACATTTCTTTATAAATAGTCTGAAAAAGACGTCTGTTCTTCAGTGAAGCAGTCATTGTTAAGTTCCCTTATTTTAGCTGTTAACATTGCTGATTCAGCATAGTCCATTACCTTGCTTATCTATTCTTCTTTGATGGGAACTTCCTCATCTTTCCATTTCTGTGCATAAAGAATCCTGGCTCTTATAGTTACATACATAAAAAAAACCTTGACCATCATTTTTTGAACTACAAAAATGTTTTTATTGGGGGAAAATTTGCACTGAAATACTGATAGATTTTCATGAAGATTTTTTTTTTAAAAAAAAATCAAATATGTCTGCAGAAATGTGGAGAACTGAATTTAAGATTGGGAAAATAAGAAACTCAAATTAACAGATTCATCCATCTCTTGTGTGTCTCTTGGAAGAAGCCACTTCTGGTTTAGCCATAAGTTCTGAACTGTGAGAGCATTTGCATTTTTTAAAAAACTTACACCTTAGGAATCAGTAGCCTAGTATTCCAGTTATTAATTTATTGTGGTTGGGAGCCACTTTGTAGGTTCCACTGTAGAACTGAAAGGTGGGATACACATGTTTTAATAAAATAAATAAATTCATTCACATCTTAATTCCAAATACATCAGCCAGCCATATCTGTGGGACAGGAGCCTCTAGACTCAGAATGCAAATCACATACCGTATTTTTCGCTCTATAAGACGCACCAGACCATAAGACGCACCTAGTTTTTGGAGGAGGAAAACAAGGAAAAAAATATTCTGAATCTCAGAAGCCAGAACAGCAAGAAGGATCGCTGCACAGCGAAAGCAGCAATCCCTCTTGCTGTTCTGGCTTCTGGGATAGCTGCGCAGCCTGCATTCGCTCCATAAGACGCACACACATTTCCCCTTACTTTTTAGGAGGGAAAAAGTGAGTCTTATAGAGCAAAAAATACAGTACCCTCTGGTTGCCCCAGAAACAATTTGAGGCAACCATAGTAATGGGGAACTGATAGGCAGATGTGCTGGAAGATCCCCTGTTTTGATTTTATCACAATAGCAAAAGTCCAGGCCAAACACCTTGCTGTTGGACTGTCTGTCTGGCAGATGCCCACACTGTGACGAGTTTTTCATTTTGCATCCCAGCTTCTTCCAGATAAAAATGGAAATACCTCTGGAGAGCAAGGTCTACCCAATAGATTCGGAGGAGGAAGAAGAGGGCAGCCACTGGGCTTGCAAGGATTCTGCAAATGAAGTTATCTGCCCATGGGAGAATCTGATAGAAGATGGAAAAGCTGGATAAAAAGAAGCCTTTAACGCTATCTGGATATTTTTAAATGGTTAATTTTTTATCCTGCTCCTGAATTGGCAGGTATAATTTCCGACAGTTCGATTGATTTCATAATGCTGTTAAAAGGAGTGCAATGGAATAAAGAATGAGAATAATCCACATGGATTGCAAAGCAAGAACCCAGATACATATTTATTTCAAAATTCAGAAATTTAAGGTTGGCCTTTTTTTTGGCAGTTCAGTGCCATCACTTCCTGGTTTCTTTTATGTAACTCTTAACTACATCAAGTGTATTTAGGAAACTCTCCTGCTTTGTTAGCCTTTCAGAACTATTGCATTTGTATTTATTATGCCTGTGCCCTGCTCTTCCTTTGGAAGGTCATATTTACGTATATCTCCTACAGATCTCCTAACCAGGTACTGATTAGGTTGACATTTGCTTGGCTTCAACAATGCTATAGGATCAGGTACTCTTCAGGCCCGATATCTAACTCTGAGTTAGACTCAAATCTTGGAGCAGAAAAATATATGTTTCATACAACATCATTTTCATTTATCAGATAAATATGACATTTTTTCGTTGAACTTTAATTGCCCTTCACAAAATCCTTTGCAAACATCTGTGAAGGGAAGATTGATATTTCCTTATCAGGAACTTCTATTGCAATTGATGTAGCTAAATTGACACATTTTTCTTCTTTTTTGTTGTTTCATATTGAATGTTATTTGCTAAATCCACATGACTCTTGGTGATGATGAAGGTTGCCTTCTGATAAACGGCTTGTAGCTTCTGAGTGAAATCAGACTCAGGTTCTGGACAATCCTATGTCTGGGTAATTATAAAGCTGATGAAATATTGGTAGCAGGGTCCTGCCTTTTTATGTTGCTCCAGCCTTGCAACATAGTCCATATTTCAGCGAAGCCAAAGACTTGACACGACTAATTGGAAGTCCGTTGTCTGTTATTACTTTTAATCCCTTAGAGAACAGAGAACTTTCAACTGCAATATTATTCATCTTTTTATCTTGTTGCATTCTCAACAGTTTTGTAAAGGTAAGTCACCATCACTCCTGTTTTATATATAAATAACAGCTGAAGGGAATGACTTTGTCTGTAGCCAAACAGACAGACACAAGGCATCCCTGTCTTTGTCCAGCTGTCCACACGCTGAACCGTTCTGGATCTCATCTGCACCGATTTATCTGCCTGAGATGCCTGCAATAACTTCATGTTTGTGATAATCTTATGGTTGACCAGAGGCCTCATTTCATGCTAACATGCCCTGTGGAACGCCCTCCCACCAGATGTCAAAAACAACTACAGTGGTACTTTGGGTTACATACGCTTCAGGTTACATATGCTTCAGGTTACAGACTCTGCTAACCCAGAAATAGTACCCCGGGTTAAGAACTTTGCTTCAGGATGAGAACAGAAATCGTGCTCCGGCGGTGCAGCGGCGGCGGGAGGCCCCATTAGCTAAAGTGGTGCTTCAGGTTAAGAACAGTTGGGATGTAAAACCAGTCTAAACTGTAGAGCAGATACTTCTATATTCTTCTGAAACACGAGCCCCTTATTTGTTACCCACTTTCTCACTGAGGTTATTTTTTGCTTCTGTTTCCCTGTGTTTGGTTCAGCTGAAATTTGCAGATTGACTGCATCTCCATCAAGCGTTCCTCTATGTTCATATATTTGTTTTAGCCTTTAATAAACCAACACTGCACAGCTTTTTCAGCTGTCTGCCCTCATTACACACTATAGCTGCCTTTCTATATGGGTGATTTCCTGATAATTGAGTATATTTCCTTTATCTATATCAAGTGTTTTTGCTTCTAATGAGTTATAAATAAAACTGCTTTGAATGACTCTGCTTGCGACAGGATATTTATGATCAACATGTTGTGTCTCTCTCTTACGTTTTACTTGTTTTGATTTCATTTTTTTTATTATTATTTATCAATTCGTATATCACATGCCAAAATGCCTTCCAAGTGGTTTACACGTATAAAATCAATACATGCACAACGATAAATCCATCGGAGCATAAAGAAATCCTTAATTAAATGCACCAGATTTGCAGAAGTGCTAATGCGTGGTGGTCACTTTCCAACAAAAGTGCTGCCTTCATGTCTGAGAATGAAGACTTGAGTGTTTGTACACAAACATGTAATGTAAAGCAGCTTTCTTTATTAGGTTTTGTTCCAAGGTGCTAGGATTATTATTATTCAAAAAACAACATCCTGGAAACCAAATTTCCTTTTAAAAATTCCTGTGGCCGTAACTTCTTGGTAGAGTTCACCGTGTTCTCATTTTTCTCAACTTTGATCATCGTAATAGGGAAAATGTGTGCGCCTTTGTGTGAACGTGAACACATTCTGCTTTTCACCTCTTAGCGACTTACATTCTCAGGAATCTGGTGCTCTCCTCTTGCTGCATTCTGAAGTTTATGGCTATGTTTTAGTGTGACTTAAAAACAAAAAAACAAAAACGAAGATCATGGCCACCGGTCCCATCACCTCCTGGCAAATAGAAGGGGAAGAAATGGAGGCAGTGAGAGATTTTACTTTCTTGGGCTCCCTGATCACTGCAGATGGTGACAGAAGTCATGAAATCAAAGGACGCCTGCTTCTTGGGAGAAAAGCAATGACAAACCTAGACAGCATCTTAAAAAGCAGAGACATCACCTTGCCAACAAAGGTCCGTATAGTTAAAGCTACGGTTTTCCCAGTAGTGATGTATGGAAGTGAGAGCTGGACCATAAAGAAGGCTGATCGCCAAAGAATTGATGCTTTTGAATTATGGTGTTGGAGGAGACTCTTGAGAGTCCCATGGACTGCAAGAAGATCAAACCAATCCATTCTGAAGGAAATCAGCCCCGAGTGCTCACTGGAAGGACAAATCGTGAAGCTGAGGCTCCAATACTTTGGCCACGTCATGAGAAGAGAAGACTCCCTGGAAAAGACCCTGATGTTGGGGAAGATGGAGGGCACAAGGAGAAGGGGACGACAGAAGACAAGATGGTTGGACAGTGTTCTTGAAGCTACCAGCTTGAGTTTGACCAAACTGTGGGAGGCAGTGGAAGACAGGAGTGCCTGGTGTGCTCTGGTCCATTGGGCCACGAAGAGTCGGACACGACTAAATGACTAAACAACAACAACAAAAATATTAACCATGTTTGCAGCCTGTCTTCCTCCAAGGAGATCAGGACTGGGTATATTATCTAGATCACTTGACCGAGGAGATAGTCAGAAACCAAATGTTCAAAGTTGTTTAAGAGCATGGGCAGTCCAAAGCATTTCAGCACCTGAGGCAAAACACCCCATTGCTACCCCCGTGATACGCCGGGGGGCGGGAGACTCCATAAGGGCTTCTTAAGGAGAAGTCTCTTCGTTGGGTTGTGGTGGACATCCTTTCGGGATCCCTGCCCTCCAGACTGGTGGCGAAGCTTTGCACTGGCTTCTCCCTTCAGGAGAAGATGATGCAAAGCCCTGTCACACTGCCGGATTGGGGGTGGGGGAGATGTCTGGCAAAGCTGGGTGCCTGAATGCGTCCTCTCTCGCCAACTAGGCAATAAGGGAGGTGTTCTACAGAGCTTTGCTGCTTGTTGTTGTCGTTTAGTCGTGTCTGATTCTTCGTGACCCTATGGACCAGAGAACACCAGGCACTCCTGTCTTCCACTGCCTCCCGCAGTTTGGTCAAACTTATGCTGGTAGCTTCAAGAACAGTGTCCCACCATCTCGTCCTCTCTCGTCCCCTTCTCCTTGTGCCCTCCATCTTTCCCAACATCAGGGTCTTTTCCAGGGAGTCTTCTCTTCTCACGAGGTGGCCAAAGTATTGGAGCCTCAGCTTCATGATCTGTCCTTCCAGTGAGCACTCAGGGCTGATTTCCTTAAGAATGTAGAGGTTTGATCTTCTTGCAGTCCATGGGACTCTCAAGAGTCTCCTCCAGCACCAGCACCATAATTCAAACATTTGCTGCTAGTCTTTCTCTATTCTGGAAGCTGGGAAGCAGAATGTGGGTGTCGCACCTTGGCGGGTGTGTGTGTGCCACCTGAGGTGGCCCCTTGATCCAGCCTCATGGGCCGACCAGCTCTGTTTAAGGGCGAAGTCACAGAGGCTGAGGGAAGCCGTGCCTGGCTAGGAAGCTAATGGCAAAATGAAATATTTGGTCCGCTGCTCTTTGGGAGCATGCTTGGCCATCATAAGAGGAAACTGACTCATGTCGATTGGCTTAAAATGGCTGCCGATATCAATCTGTCCCCAGGCACAATCAGAAACTAGACCTTTTGGGGGTGAGGTCAGCTTGGTTTCTATTAGCGCACGCAGCAAAATGTCTTCCAATTTGTACTCCTCCCACCAGTCCACCCGAGATAAAAGGGGAAGAACCTGAAGAAGAAATTAGGGTAAAAGTTGAAGACTTTAATTTTTAAGAAAAGGAGCTAAATAATTGATGCAGCCCCGGTGCCAAAGGTAATTTCAGCTGTGCTCTCTCTCTCTCTCTTCCCCCCTCTCATACAAAGACATTTAGCATTGATTGAGATCAAAGTATTTAAAACCCCTGCTGTTGAACCGAAAGGCAAAACTTTCAGCTGCCTTTCTCCACTCTAATAATATCATCTTTATGTAGTTAATAAACTGCACACTTCAGTCAAACTATATCATTACAGAAGACTTAGGGAGCTAATAATTTAAAAGCAAAGAAGGTGCCTCTGTTCTCTGCTTTGAACTAAACAACATTCTGTTGAATGAGGGGGACATCAAAGCGTAGTCACTATTGCCAGTGTGGATGGAGCAGAGGGTCTCGCAGAGTGTGTACTCCAGTCATTTGAGGTAAAAAATGGGGGGGGGGGCAGGTTGAGATTAAAGATACTGGCTTATCAAGCCACGGGCAAAACCAGGTGTTTTCTTTTTCTGCTGCGCAAGCATCAGGTGGTTTGCTTATCAATGAGTTTGCTTGTTAAATGGATGTATATGAATTAGGCTGGGCCTGGTGCTCTCAGCCCCAGCCAGCTTTA